CACTATCTATAAGGAGGTATATCTATATTCATCCAAATGTACATACATATATGTCCACATACATATGTATTAAGCAAGTCCCACATTCTTCCTTAAAAGATAAATGCTAAGCATTTCTTCTGTATGTATTTTTATGTAAAAATCGTTTTTATGACTACAGTGATTTTTGCAAGGCTACTTTCATAAATGTCATGACACATTTGAGGCCAGGGTTCTTCTATACTCGCATTAATGTGCTGACTTATTATTGCGTTAATTTCATGATTTACAGTATTCATGAAGAACATTTCACGTGGGACCAACAGAAATATGACTATCGACTATTTTTTTTATATTTAGCTAGCTCAAACGATCTATTGGTTTGATTTATTGTTATGGTATCCACAAAATAAGTAGGATCCGTTTTTTTCGTTTTTGTTGTTCTTTGTGTAACGCTGCACGTAGCAATATTCCAGTTATATGACGGTTGTCTGTAAATAATCGAGTCTGGACCAGGCAATCCAGTGATTGATATCAGAGACACGTGACATCGAATAAGTTTCTTTGTACAGCTGCAGACGAGTGGGATATTGTTCCTTTGTGTGGATGTTCACGGATACATTCCTCGAACAAGGAAGCTGCCTAAAATTTTTTACACATAAATTTGGTAGGTTGTAATTATGGTATTTGCATTTTGTTTTCCTTCATTCGCTGTAGCATTGAACCGATTCGATCTTGTTCCTCTACGTCTTGGTTGGGAAATTCTTCAGATTGACTAAAATTGATTAAGACGATCAAAAGGGCCTAAAAACATCACAACAGATTATTATGTAGGATTAGAAGCCAAACAACATAGAAATGTACTTTTCAACGTAACATTTTCAGTCTCTTGGTGATAACATTAAACATCAAAATGTTTGGAATTCGTTATCATAATAATACAGATGGAAATGTTTTTCAGTCACTTTGTAACATAACTGAATATTTAGGCGGTTAATAAATTTGAAAATGTTACACATTTTGACAGTAAAAAAATATACACACTATAAAAAAGCAATGCTCAGGTGAAATATTTACTTTGTGTTGCAAGTCAAAATAGTGTAAACGAAAATTACCAAGCAAGTGACTTATCAAAATTTCGTCACCATTACCGATGCTACCCGCAAAGATACCTACATTTCCTTATTATCTCGAAAACTGTATTTTATTTTGTTGATCAATGTGACCATACGCCCTTATTACTACCCATAAAAGTGACTAATGCGCTTACGAATGGCGCAGCAGAGGTCGCGAAATAGTCTACATTTCTGCTATACATCCGGGTACTCACTGGGAAAAAAACAATAACAAAGGCAACAACCAGTCCCGGGGAATTGCGTTAGATCAGTGCCCCTTTGAGTTAAAATGAGTTAAATTTTGTGTCATGATACTTGAAAGAAATACACTTATGTATTTGCGAAAACAAAAACATGGGTTTTGAGTAAAGGAAAATATTCTCGCCCATGGGCGAAATATTTCAATATCGCTATAAAATCGTAGAATTAAGTTAAAATGAGTTACGTTTATGTCATGATACTTGAAAGATATACATATATGTATTTGCGAAACAAAAGAACATGGGTTTTGAGTAAAGGAAAATATTCTCGCCCATGGGCCAAACCCTTTTTTCGCCTATGGGCGAAATATTTCAATATCGCTATAAAATCGTTGAATTAAGTTAGAATGAGTTAAATTTTGTGTCATGATACTTGAAATAAATACACTTATGTATTTGCGAAACAAAAACATGGGTTTTGAGTAAAGGAAAATATTCTCGCCCATGGGCCAAACCTTTTTCTCGCCCATTGGCCATAATATTTCAATATCGCTATAAAATCGTTGAATTAAGTTAAAATGAGTTAAATTTTGTGTCATGGGCGACATAGTGTAAATATTGAGTTTTTGAACAATTGTTTTTTCATTTTTTCTTCCTTGGTATGTTCCCATGAAAACAGCATGTTTAATTTTGTAAATACCTTTGACTGAGACTGGGCAAAAACCGTAGAGTTTCTGGACTTTTGGGTTTCCAGAATTAAAATGGGACGTGTTTAAGTAACTTGACGAGATGTGGCAGGTAATGGACCCTCTTGATTGGGCACATTATGAAATTGTGTAATTAAGGATACAGGATGCGAGAGTCGCACGCACGCACTCAGTTTCAGTTAACACTTTCCTGTCCCGTGTTATACACAGTCCAAAAACAATTGTTGTTTTGCGTATACATGTATGTTGCTTCACCACTGTATAAGAAACAGATTTCAGTTGGAACTATATTGACTACTGTCACTGTCCGACTGACACATCACTTCCCTGTGACGTAATAAATATTTATGCGCGCATTCCTGGAAAACTTGCAATGTTTCGGTAATGTTTGTGAGAGAGGGAAAGCACAGAGATTTTGAAGCACAGAATTAAAGAATGACATTATATGATAAAAAGGTTATCACGCTTGTGTGTTTGGGGATGGTAAATATCCTGCATTAGGAATAAACACTATGTAATTAGCTCGCCAAGGCTCGCTAAATACAATGTTTATTCCTAATGCAAGATATTTACCATCCCCAAATACACTCGCGTGATAACCTCTATATCTTACCAACAAAACATTTCATACGGTAACATAGTTTGCATTGATATTTTGCAATGAAAAATATAATATGGATTCCATCAATACTTTTGCTATACGTTTTCGTAATGTGCAGACATGATGATCCCTGTGAACGAGTCCAGATTTGCCCTCATTATCTTTCTATCTATTTCAAAACCATGCCCGAGCTGAAAGGTTTTTAACCACATCTACGACCTGCTTCACTTGTCAGTTAAAGCTGACATGCCGTAATGTAACTTAAACATTGTTCAAAGTGACGTGCAACTTAACTCACTTACCCGAACGTGCTCCATAGCCAAATCGTGACCTGCTCTATTGAACGGTGTGCATCGTTATGAAATTTAAGATGAGGAAACTGCATATCTAACCATCACAGAGAGTCAAATATCCTCAATAATACAGTCAATCACATTCAACAGCTTATCTTTCCGAGGCGGGTTGAACTGTGAATGCTGTAATTAATTTCCTCTTGGTCTGTTGTAAACTTCCTCGTGATTTACTGTCCAAATCCAAATCCAACTTCAACAAAAGAGTTTCAGGACAAGGGCACTGTTTCGGTTCCATGCTGCTCTTAATAACCACTCCCTTCATTTACATTTGGGGGCCAGGATAATACGCTCATGCAATTTGATAAGGGCATTGTATACACACAAGGACACTATGTGTCATACTGTTGGCAACATAAACTGTCGGGCAAAAGAAGCTATACCCCGATGTTTGATGGTGGCTATTAATGAAAAGACAATTTGTATCCCTAGCTGTGGTTTTGTTTGTTTGTTTGTTGTTTAACGCCGCACCCAGCAATATTCCAGCTATATGACGGCGGTCTGTAAATAATCGAGTCTGGACCAGACAATCCAGTGATTTACATCATGAACATCGATCCACGCAATTGGGATCGATGACATGCATTAACCAAGTCAGCGAGCCTGACCACCCGATCCCGTTAGTCGCCTTTTACCACAAGCATAGTCGCCTTTTACGGCATTTGTGTATTGAAAAGTATTACCAGCGATAATCATCCGTATAGTTTGTCAATAAACTTTCAACTGATTCCAGGTTGCTTGCACTCATTCGCTAGATCTATAGTTCAGACGAATCTTATATTTTGAAAACGTTCAAATTGACGAAGTATATTTTGAGGATTATTCGACGAACATTGAAAAGCAAACAATCCTGGAATCAGGCACTGGTTCTCCAAACGGAGGAGGAGATAGTCTCTAACTTCATAAATAACTAGAGAATCTACTTTTGAACATTATTGAACATACATTCAGTTACCGCGTGCGTTGTCCTTGGAGAATCCTGGCTGGAATAGGTCCCCTATGCTGACCGTAACAGGCGACCAAATTGATCGGGCGGTCAGGTTCGGTGACTTGTTTGATTGTGTGTCATCGTACCCCGACGGGGTTACTCACACTATCAGTCACTGGATTGTCTAGTGCAAACTCGATTATTTACACACCGCCGTCTTACAGCTGGAATGCGGTGTGCGATGTTAAACATCAAACAAAAAAAACACAGTGTCAGCTTTCTTCATATAGGAAGAAAACACGAAGTCTTGTGATCGTTTTACACTTTCGTGATACTAATGAGCAGGGGCATGGTGCAGAGAAACCAAGCAGCATAATTAGAGCAAATATAGGATTCGAACCCATCATCATAGACTTCTGGCATGCTAAGCAAGACGCAATTCTGCACAGCACATTATACTGCGCCTTAGGCGACTGGATCCCTATGGCCTCAGAGTGGTATAGTAGTAGTCATATTGTCATATTTCGGAGTATTTCGTACTTAAAGATAAGCAGGTAAACAAAGTAAGCGCATTAACCTTTCAACTTGCCAATCACCCCAAACCGGATGGACAATTGATTTAGAAATCCCTTAAAAATACAAATTAAAACTTTCTATCAATATCTATCACCCTTTTGAAAAGTGTGAGTGGCCCTACAGTTTGGGAAAATAATCTGTACGCCATCAAAGAGTATTTGTTGTCAGTTATATTCTCTTTATCGTCGGCGGTAGAAAGAAATCGTAATGAGAATCCTCGAGCTCATTAAGCGAACGTTTCTATTATACAAATCTGTCGACAAAGGACAGTAAAAACACAAGACTATCACAGATGTAGATTTAAAACTAGCATATCAGTAGTTGTGTGCAGCGGTTTGGGACCGCTCCTGGCTTCTGATTGGTCGAGAGGGTCACGTGACCTCTGTGACGTCACTTCCGGTCACGTGACATGCGCATGCGCGCGCATCCAAGATAGCGGCACATCCGTTTCCGGTGACGTGCGCCTCGAAGGTGACGTCACATTCGTTTCCGGTGGCGCGCGTCTCCAAGATGGCTGCACATCCGTTTCCGGTGGCGCGCGCACCTCCAAGATGGCGTCGCCTCCGTTTCCGGTGGTGCGTGCACCTCCAAGAGGGCGTCGCATCCGTTTCTGGGGAAGAGGGGTGGGGAAAATCCCAGAGGAACGGTCGTACAAGGTGAACAAGGTCGACATGGTTGTTGTTCTTTTGTTGTTCTAAAAATAGAAATAGAAAAGGCGTTGGTGGTGAAGGGAGGGAGGAGGAGGAGGAGGAGGAGGGAGGAGAAGGGATTCATTCTTTGTTTTGTTTTGTTTTGGTGGGTGTGTGGCGATGGCATGTGGAGATGATAGCTCACTGAGACGAGCTTATCATACACAGTCGACGACTCTGCCACTTTGTTGCTAGGTTGTCGTCATATCGGCGAAGGATCTTGCAACAACATTCCACAAATCATGTCATCGGGTATGGTGATGTGATTGTAAACTTTGAGGTGTAAGGTTTCGTTCCACAAGGCGATCGTGTATTGTAGCCCACTATGGCAGTCGTTCGTCTAAGTTAAAAGTCGGTGAGTGGCGATCACCTTAGCGCTACGATCATGGTGTGGAATTCTAAAGGTGTTGGCTGAATTCTAAAGGTGAATCGACAGACACAGACATGAACGTGATGTAGATATCTAGGTATATGCCTACGTACTGTCATTCGTGTCTCCATGCAAACATGGTGCCACGCGTGACTACAAACACACGTTTATCCATAGGATGATGACGTTGTCACTCGTTCATTTATACCGAGGTGCTGACACTCGTGTATGTTGACATGCGTACTGTCACGCGTGATGTACTTCATGTCTTCAAACACACATGCTGTACTACGTCTCTCCATGTAAACGTGATGTACTTCATGTCTTCATGCAAAACGTAGTGTCATGTGTGTGTCTTCAAAAAGACATTGATCCATAGGATGATGACGTTGTCACTCGTTTATTTATACCGAGGTGCTGGCACTCGTGTATGTTTACATGCGTACTGTCACGTGTGTCTCCATGCAAACGTCATGTACTTCGTGTTGCCATGCAAACGTGGTGTCACGCGTGACTACAAACACATGTTTATCCATAGGATGATGACGTTGTCATTCGTTCATCCACGCCGAGGAGTTGGCACTCGATATGTCTACATGTCTGTTACCATTTGTGTTTCCATGCAAACGTCATGTACTACGTGTTTCCATGCAAACGTGGTGCCATGCGTGACTACAAACAGACGTTTATCCATAGGATTATTATTTATACTGAGGAGTTGGCACTCGTGTATGTTTGCATGTGTACTGTCACACGTGTCTTCAAACAGACGTGGTGTACTTCATGTCTTCAAACACACATGCTGTACTACGTGTCTTCATGTAAACGTGATGTACTTCATGTCTTCATGCAAAACGTAGTGTCATGTGTGTGTCTTCAAAAAGACATTGATCCGTAGGATGATGACGTTGTCACTCGTTCATTTGTACCGAGGTGCTGGCACTCGTGTATGTTGACATGTGTACTGTCACGCGTGTCTTCATGTACACGTACTGTCATTCGTGTCTCCATGCAAACATGGTGCCACGCGTGACGACAAACACACGTTTATCCAAACAGACGTGGTGTATTTCATGTCTTCAAACACACATGCTGTACTACGTGTCTCCATGCAAACGTGATGTACCAAGTCTCTCCATGTAAACGTGGTGCCACGCGTGTCTTCAAACATTTATCCATAGCTAGGATGATGACGTTGTCACTCACTCATCCCTGCTGAGGAGTTGGTACTCGTGTATGTCTACATGTGTACTGTCATGCGTGTCTTCATTAAACGTGATGTACTTCGTGTCTCCATGCAAACGTGGTGTCATGCGTGTCTCCATGCAAAACGTTGTGCCACGCGTGACTACAAACACACGTTACTATAGAAGTATAGATCGATACACATGCGTGACGTTTGCTAACGTGATGTACTTCGTGTCGTGATGCGAACGTGTCTCCATCCAAACGTGGTGTCATGCGTGTCTTCAAACAGTTGTGTTTACGTTGTGGTAACGTTGGGGATGTTACGTCCATATAACGTTATTCTGTGGACTCCCATTTACGTTGTCACAACGTCATGGCCTAACGTTGTGTTACGTCATATTCACGTCGTACCAACGTTGTGATGACGTTGTATTTTACGTTGTGGGAACGTTGTCTTTTAAAGTTGAGGGAACGTTGTATTTGACGTTGTGGTAATGTTGTATTTTACGTTGTGGCAATGTTATAATAATGCGTCCCTGCAACGTTATTCTGTGTACTACCATGGACGTTGTAACAACGACGTGAAATAACTTTGTGTTACAAGGATGAAATACGTTGTGACCATTCCCCAATAAAATGTTGTAAAAACAACCCAAAAACATGTTCCGGAAATGTTTTAGAATATGCTTTAGTCACGTGAATGTGTATGATTCGAGATACCTTTTACCAATGTTTTAAAACCAGGGAGTCGAATAGCCAAGTTAACAGTTAGATCGTGTTTTGCTGACAATGTTCAAAATGTAAAACTGGTAACTAGATACATATGACTATAACAAAGTCAGACACCATTACCCTTCAGGCTTGTACTGCAGGAAACAAAATAAGAAAGGCAGACATTGTAAGGGGTTCACAATATGATATTTTCTGGGGAGGGTCGGGTCCTGGAATTTTATCGAAAATTCTTGACAAAAATAATTACGGTTCAGACTGGTGAAAAAAATGACATAGATCTAGTTGCAAGGTGCTTATCTTCAGGCTCATAGAGTTAAATAAAATCATATATCTGCTTTTGTAGCTGTGAGCGAAAACATATGTAATCTCCATAGAAAAGTTCCAGGTCCCCACCTCCTTGAATATTAAATGGTCGGTCTCTAATCAAGTCCATATAGTATACTACAACTTTCAGTCATGCGATGTCACCATTCAACAGGCCAGGCTCGCTGACTCGGTTGATACATGTCATCGATCCCAATTGCTTGGATCGATGCTCATGATGTCAATCACTGGATTGTCTGGTCCAGACTCGATTATTTTACAGGCCGCCGTCATATAGCTTGAATATTGCGACGTTAAACAACAAACAAACAAAACACCATTCAACAAAGAACTCCAAGACTTATTTGTGTTGACATTTTAATATTTTTAGATAATTGAAAATGTATACACTTTTCGAAATTATTAAACGCCAGAATCTTCTTTCTTTGGTGTTCACTTACACTTCCCTGAAATACAAACATTTTAATAAATCTCGAGCAGGTATTTGAAAGATACTATATGACGAGAAACATTCATTTAGAGATAAGGCTTTATCAATATTCAAACAATAATGTATAATGCAAGTGTCTGATGGAAACAAATTTTAACATTCATTCAGAGACATCAAGAATCAGGTTGAATGCGAAACGTGGTAGAGAATACATTTATATAAATAGATCTACATTTTTAGCATTCATTTAAAGCAAAAAAACAAACAAACCAATTAACACGGATATAGACAATGGAATGTAACTGTTAACAACTGTACTTACGTTAACATAATTCACAGCCCAGGGTTTATTTGGTGTGTTCCTAAATGATTCAACATTCTTGATTTTATCTCCTGGAATGGTCGTGTAACATTTCCCCCTTGCTGCAACGAAAATATAAAAAAAAGTCAAAACTAGAACTATATTTAATAAGCATACATTTAGATCTATAGTCTATCCAAAAAGATAACATACATTGTTTAATTGCCTAAAGTTTAGGAAAAACTGTAAATCTAAATTCCCCATGTATAACGTCCGATCGAAAATATCTCAGGCTACAGCTATAGATCTAAGTAACAAAATTATGAGTACCATCATAAAAAAAACCTGATGTAGTTTGGTTTCCATATACACCGTTCTGATAAACCGGTCGGGCAAACCAGTGATTGTTATAGTGAGCCACGTCTCACAATCTCTGTCAGAGAACAATGAGTCGGAGGAGTCGACACACAATCATGTTAGTACAAACATGGTTTGTTGGGGACCTTTTCTTAACCGGAATCCAAACGAGAACAGATATATCAGACTGGCACTGTAGTTTATTACGACTCACATCTTCATCGCAGCGCTGTTTATATAGATCTAGCTACAGTACGATTTTGTAGCCTTTATTGACCTTTTTCACACTTCGCTACTTCAGGTTTGAAAGCGAGACTTGGAGAGCAGAAGGTGAAGGCTGGATAGCACATGAAACACATGGAGATGTCAACAAGGCACGCAATCCGGACAAACTGTGACAATTTAACCATCCCGGTACATTTATCGTAAGTATTGAAGATTATTCTTATTGACAAACTATTCTAATGTTATCTGGTCTCCTTACCGATAAAAGTTTGAATCTGGCCGTTCTGTTGTGATTTCAATTTAAAATATTCATGACCACCTGGTAACTCCCAGTGCAGTTTGTGGTAGCTGAACAGACTTAATACAAATGCTACTGAAATCTTGTAAAGAATAATTCATTGTTTACACACCATTAAGCCAAACTATTTATTGTGAGTTTAAATAACTTTGCTTTATGTATTTGAAGTCGAAATATAGACCTTTTGACCATATCTAGATATATGTCAGAAACTAACTAAATTGATATGTTGATATAATGTATCAAATTGTAACCTACTTAGAATTTACAATCGTAACAAATCAAAAGTTTGCATCAGTTGCGTATTTGATGTAAATTGTAATGGACTCAAATGCATTCAATAAAATATTAGACCTCTCGATCTACTTGTGCTGTTGTGATTGTGAACAGTTGTTATTTTGATTGTCAATGTTGACAGATTAGATAGCATGAGGTGTAATATTTCAACTGAATTATTACATAAAGGGTGTGTAAATATTTAAAGAAAAGTACAGTTTGATCTGCAATTTTGGTAACAATTAATATTTCTACCAAAATGATATTTACTTTACTGTACTAATTTAATCATGTCATGAAATGAACAAAAACCCAACTAATAATGTCCAGTAAATGTTCAATCTACATGTGATCTTTATATAATTTACAGAAACAGATAACTCTTTAACAGTTTGTATTCAAATATTTCAAATGCATAAATTGATATTGACATTACTAAAAACCTAAAGTATAAAAAGAATTATTATTAATTCCCATGCGTATTGCAATCATAACTCATTAATTCCCTTTGTTTAATTGTGAAACCCATCTGGTTTTATGTCAACAAACATGTTTTGAAACTTTTAAAACAAAAAGATTTCTTTTGTGCAAGCAATTGCCATGTATTATTGATTATTAATCATATCAATTTATATATAAGAATATAGTTGTGCTTACTGTGTCATTTTGCAATAATTATATTGTTATGATGTAATATTTTACTATTGTTCACAATCTTTAGAACTTTAGTTTATTTCAATCAAGTCAAGTGGTGTGATCATTTTGATATTTTTTTATAATTCAATCAAAACGAGAAAAATAAAAAAATATAAATACATAAATACAGAGAAGAAATTTGTTTTCCTTGTCAAATAACGATGGTAGCATGAATTTATCTCATGCTCCTTGTATGCATGCTCCTTGTGAAAATTCATCCCATTTCTTCTTCGAATGTACCTTATATGATGATTTTAGGGAGACATTACTGACAGCTATCGATAATCATGGAGGACAAGAAACTCTACATAGTATTCTTTTTGGTGATCCAAACTTAGATGTTTTCCTGAATACAAAAATATTCTTGTCTGTACACAAATTTATAGAAACGACTAACAGATTCAGTAGCTAGCATATTATTGTTTCCAAACTGTTATTCATTAATATTGTTAAATCTATATTCAACACTAAAATGTATAATATTAGGATATGTATGAGATGCACACTGTCTTCACTTTCCAGCACATTGTACATATCCTTCATATGAGCACTGTATATATATTGCGCACTATGTTTCCACAATGGGAAGCTTCAACTGTAAATTGTTCATTTTCATTATGCAATATTATGTATAACTGTATATAGGGAGAAGGCGGTAATAAGTGCTGCCCTTTGTCTTTTTGGACAATAAAATATGTTTAATAATATTTCATCTTGTGATCTGACAAAGTTAATATTTTCAAGTCAAGATATGAACTTTAGTAAACCACATGAAGGAATAAAACATTGCATTTGACAAAATAAATTCAAGTCTTATATTTTCTTTGTGATCTTCACGACCTTACTCAGAAAACCATAGTGTCAATGAGGCAGACTGACTGTAGGTGTGACAAAACGTGATATTTCACCTGATTTTCACTCTAGCGAAAGTATGTTTTCAACATGGTTAGACTTAACAAAGTATTTCATGATTAAATACATACCGGTAATGCAAATATCAAAACGTGTTTCATTAAAACAAGAGTGAATTTCTGTGTGACATTGATATAAAGAGCTTTAGTACACTGTCATTAAATTGATGCATCTGTTGAGTTTACTGTTTACAAAGAATATTCTGTTTGAGTTTTCGACATATCAGATGAATTGATGCCTTCAAGATTGTTCTTCAGTAGCATGTAATGTTAAACACTGTGATTAAATTTCCTTAAACTTCTCTATTTCAGAAGAATGTTGTTTTCTAAATAAGCAATATTTTGAGAGAAGGTGAATATGCATTGTTTATAAAAAAATGTTATTGAAGTTGGAATATTATTACAATATTATAGAATTATTCATTTCAGGCCAGCGAGTCAACACAATGAAGTACTAGTATCCGGTGACGGATGTCTGGAGGAGCTTTCTGCTGACAGTAACACAATGGTTACAATGTGCGTCCTGTCAAAGGACAAGGAAGTTAAAAGCCATAATCATTTAATCAACAAATGTGCTTCCTGTCATATTTCACTTAAATAGGACGAGGAAGTGAAAAGCCTTATTCACTCACAAATCAACATGGCCAATATTTATCGGACACTGAAAAAGCACATTGTACCATTTGTTTACAAGCAAGAACATTATTTTCTCCTGGAATTTAATTAGGTGCTTTTGACTGACAAAGACACCCAGTCCATGTTAGGTTTTGAAAACTTATATTGTGAGAAATAAAGATATGAAAATTTTGGTTTGTTTTTCTTTGTTAAATATGGGAAATCCAGATTGTTCCATCCACATCATTTGTACCGATACATATATTTCATCTTGGGTCAACTGCAGCATATTATATTAGATACAGAGGATACCATTTTTTGTTTGTTTAAAATGTCCATCAGTGAAATGCACAACATGCTGTCTGTTCCCTATGAGCTGATGAGACTCTCACTGCATGGAGCTATGCTCTCCAAGCCTCGTTTTCGATCCAATATGGCGAAAAAGGTGTGAAAAAGGTCAATAGACAGCACCAACAACCAGATGATCCACATTTAGGCTACTTCAGTCAGTGCTAATTAGGCCTTTTCGGAAACAACAAATATGTTTCTGTCTCTTCCCGAAAATACAATTTTTCATAACATCATTGAGCGCTTTAGACTAGGGCTATACATTATAACTAGCAGCCTACAGAGAGTCGATCTGAAAATACTTCCATTGTTTTGATTCCCTCTCTTCGCTGTATAATAGAAGTCTAATCAACCTTTCCCATGGCCTGAATGAGCCACATTGTTTCACAAAAATCAAAGTCCGAAGATTAGTACATTTTAACTTTAAAAAGAAATGATTTCAGAAATAACAAGGAAGAAATGGCGATAACTGTCAGTGGTCAGTAGGCGATGCATAAGTTAGGCCTATTTACAGACCTATACGCTTACGATCAAAACCCGAACACATTATGACGGCCACAAAACGCAAAAAATACGCGCCAATTGTTTTTAACTGTAATATTGCTTGTGACAACATTTAGTAGAGATGGTAGATCTACAAGTGGTTTCCTAAACATCATTTACAAAAAGTGTTGTAATGTCCAAAGCACAACGTTATCACAACTTTAATTTGCAACGTTGTTGTTACGTTGTGGAATAACATTACAATGTAACGTAATACTAACGTTGTCATAGAGATACGCAATTACGTTCTGGAAATTTTAGTATTAAGAGATGAAAATTCAAATGCCAAATATAAAGAAAGGTAATGCATTACTGCATTGGTATTCTGACAAGTTCATGTTGATTTTGATACAGCAGTTCTATTCCTTTATGACTATCGAGAAGCAAACTCTATAACGTTTCACCGACGTTTCAGAAACGTAGTTACAAAACGTTATGTGATGTCCGATGCACAACGTTTTAACAACGTGAATGTGCAACGTTGTTATAACGTTGTGAAATAACGTTGCACGTTGACGTTATAATAATGTTGTGACAACGTTATATCACGACGTTACCAATCCACAACCTTTCCACAACGTTGTGACAACGTCGTGTGTTAGCTGGGTACTGATCGATAGACATACATGGTGTTTGATTCCTGTCTCCAGGCACACGTGATGCCACTCGTGTACACCACCATACATACAAACATATTTTGAAACATGGTGTCACGCATAGGCTTGTACCTCCATGAGGACTGGGGAGGGTGTGGGTTCTTTGTTTGGGTTTGAGGGTCGTCAAAGCAAAGGATGAAAAGAGTTCTTTCGGGAGAGATTGGTGACCCTGAAAAGGGCCGTTGGAAAACAAACTGGAAACAAGCTGGACAAGGGTTGTCTCCTTGATTACATTACTTTCCTTGATCTCGATACTAGATAATAATACGGACTACCCCAACAGTCGGGTATGTCAATTCCGCGTTGAATAGTTTATTGTAATGATGCCATAGCCTCAGACTTGTTCTTAAACCAGTGTGGGCTCTGCGATAGGATCGTCTCTGATTCACCCTGTGGGTAGCCCACTATTGTCCACGAATAGACTTTCCTCCTCCGCCGGCATTGTTGACTGTTGGTCTGGCACGTCAGACAGCTGCATCGAGACGACATTGTTCAGTGCTCGGACTGTGACGGTGTGCGCGGCTTCGCTCTTGTTTTGTAGGAGAGGCACTGAAACCCTGCTTCCTGATTGGTCGAAAACGCAGCACGCTGATTGGTTCGTTCCGGCGCCTGGTCTGAGTTTCGGGTCTTATTTTTTCCAAACCGGAAAGACCCTTGTGATGGATGTACAGTCAGTCTGTCTTACAGTGGTGTACACCCTTCCCGCCTTCCTCCCTCCCTGAATCCCTCCTCCTCCCTCCTCCCTCTTCCCTCCCTTCACCACCACCGCCTTTTCTATTTCTATTTTTAGAACAACCATGTCGATCTTGTTCACCTTGTACGACCGTTTCTCTGGGTTTTTCCCCCATCCCTCCTCCCCAGAAAAGGATGCGACGCCCTCTTGGAGGTGCACGCACCACCGGAAACGGATGTGACGTCATCTTGGAGGCGTACGCCACCGGAAACGGATGTGTCGCCATCTTGGTCCCATCGTGCCCTGCGCGCATGCGCAGGTCACGTCACTGGAAGTGACGTCACAGACGTCACGTGACCCTCTCGACCAATCAGAAGCCAAGAGTTGTCCCAAACCGCTGCACACTACTCATATCATCATACAATTTTAACAATTCAGTACACAATAAAACTGGGCTATTGATCACCAGTAACCAAAGGTAGGTCACGTTACTAGGTACCATGGGGACTTACGATACTTCTGCCACCAACATGGTAACCCAGCAGGTTTTACACCATCGCTCTGGCAGAAATGTAAATAAAATTTTGTATTCGAAGCTGAAGTGGAAAGCATAACCAAAGGTGCTAGTTCCTCTCTAGGACATACCCCACTTTAAACCATAAAAATGATATATAACAACAAACACCATATAATCTATATCATGGGTTTTATTTATTATTATAGTTTACCAAACTATAACAATATGAATATTAAAATACATCACATCAGAGAATGAAAGGATTAAAACCCTAAAGATTTCCAATTTACATGATATTGAGATTCACTTCAACTTTCCTCTAATAATAAACTGTTACTATTGGTATCCCCAAGCACCAATACTCAACATGCTCACTGGGCCATTGTCCATGTGGTCATACACGGTGAATGTTAAAATCACACATCCTATCTACAATCAGACAGCAAGACGGTATAGTTAATTACAATACCCCCGTTATTATAATATTCCGAGGTAGAATAGGTCTTCAGCAACCCAAATTTGCCATAACAGGCCACTATGCTTGTCGTGAAAGCGACTTACGGGATCGGGTGGTCAGGCTCCCTGACTTGGTTGATACATGTCATCGATCCCAATTGCGTGTATCGATGCTCATGATGTCATGATCACTGGATTGTCTGGTCCAGACTCGATTATTTTACAGACCGCCGTCGTAAAGTTGGAATATTGCTGAGTGCGGCGTTAAAACAACAAACAAACAAACAATACCCCGTATAATTACTAGTAAAGAGTGAAAAGGGTCCACCACCAAACTTCCTCTTATTAATTCTTACAAAAACAAGAAAAGTTGGGGTGTGGGGAAATGTCTCACTTTGAGTGGGGACTTGTGTAATTAAATGTAAATATATCGCCGTACTTCAGTAACTCCATATTATGGATCACATCACATGGTTTTATTTTTAGGAAACGAACGATCAGTCACTATGTTATCTCCCTTTACTTGGTTGCCTCCCTTGTTCCGCCGTGTGTGATGCACTGGTCCCATTTAGGCCAGAATGCGTCCTTCATACGTTCACAGTAGGTGGCCAAGTTGGGATATTTTTCTGGGGGATAACAAGAGGTTATTAAAACTTTGTTCAACAAAGACCATCACACGTTTGTTTTGATGTGAACTTCGAACAGACAATACCAACCAGAGTTTTAAAGCAAAATTTAAAAAATATCAAAAGGTAAACATTCACTAAACATCGTCTAAGGAGCCGCAAATCGCTGAATTACATTCCTCAGTTGTGCCATGATCGCATAACCTGGTCCCGGAGCCTGTTTCTCACCACCTTACCCTCAGGCTTTCCTCTCACGTTAAGCGGACAGGCAGGCCGTGATATAACTGGAATGATGTTTACAGCGGCGAAAAACACAACTCACTCACCCTTTCCTAAGGGATACATTCGATCACATACTTATATTAATACCATTGTATACCTGTTGTCTGTGTTTTACCTTTTATGAGATTCTCGTATCCAGATCCATTAAACTGCCAGTATGTCTGCGACAGCACACCGAACACCGAGCAGTCTGCTTCACTGGGCTCATCCCCCATCAGAAACCTCTTCCTCCCTGGTGAACAGAATGTTGCCTCAATGAATAATTGACCTGGTACGTTTAGCTACGTGAGATTGTACACCAACACAAATACGTATAAACCATGGCTAATTATGTTATAATGTGAAGGGAAATACATATAATTGAAACGTTAGCCTAATAAGGATTACGATTATGATCTCTGATGCGTGAAATTGTGTGGGCAGAACATGTATAAACCGTGGCAAGGTATATAAAAAGGAAAACAATATAAATGTCAACGTCGTGGGGATTACCTTTATAACTTCCAAGCATCATCGTTGGTTTACATATTCTTGTCCCAAACTGTTGATAGACTGACCATTTTCACAAACGTGGTTGACATACAATGTAAAGTAAAAGTTAAAATATGTATTTCCAAGGGATTAAAAAAGACATTGTCCATCCGGTTTGAGGTGATTGGCAAGTTCAAGGCATTAACTTAACTCCTTATTATGTTTATTTATTTTGAGTACAAAAGATTCTTTTCTTTGTTTGTTTGTTGTTTAACGCAGCACTCTGTTTTATTCTAGCTATATGACGGCGGTCTGTAAATAATCGAGTCTGGACCAGACAATCCAGTGACTGACATCATGAGAATCGATCCACGCAATTGGGATCGATGACATGCATCAACCAAGTCAGCGAGCCTGACCACCTGATCCCGTTAGTCGCCTTTTACGACAAGCATAGTCGCCTTTTACGGCAAGTATGGGTTGCTGAAGACCTATTCTAACTAGGAGCATCGATCTTCACAATTGGGATACTATGACATGCATCAACCAAGGGAGCCTGACCACGATCCCATTAGTGGCTTCTTACAACAAACAATGTTGCCTTTTACGAAAAGCATGGGTTGCTGGAGATCTATTCTAACCCAGATTTTAAAGGGGAAAAACAATCCTAAACATGACAATATTTCTTCCAAGAGAATCTTTCAATTCCATTCTGGGGCCATGAGAGATCCAGTCGTCCAAGGCGAAACAATTTCCTGTCTAGAATTACGTCCCTTACGAGTGCCAGGAGGCTGTGATCGTGGGTTCGATTCTATGATTTGCTCAGATAATGTTGTGTGGTTTCATTGCACACCCATGCTCATGGGTGTCACCAAAGTGGTTAACGTGTATCAAAGGAAAGTATAGCTTTCAAAGCAAGCTGACACTGGGTTTGTTTTGCTTCTGTTTTAAGCCTAACTCGGCAGAATTCCTGCTATAGACGGTGGTCTGCGAACAATCGAATCTGGACCAGACAATCTAGTTATTGATAGTGTAAGCAATGATCCACGCCGTCGGGGTACTACTATCAACCAAGTCACCGAACCTGACCACCAGATTCATTTGGCCGCCTCTTACGACCAGCATAGGGGACCTATTCTAGCCAGGAATCTACCCACGACAATGTACGCTGTTACTAGAATATTGTTCAAAAAGACGCTTCTAGATTATCTTCCCGAGGCAAGAGAGTTCACTGACTTTGAAAGTCCAGTTTCCACCCTTGTCGAACAAGGCTGGAATTCCTGGGCTCGATCGTAGCGCAACCAGTGGCTATTACCAGTTATGTCCCTTCTAAGCCTCTCCCATGGACCAATCAGATTCCACCTCTCGTTTCACTTTCATTTGCTTCAAACAAAAAAGGCAGCGCCAAGTCAGGACGATCTGATCGATAATCAAGATCTATATTGTGATAAAACGGGTCCTACATCGCGAAATGCATCAAATCACGTGAGCGCCTTGATTAAAAACATGAAAAGATTTGGAAAATATCTGTTGACAACGAGTTTGCGGTGCACATGCTTTGCAAATCCTGCACTCGACCGAAATCTGCATGACAGTTTACGAACCGGATTTCGATTTCGTTGCGCGATTTTGATTAGACTATGCATAGACTCGTTAGTCCAGCCAAATTGTAACTCCATAATACCAGCCTAGTTCGGAAAGGATGGAAACTGGACTTTTATAGTCAATTTACTCACTTGCCTCAGGAAGACGTTCTAGATTGACAAGTAACTATTTATTGGAAGACACGACGTACCTATAAAGTCGGAGAGAGACTGGATATCCTTGTTCATCATCTCGACTATCTCCTCTTCCGTGTGGCGACCCAGTCCCTGATTCCACGCTTGTTTTTTAACATTTCGTCGAACCATCCACACAATAAACTTCCTTAATTTAAACTTTTCCAAAATAAACTCTGCGTTTCTGCTATACACCCAGCGAATGAGAGCAAGGAACCTGGAATGGAATAATTTCAAATCATATTGACGGATGGTTATTTCTGGAATGACTTTGCAATACACATATTCAAAACTGAGTCAGATGTTAGTGAGACAGAATGTAACGATACATCGCCATTATTTCAGCCAGGTGTTGTTTGAAAGATGCACCCCGTGAAGATCCGGGTTAAAAATTCTTCAGTAACCAATGTATGCCGTGAGAGTCGGGTGGTCAGGCTCGCTGACTTGGTTGATGCAGATCATCGTAATTTGTAGGTAAACGGTGCGATGACCCTTCACGCCAACGAGCTGGTCATCCTTTAGAGGCTACCCACCTTCAACAGTACTTCACCAGTGACCACTCACAAAAGGGATAAGTACGTGGCTGGAATAGAGCAGCATGAGGTGTTGAGCGCTCACTCATTCACTGATTTACTAAAAGGTGTTGACGTACCAGCACAGATGTTCCTCCGTCATGACCTGCATCGCCTGCGCTATTCCTTTGTCAGCGGGACTCAGATGCTTGTTCAGGTCTACCCCAAGCTTCTGGTTGAGGAATTGGATACACAGTGTAGAGTCCCCTATCGGTTGTCCATTGTACTCAATCCAGGGGAATTTGCCCTTAGGTGAATGCTTCATCCCAAAGACGTTCTGTGGAAATGTGACCAGAAATGAGGAACTGTGTGGAGATCAAACTGGGACTAATTATAATATATGTGAATTACGGAACATGATACAGGGCACTCTAAGTAACAGTATGTTTCTTCATTCAATCGGGAGAGCGGAAGATCGTTGTGCACGTCCCTCCAAAAGAAGTTAAAAGAAGTTAAAAGACGGTACCTGTTGTTACCCTGTCTTGCGCTCGGCATTAAGGGGCTAAAACAAGGACTGGTCGGCTCGAAGTCATTTGACTGTGTATGAGTGTGGTATCCGTGTTAAACTGTGACAAGGTATCCCAGGGGGCTAAGCACTATACAACCAGAATCAGTCATACAGACACATACATATTATATATGTACATATTATAGAAGTGCAATAATCTTGAACGTAAACCCGATTCATTCGACAAGGTGCTTATCTCAAGACTTCCTGAAAAAAATCCGGAATATAGTTTCTCTACAATATTCTTTACTGACCTGAGGCCCGTTTCACAAAGCGATCGTTCCTTCAGAACTAACTTAAGTCTGTGATCGCTTTGTGCAACGGGGCACTGGGCAGTGGGCGAATGCATGATTTACTCCACATTTGGCAAAAATACACATGGATCATGGCAGTAATTAATCTGTCAGGCCAGGTGGTTGATAGCATGAGCAACGACCCAACCATCAGGACACACGCACAAACAACCAGGTCACAAGTACAATGAAGATTCTAATTAGTTGACAACATTGCATGAGTTACTGTATAATTACGACTGCTATGCCAATCGCCCCCTACGTGAGTTCGCTGACCTGGTAGGGTATCCTGGCCATCCGGAGGTAGGTCTCCAGCTTCACAACAAATGGGCTCACGCTGGGGGCATAGGGACCTCTACTAGGCTGATGAAGGATCACTGTATCTCGGGGATAGTCCTCACGCTTCTCTCTATACAGCGAAACAACAACATTACTGCAAATGTCCACCCCTTTACAAAATCAATTTTACTTGCGGGAAATATATCTTCCGTCTTGCATGTGACATAGTTAAGGACTCACAACGTGAAAAAGACACAATGGGAACTTAAATTACAGCGTATTATATTTTCAGCACACTTTAACGGACAACCACGCCATTCGTCTCCACGAATGGTTAAAACCTCATCAATACCCAGTCAATTATCATGGGTATCAAATTTATCTCTTCACCGGTTGATTGCGAGTTTATCAACTGCACCAGGTGTCCTATGAGGGACGAGAACATACTTTAGCGTGAGTTTCCTTATGGCGACGAGCGACACGACAGTAACTGCTGCACCGCCGACACCATACAGAATTGTCTGTGATGTGTCGAGGTTTCTAAACGTCTCAAGAAAACTCTCCATTCTTGACGAGCCGGCGATACGTCTTCCTTGTCTATGCGTCACAGGTCAATGACAATGTGCATGAAGGGAGGCAACTCCTGACTGGCATCAAGCTTGACTGGGTGCGGAATGTTTTCAAGTTACTATGTGTATTGCAAACATATTACCTCACCCCGTCACAAGGAAAGTCAATATTTTTTGTGATCATATTAGTAATTTATTGATTATAAAATGAAATATAATTATAGATTCTAGATTCTTCTGTCTTGCTGAGGACAACAACAACATTATCCCCTCCAAACCACCTTTTTAAAGTTTGAACAAAGGTTTCAGCTCCTCTTTACTACCTTCTATCAGGCGCAAAATATGACGAATTACTGACCACATCCATATCACAAAAATATTAAAGATTCAAAATGTACATTGTATATGACGTATCACTTTCACATACAATTCAGGATAACGCAAACACGTGTTATGAGACGCGCACATCATAAGCAAGCATGTAAACAATATATGATGACAGTAGGAGGTACATAAAGGATGTCCTTTGTATGAATGGATGGTACTATTGTTGCAGTCATCAATAGAACTACACGTGTTGACACTTAGTCCGGACACTCAGTTATCCAACTTGTACTGTTTAAACGCACACACTTCACACATACTAATATAAGTATTCAACGAATATGAGACGAATAATCTTGTGACAATATGTATGGTTTTTATTGTGCAAAACGAAGGAGCTACAACCTATGCAGTATTAATGCATTCGTACATGTACATGTAATCTGCAAAACGACCCTTACCAGGAATATATAGGAGTCGGTTAATTCACGAATCTAAAATATGTCGATATATAAGTCGGTTGTTTCACGACCTCGAATTCTGTCTCAGCCCTCGGTCCTACTTATTGACCTATGACCTATCGTGAACCGTTACTGCAAGTCATCATGTCCTTTTATACCATAAAAAACCCGATCTATTTCATATAAAAAAAGCCTTGGGCAAGCAGCCCTAACAATTCGTCACAATAACCATGGAGGGGAGGGTCCCCCTGGGAGAGGATCAGCCCTTGATAACTATGACTATATGCGACAGTTTTTCTAGGGGTATCAAATTCCTCGTTCACCGGTTATAAGTGCAGGTGTTCTGAATGCTATTTTTAAAGGTTATCACATACTTGAACAGCAGCTTCCTCATGACGATTGCCGTTACGACAGCTGCTACTACACCTCCGACTGTATATACAATTTTCTGTGTTCCGTCCAAATCCCCAAACGTCTCAACAAGTCTCTCCATCGTTGCTGAATCGGCGATGGGTCTGTTCATGCAACCAACATAAACACACCGGCCTGAATAACTCCGAGCATGCTCTTTCTGATCAGCCAGTGTCGACGCTCGTCGCGCCGAGAAGGGAAGTAAATCTTCTCTCAGAGAGAAAACAGTATTCAAGTTGGTTGGTTGTTTTGTTGTTTAACGCCGCACTCAGTATTATTCCAGCTATACGACGGCGGTCTGTAAATAATCGAGTCCATAAATAAATAAACCAGACAATCCAGTGATTAATATCATGAACATCGATCCCCGCAATTGGGAAAGTATTCAAGTATCGTCATAAGTGAGGTGAAATGGGTTTAACGTCGCGTCCAAGATTATTGCACTTATATAGGGAAGTGTATGCACGTGTGTGCGTGGCTGCTTGTACTAGTACGGACTGATGCCGATTTATAGTGCTAGCTCACTAAGATACCATGCCGCAGTTTAATCGAATATCCCACTCAGACACAGAATACTGACTCCGAGCCGACCGGTACTTGTTTTAGCCCCTTAATGCCGAGCGACAGACAGGGTAACAACAAGTACCATTTTTAACGTTTTTTGGTATGACGCGGCCGGGGATCGAACGGGCAGACGCTCTACCACTAGACCACGGAGGCGGTCAGTATTGTCATATGTCAGTTCTATGTAATTCATATCATGAGACGGCCCCTCTAACGCTCTGTCCTTTCCCCTACCATAGAACGTGCAGTGCATGCGTGCTTGCGCTGTGCCTTCCACGGTTTGTCCCCCCCTACGTGTCATGTACACATTTCTATACAAAATTACATGATAGTTTCTTAAAGAACTTTATCCGTCATGGGTCCTAAAATAAACAAAATTGCGATTGTGTTGGGTACAGGGTATTCATGGTCAAGTACCGTATTGATGTTTCATACACTTTTCTGGATTTCGAGTTATTTTGCAATTCATCGTTCTCATTTGGAGTCAAACGGACTGTAGGGGAAATGACAGAGCGTTAGAGGGGCCGTCTCATGATAATTTGAGTCGCAATCTGACTCGCTCATGCCATAGATCTCGTCGTCGGAACTGCTGGTGCCTGAACCGACTGACACTATTATAGGTTGGACTGTTGCTGGCCGCAGTCCTTCTCGTGACCAATAACGTGGCTCTATCTTGTCAACGACTGTGGCCACACAACGCCTCCATGTTTCTACTGTTACCCGACAAAGGGATTCCTTTACGAGTTGTTCAACGTCTCGTAATTTGAACGTTGTGTTCGATCGTCCAACGTCACTCTTGACGATGCCCCAAACCAACTCGATTGGATTCAGGTCGCAGTGATAATGTGGCAGTCTTAAGACAGCGTGACCCTGACCCTTGATGTAACTGTCAACTTTATACACGGGGTCAGGTTTCATAGTTTTGATGATTTCATAGAGCTGTGGTTTCGTCGCTCGAGAAGGAAAGGTAATGTTCCTCCGTTGCAGCCAAGTAACCATGTCTCCTTTACGGTTATTAGAGGTTGGAGTCTTGCTTTCTGGATCCTGCACACTATGATACGGTGCACTGTCCATGACAATGAGAGACTTGGTAGGCAAAGCAGGGACTAATTTATCTTTCACCCACTCCAGAAATATATTGCCGTTCATTTTTGTGTGGTAGTCCCTGTTCGTCTTTGGCCTTGGCTCTAAAGACGAGGTCACAGTCTGGGAGAAAACCCTGACTAGCAGAACCAACATGGAGAACTATGAGTCTTTCACCCTTTCCCATTGGTAACTTTCTACCAGACTCATTACAGTCACCACTGGGTACCCACTGACTGCTGGCTGTGTGTGACGCATTTACCAATGTCTCCTCTAAGAAGACGGGCTCATATCCTTCTTCACATTTCTGCTTGATGGTACGAAGGTAATGATTTCGGAGACGAACAATGTCAGACCGTTCACACAACACAGCTCTATTTTCTCCAGTTATCTTTTTGTATTTGTAACAAAATATATGCAACAGCTGCCATAGTTTGTAATCTGCAAATGGTTGAAAGACCCACGTCACTCTATGAATGGTTGATAGGACCACCTTACCCGTTGATGTTTCAGAGGTCCAAGGCCCCCCTCACTCTATGAATGGTTGATAGGGCCACCTAACTCGTTGATGTTTCACAGGCCCACCTTACTCATGGAAAGGTTGATAGGCCCCCCTCACTCTATGAATGGTTGATAGGGCCACCTTACTCGTTGATGTTTCAGAGGTCCACCTTACTCGTGGAAAGGTTGATAGGCCCACCTCACTCTATGAATGGTTGATAGGCCCACCTCACTTGCCGAGTGGTTTATAGGCCCATCTCACTCCATGAATGGTTCATAGGCCCACCTCACTCTATGAATGGTTGATAGGCCCACCTTACTCGTTGTAGGCGCATCTCACTCTACTAATACAAGTGGCTCTAGAAATATAATATTATGGTTGATGATAACATAAAATGGATAGTCTACTTCTTTGTTACAATTACAACGTCTTTTGGTTTTTAACACCGTCATCAAGAAAGTGATTAATATTTGTAGCGACGCTTGGTGTAGATTCTAACAGCGTGTACAATCGGTAGCTTGTACTTTCATTGCAAAAGAATATTCCTGACTGGATTGTTCACTTACTCACTCAGCTTCTGGGCTAATGGCGACACGCTGGGAGCATAGGAACCTCTACCGATCTGATAAAGGATTACTGTATCCTCGGAGAGGATCGGCGAAAGGTAAAAGGTCATTTTGTATGACGTGCCGTTATCATTTCATTCTTCTCCAATTTCAGCTTCTCCCAATTCCTGTACGGACCCCGTTGCCGTCCCCTTCGCCCTCTCCATGCCTGGGTTGGTTTTGTATCTGGGCAGGGGGCAAGGGCGGCCCAGTCGTCTAAGGTGCCGCGATATGCTGTGCAGAGTTACGTCCCTTGGGCACGCCAGAAACCTATGATTGTGGGTTCGAATCCCGGGTCGCCCCGATTATGTTTCTAGGTTTGTCAGCACCATACCCGTGCTCGTGGGTTTCACCGAAGTGCTAAACGTCTGAGACCTGCATCACTTCGGGCTTTCCTCCAACATTAAGCTGACACGCCGTGATATAACTGGAATACTGTTAAAAGCGTTAGTGAGTGAGTGAGTGTTGTTTTACGCCACTTTTAGCAATATTCCAGCAATATCAAGGCGGGGGACACCAGAAATAGGCTTCACACATTGTACTCATGTCGGGAATCGAACCCGGGTCTCCGGCGTGACGAGCGAACGCTTTAATCACTAGGCTACCCGACCGCCCCTTTGACTCATTAGGATAGACAATGCGATCGAGTTCATGTCTGTGCACAAAGCTGTTATCATTTGAATCAGTACAGTTAAATATATACTATTTCAAAAAAGAAACGCATAGGTGTTTCTGAATTTAAGAATATCCTCTGATCAAAGAATATGTCAACTGAATCGATCAAATATGTTATATATCTGTTAACAAGGAGACTTCTATGCAAATCTGTATTTTAAAAAAACACCAAAACGCAAAACGTTGTGTTTGATAAGACGTTTTAATATTTCTGAAAACACATCACCAAAACGAAACCAAACTCATTTTGCACGTGCAAATTGGGCCATGAGTTGCATGCTGTGTCTGTCTATAAAATGCCATGTCGCATTCGAAATGTGAAATCAGTTTTGAAGAGTTTCACGACGGAATCATTATGCCACGTCTAGATGCTGCGACTCGCAATATCGCCCTTTGAAGACTAGGGGCTGGTGAGTCGCAATCTTCAGTTGCAAGACGTCTAAATGTAAGCCAGAGTACGATTTCTCGACTCACAACACGCTACAACCTTACGGGTACCACAAACGACCGTCCACGCACCGGAAGACCTCGAGTCACCACAGCAGCTCAGGATCGCTACATCCGGGTCCTCCAATTACGCGATCGTACTGTTACAGCTGAGTGCACAGCGGCCAGGGTGCCTGGACTTCGAAGGATATCGGGGCAAACAGTAAGGAACAGACTGAGAGAGGTTGGACTGAGTGCCCGCAGACCCTACTTCGGGAACGTGTTACGACGTCAGCATCGCGTCCAACGTCTCCGCTGGTGCAATAACATGTCGGCCTGGAATTTACGAAACTGGAGGCGCATATGGTTCAGCGATGAATCTAGGTTTCTTCTACAGAGACGGGATGGACGAAACAGAGTTAACAGACGGGTCCATGAACGTTATGCTCCTAACTGTGTACGTCAAGTGGACAGATTCGGTGGAGGAAGTGTCTTGATGTGGGCGGCGATATCCTACAACAACCATACTAATCTTATCCATGTCCAAGGAAACCTGAAGGCTGTGCGCCATAGGGACAATATTCTTCAGCAACACCTTCTCCCAGTCATTGACGTCCGACGGGAGTTATTCCAGCAAGACAACGCCAGGTCACATTCAGCACGTGTCACCATGGAGTATCTGGCAAATAACAACATTCCTGTGCTCCCCTGGCCATCTCGTTCCCCGGATCTCAAACCAATAGGACATCTTTGGGATGAACTTGATCGGCGTCTACCTCAGCCTGTACGTCAACCTCAAACTCTTCAAGTGTTAGCTACGTTTCTTCAGCAGGAGTGGAGGAGAATCCCTCAACCAGTTATACAGCGTCTGATCCAGTCCATGACGAGGCGGGTCCGAACTGTTATACTCCACGTGGTGGACATAACAGGTACTGACACTTCTGTTGACGCTGAACAAAATCATGACTGTTTAGTCTGTGGAGATCATTATGATCGTATACCCACTTGGTTCTGCCATGTGCACGTCAAATTTCATGCTCCTGGGTATGTTTGTTGAATAGTTATACACGTTTGAATTAAAACTTTCTCTCTTCAGATTTCTGTCTTATGCGTTTCTTTTTTTGGAATAGTATAGATACCGCTACACGTACATGGGCTATCGAGTCAGAATTTATCAGTGATCTTGACATTGGATATTTTAGACACAATTTTATGGATAACAACTTCTTTAATACTGTAAAATTTCAGCCGTCAACTTCCAAGTAATGCCTATCAAACAATGTATTGGCTATTTTGTATTAAAATAACCATTTCTTTTGTAACGTTATTATTTTTAAAATAACTAAAATTAAAAAAAAGCTATTACATGAACATGTGTGCGCAGTCTGGCCTTAAAGCAGCAATAAAAGCAAAAAAAACTGACAAACTCAGCCAGCTCCTTTTCCGAGTATAGGAAGCTAAATACACAGACCCAAGTTCCGCATCAAATGTCTATTGCTTGAAAATATATGCGGTCACATTCAGCATAAGTCATCATGTTAAAAAAACTCAGCAATGAATATAGAAAAAAACAAGGTCAATTTCAATTATTGGATGGATGTACATTTAAAAAACCTAAAGATCTTACACAAAATCATCCAATCACAGCTGCCAGATGATTCAATCTGCTCTGAAGGCTCTAAAAAACTACGACTGATTCTGATTTGGTGTAGCAGTTATGTCACCGTCTAAAATACAGGTTCAGTTGGAATCTTCTCATTTAATATATTAATCGCACATTTCATGATAAATTACAACGTTTAGAAACCATTTGTCACGATAGGATTTAAGAATAACATTAAATGACAAAGGGCCATATCAGGAGAACATGCCTGCCTGGGTATACAGTGTTTTTTTGTGTGTGTTTTTTGCGTTGTACAAGAAGTTCTGCATGAGCCTTGCCGTATGCGGCCACGCCTTCTATTACACAACAATTGTGAAACCTTATTCCTGCTTTTGGTCACCGAATACCTTTAGTTGTATTCATGCGACTTTTTTAAGATTGATTTTTTATTGATTTTGTTTTCAAAATAGTGGAAAACATTTGTTGGTGTGCTTTCTTTTCGACATTATTTTAATGGTAACAAATAGCAATACCTTAGAGGTAAGTATTAAATGTTGAAGTGAAAGTACGGAAATCACACGTTCCAAAATCGGCTTTCAAACACTGTGTCATATCAAACACTGTATGGGGCCATGTGAATGCACAGATAACGATTTGCGATACAACACCGCACAATGGATACGTTTTTACATCTCAAACTTACAAAATTCACAGTCCTACTAAAAGCTAAACAGCATTGTGATAATCGTTTACTGGTTTCTGGTTGGCAAGACGTTGTCTCTTCTACCTATCAGTGGCATGGTTTTAGGTTTCGAAACTTCTTCTTGGTTGGAATCAAACTACCTGGATTGTGATCGCAGTATTACTCTGCTCAACCTGCAGGGTCTCAATGAATGTGTACAGATTTGGAAGCCACCCCTCGAGATGATGTGTTGGCGTCGACCCACTGCTCAATGACAAAGTTGTCTTTGGTGTTAATGGGGGTTGGGCATCCTCTTTTGGGAACATTTCCAATGAATGGAAATTTGACGTGCTGTCTTAATCCTGATCCTGTATCCGGCCAGAATAAAGTGCCGATCCCTCTTAGAATTGGGATAAACTGTAAACCAACCTGCGCATTTGCCACAGTGTCTGTAATCCTATTTATAGCCCAAATCGTTTTAAATGATTAATTTGTTCACTCACTCATTGATATATAGTAGAACATTGATATAAGAACTACAAGGGACCAGAGAAATCAGTTCGTTATATCCGTTGTTCGTTATATACGTTTTAGGTCAGAAACGTGCGCCATCTTGGATAAAACAAAACACAATAAGACGTAATTGCAGCATTGACTTGTATTAGCAGTGATCACTTTATAGTATTCAAATGATCACATTTCATAACATTCATTTGATAACATTAAATTCATAATATTTTTAGAACATTGTTTATCAAGTACATGTAAGCATACTTAACGTTTTACGATTTACTCTACGGGGAGATGTGTAGTCCGTGATTTTGTGTTTGCCTCGTTTTGCTGATTTGCTTCGTGAAACTGCATCGTTGAGATCATTCGTCACCTCTCGCCCATTTCCGTAACCTGCAAGAAGACGTTGTTGTTGTTGCATTAGGTGTTTAAGAGGTCGCCTTCTGCCTAGGCAATTTCGGCTGACCTGTCCCTCTTTGGGACTCCTGTGTGTTAGAAGGGTTCACATATCTATGGTGAGTTCGGTGTTCACATAATTTCTGTTTTTGATTTGATATGATTTCTATTTTCTTATATTGATAGGATTTCATTTTTATCCTTGGCTGCTCTGTTTATATACGTTCGAGCAGCTGTCCATCTCTCAGAAATAGAGTTAGTTTGGCCTTCGCTATTGCATCTCTTGGCTTCAGGAGATCCATGACAGATAGCGGATCTAACGGCAATTCTTGTTTTTACCTAGCCCGGGCTCGGGCATGGTCTTGACATTCTAGTAACACGTGGTCAATATTTGAAAAATGAGTAATTGCTATAAAAACACCGGATTACCGTAGTTTAGATTAGCGCCCGTGCTGTTTAAACAGAGGAGAGGAGAGGAGATTTACTAGAGAGTCGTTTTGTAAAAATAAAATACAGTTGGATGTTTAAACACAGGAGAAGAGATGATCAGTTTCTTAATTGAACAAACAATTAGTTTCTTAGTTGATATGGGTTATGATACCGATGGGTTTAGAGGAGAGTCGTTTCTTAAGAATACATACAGTATGTATTTGAGGGTATATATAAAGAGTGCAACTTATTTATCTATGTGGTGTCACATATACACGGACGGATCTTCAGATCCGACCTCCAAACACACAGGTTTCGGAGTCCATACCACAAAACCAACTAAAACCACACAATCCTCCCGACTCCCAAACAACCAATCAATATTCACGGCAGAACTAAATGGCATGTAAGTTTGAATAAATTACTACTGTAATTACGGTATACGCATTTCTGTGTTTTTCTTGTAATTTGAGAGTCCCGGTACAGCAATACCCCGTGTTTACTGTAGCGTGACCAGTCTTACTGTAGCTTCACGAAAGCGAAGGGGATTTTAGAGTTCATTATGGCTAGGTTTCGCTCTCCCGGACCAGAACCTTTGTGATTAACTATGCCCTTAAATATTCAAATCAAAGTTGCTATGTTGACATTACCTGCCCTTTAAAACTAAAAGAAATTTGACGATAGCTGACCTCATAAAACCAAATTGGCGAGAGCGACTGACAACACGTCTGACCTCGCCGACAGTCGCAAGCGGTCTCAAATCCAAGCCTCACTACGCTCAACACTTATTCCCCTTTTTAACTTGAATTGTTCATAATATTGCTGGGTGTTATTCAGGCCGCCCTAGCACAGATCAGTTCACCGTAACACACACAGGAGGCAAACAGGTCACCAGCAATGGAAACTCTCAAGGATGCCTTCACCGACATGGACACATCACAGAAAGTATTGTATGCTGTCGGAGGCGTTGTCGTAGCCGTCGTATCGGTCGTCGCCCTGAGGAAACTATTTTTCAAGTAAGTTATCACGAATGAACAGTCAGTCTGGAACGCTGAGTTGATAGTAAAAAAAACAGCCATTTTGGTATCCTTAAACAAAATATTCAGTAGGCTAAAGCTGCATTTATGTTTAATGTTAAGGAGCTCTATATGTAACCGTGCATGCTTAATTATCAATGCATATTTGGTTTGAAAACAATCTAGGAGCTAATATCTTCTTTAACGTTTGGGATCAAGAATTTGATTTTCTTTTATCCTCGGTTTTTTCTCCAAACAAACGGGGTCACGGGTGGCCCAGAGGCCCATTTAAGGTGTGGCAATTCGCTGTGCAGACTCGTGCTCGTGGAGTCAAATCCCGGTTCGCCCCGATTATGTTTCTTGGTTTGTCAGCACCAAACCGGCGCACGTGGGTTTCACCAAAGTACTAAACGTCTTAGACTTGCATCACTTAGAGCTTTCCTCAAACATTGAGCTGACAGCCGTGATATAACTGGAATACTTTTCAAAGCGGCGTTAAACCAAGACTATCACTCACTCACTCACCGAAACAAAAAGAAATGCTGGTGAGGCCATGCAAATTAAATGGATGAGTATAGGATTGCATTTTTAATAAAATACCATAGCGCCTAGCATATGTACAATTAGAGAAACTAGACTGCATTCTTTTTGTGGACCAATAGCTTCACGTTCTTAAACTATAGTGTTGCTGTTCAAATATCTGGTAGATATCGACAAAGACGTGTAAATGTAAATGTTTTGAACATTCAAACAACCAGCTGTACATTGATCTATTATGATATTGTACAGAGAGGTAAAGAAGGACTATCCCCGAGACACGGTGATCCTCCGTCAGATCGGTAGAGCTCCCTATGCCCCCAGCTTGACGCCATTTGCTGTGAAGCTGGAGACCTACCTCCGGATGGCCAGGATACCCTACCAGGTAGGCGAATGAGTGTTGTTTCACGCCGCAGTTAGCAATATTCGAGTAATGTCACTGCAGCCTGTACATACTCTAATCTGGTCCATGAAAGCAAGTGGTTGACATCATGACATCAGCAACATCTTCTGCTTTGTTACCTTTCACACAGAACGTCCATGGGATGGAGCCTTCATCAAAGGGCAAATTCCCCTGGATGGAGTACAATGGACAGGAGGTAGCGGACACGACACTGTGTATCAACTTCCTCAACCAGAAGCTGGGGGTGGACCTCAACAGGAATCTGAGTCCTGCTGACAGAGGTGTAGCTCAGGCGATGCAGGTCATGGTGGAGGAACATCTGTACTGGTAAGTGCTATTCATTTCTAATCTGTCCTTCCATCGTACACGAAGGCCCATGAAGCAAAGACTTTGCAAGCCTTTTGCGTATTTTCATACCTTTGCCGATCCCAGCAGTGGTAACGACGCTAAAACCAATGGTGCAAAACAGAGGATCATATAATCAGGGTAAATCTGAGACTCGAACCCATATTAGGCAGATCCTACTGCACATCGGATTATTGCGCCTCTGTCCACAAAGTCTGTACATGTACCTCTTTATCAAAATGTACCCTTCTCTTAAGAACCACACACACGCGCGCGCGCGCGCACGCACGCACACAGACGCACACACGCACACGAACACAAACACGCAAACACACGCACACACGTACATATACGTCACTACATGGGTGAAATAGTCCCATTACCGTCTCTAAGATTAGCTACCTTCAATTATTATAAATCTTTTACTTGCATCTATCTGTACCCGTGAATGAATAACACTATCGTTTCAGGTTCCTTGTCCTCTTCCGATGGCAATATGACAACGACAAATCTTTCATTATGGATGCATTTAAAATAGGGAAGTTTATCTTCTGGATGTTTCGACGACAACTTAAAAAGCAGACATGGAGTCAAGGCTTGGGGCGACACACAGAAGAGGAAATAACGGAGATGTTTAAGAAGGATCTACAATCTCTGTCCGACTTCATAGGTATACAGGTGCCTTAAGTTCACCTGCAATGTATACACTTTATAGATATCAGTTAAATTTTTTTAGGTGTTTTTGTATGTTCCGATGGGTGTATGCTAATAATAAATCGTTGCCAATCAAGGTTTGAAGATAATTGATTCGCGCAGCGTTGATTGGAGGCAGGGGATAGATCCCCAGTGTCAGAGAAGGTAACTGCCTTCATGAACTGAGATATCTGGGCAAAATCGGAGTTTATTGATAGTAAACTGATAAAAGGTTGAAACAATAAAATTAACAATTGCAGATCGGGACTCATCCTCGGCTTCTTTCGTATAACGTTCCTGTATATCCACTGCATGTATACTTCATTGTGTTCCTGCATATCCACTGCATGTTTACTTCATGTGTTCCTGGATATCCACTCCATGTTTACTTCATTGTGTTCCTGCATATCCACTCCATGTTTACTTCATGTGTTTCTGGATATCCACTCCATGTTTACTTCATTGTGTTCCTGGATATCCACTCCATGATTACTTCATTGTGTTCCTGGATATCCATTGCATGCTTGCTTCATTGTGTTCCTGGATATCCATTGCATGCTTGCTTCATTGTGTTCCTGGATATCCACTGCATGTTTACTTCATTGTGTTTCTGGATATCCACTGCATGTTTACTTCATTGTGTTCCTGGATATCCGTTCCATGTTTGCTTCATGTGTTCCTGGATATCCACTGCATGTTTACTTCATTGTGTTTCTGGATATCCACTGCATGTTTACTTCATTGTGTTCCTGGATATCCATTGCATGTTTGCTTCATTGTGTTCCTGGATATCCACTGCATGATTCCTTCATTGTGTTTCTGGATATCCACTGCATGTTTACTTCATTGTGTTCCTGGATATCCTATGCATGCTTGGTTCATTGTGTTCCTGGATATCCATTGCATGTTTACTTCATTGTGTTCCTGGATATCCATTGCATGCTTGGTTCATTGTGTTCCTGGATATCCACTGCATGTTTGCTTCATGTTTACTTCATTGTGTTCCTGGATAATCATCGCATGTTTACTTCATTGTGTTCCTGGATCCACTTCATGTTTACTTCATTGTGTTCCTGGATATCCATTGCATGCTTCCTTCATTGTGTTCCTGGATATCCATTGCATGCTTGGTTCATTGTATTCCTGGATATCCACTGCATGTTTGCTTCATGTTTACTTCATTGTGTTCCTGGATAATCATCGCATGTTTACTTCATTGTGTTCCTGGATATCCATTGCATGCTTCCTTCATTGTGTTCCTGGATATCCATTGCATGCTTGGTTCATTGTATTCCTGGATATCCATTGCATGCTTGGTTCATTGTATTCCTGGATATCCATTGCATGCTTGCTTCATTGTGTTCCTGGATATCCATTGCATGTTTGCTTCATGTTTACTTCATTGTGTTTCTGGATATCCATTGCATGTTTACTTCATTGTGTTCCTGGATATCCATTGCATGTTTACTTCATTGTGTTCCTGGATATCCACTCCATGTTTACTTCATGTTTACTTCATTGTGTTCCTGGATAATCATCGCATGTTTACTTCATTGTGTTCCTGGATATCCACTTCATGTTTACTTCATTGTGTTCCTGGATGTCCATTGCATGTTTGCTTCATGTTTACTTCATTGTGTTTCTGGATATCCATTGCATGTTTACTTCATTATGTTCCTGGATATCCATTGCATGTTTACTTCATTGTGTTCCTGGGTATCCATTGCATGTTTACTTCATTGTGTTTCTGGATATCTACTGCATGTTACCTTGCGTGTTCCACTTTAGCTCATTTTTGTGCACTGGCACACGATCGATGCCATCTTCTCTTGCCTGAATTCTGACATCACCAATCTTTGTCCATTGAGTGGTATATGATTAGGGTCGGTTGGGTAGTTTAGTGGTTAGGCCTTGCTCTCCACGCCTGAAGCCCTTGTTCGATTTCCTTCTTCGATTCAATGAAGGGCGTTGGGGTAGCCTAGTGGTTAAAGCGTTCGCTTGTCGCGCCGAAAACCTGGGTTCGATTCCCCACATGGATACATATGGCTGAAAACCATTTCTCGTGTCCCCTGCCGTGATATTGCTGGAATATTGCTAAAAGCGGCGTCAAATCAGACTCACTCACTCATTCGATGCAATGCGTGAAGCACATGCTGTCCCCGTTGAGATATACTTTGATGTGATCCGATTACCCAAACTACCTCATAAAGATATGTCCCGCCTTATGAGAGCTAGGCAAATTGTTATATTGTCTACTTAATCAATTGCAAGAGTTTCAGGAAATATTTAGGTTTTGGTTTTTACCAGAATCTTAACAATGAGGTTTTCACGGGGATGTGTCTTGCAATTGTCGTCGTTTAACACACCGAAAGAAGTACCAGTAGTTGTAACATGAAACAACTTCAGATAAATAACTTCACCTTTATGTGATAATTGTCTGAATAACAAATATATATACATGGATAATAACAATCTAAACACAGTAGTGATAGTTGCGGGATAAACGTGCATGGACATTTAGAAAAGAGATTAAGTTCCTTTCTGTAAGAGAATCAGTTTAAGACGTCCCCTCTTAACTTCACTTTTTTACATTATATTTAATGACTATACAAAGTGTGACTGGTGTCCTTGCTAGTATGAACTGATCAAATCCATCACTTGTTTAAATACCAGAAATAAGATACCATTTTACTTACATGTTAGATTAATATTGTGGTTTATGTTTTTGAATACATATATAATCAATATGAAAAGAAAACAATGGTACGTTTATGCTTTTATACTGAATTAAAGCGAAAAAAATATTATTTGACCATTCCTCCATTAGAAGCCGAGCTGAATCGGCACCACTTCATTTATCCAAATAATTATTCATTAGTTTTCTGATATTATTTATGTTCCAATGACCACCACGACACGCGAGAGTTCATACGTTTGCTCTATTTCGTACCGGTACCTGTCCTGTGTTTTGCTTTGTTTCAATGCACTCATGCGGTTGTTTCAGGGACGAAGAAGTTCCTGATGGGGAACGAGCCCTGTGAGGCTGACTGCGCGGTGTTCGGTCAGCTGTCACAGGCCTACTGGCAGTTCATAGGAACTGGGCACGATACCATCATTAAGGGCAAGTACCTTCAGATGCATCATCAATACTTCACGGGTTTGAAAACGTAAAGTTCCTCCTTCACCCGTGAATATATACGGCCGATTTGCGATGTGGTGGTAACGTGTGTCTCTGTAATTGAGAACTCACGAGAACAAGTTGATTCCGAGTGTTGATTCTCTATAAGTTTGATAAATTACCTTGTCAAGTGCATGAACTTACATGACAGACAGCCGATTTGCGATGTAGTGGTAACGTGTATCTCAGTTGTTGAGAAATCATGAGAATAGATTGATTCCGCGAGTTGTATCTCTATAAGTTTGATAAATTACCTTGTCAAGTGCATGAACTTACATGACATACAGCCGATTTGCGATGTAGTGGTAACGTGTATCTCAGTTGTTGAGAAATCATGAGAACAGATTGATTCCGCGAGTTGTATCTCTATAAATTTGATAAATTACCTTGTCAAGTGCATGAACCTACATGACATACAGCCGATTTGCGATGTAGTGGTAACGTGTATCTCAGTTGTTGAGAAATCATGAGAATAGATTGATTCCGGGAGTTGGGTCTACTTCCGGAATCAACATAGTGGTTTCTCTGATTCAAACCGTGTTATAGCTGAAACACAGTTTTTCTTTTAGTTTGCATATTTAACTTATCAAGTGCATAAACTCTGTGAGAATCCTACAATTGCCTGACGTGGAAGCAATACGTGGAGAAGATGGGCTGCAACGCCATTGTACATGTTGCCAGAGAAATGCTGCTGTTTTGGGGATCTGGTTGCTCTTTGGTCCGAGCACCCGCTAATTAAGGTATCGCTTGATTCGTTGGTTAAAATTAGCCCCCACGCTGAAAATCGGCGGTATGTATTTGTGGGTGATGGAGAAACGTATAGTTAAAAGGGACCTATGCAGTTTGCCGATGCTTTAGATGTAGACAAGTTTATGTCACAACCACCTTACAGATACAGGTAGCATTCTGTCAATGCATGCACTATACTGTTCTGCCGAAACAATGCTGTACCAATCTCTACATATTGCAGAATACTGATTACAAAATCTAATTTATTGTAGCGATCCGAGAAGATCCAGGTTGGAATAGGTCTTCAGTTCTTTATGCCCTTACTAGGCATTCACCTGACGAAGGAGCAAGAAGTAGCTCTGGAACGTCTTTAAGAAAAATATAAAAAGTTGTTATCTATAAAAAAGAGTAATGTATTCAATTTCCTGAATGCCCTTATCCGCATAGGTAAGTTCGAATTATCCAATTTACACATGGATTAATGTTATCATTTGTTGTTTTATAGTGGTTGATTGTGAACTTTCCCTATTTTGTCCCCGTAGACAAATACCCCAACCTTGCCGCCTACTGTGAACGTATGAAGGACACATTCTGGCCCGACTGGGACCAGTGCATCACACACGGTGGAACAAGGGAGGCAACCAAGTAGTAACTGTTCCACAGAGCTTTAATGGTTGTGTTGGCATAATATGTATTACGTATTAGCTGTACACAAGGTATATAATTGTATGTCTGTTTGTTTGTTTGTTGTTTAACGCCACACTCAGCAATATTCCAACTGTATGACAGCGGTCTGTAAATAATGGAGTCTGGACCAGACAATCCAGTGATTGACAACATGAGCATCGATCCACGTAATTGGGATCGATGATATGCATCAACCAAGTCAGCGAGCCTGACCAACCTATCCTGTTAGTCGCCTCTTACGACAAGCATAGTCGCCTTTTACGGCAACCATGGGTTGCTGAAGACCTTTTCTACCACGGATCTTCACGGGCCTCAAGGTATATATGAATCAGACTTGACTGACAATAATGGTTGTCCACTCGTTTATCATTTGAACTTGCATTTGCAATGTCTATGAACTCCATATTGCTTCGTTTCAAATAAAATTTGTTCTTTGTCATGTTATTCGTGTTTGCTGAAAACCACAGTGAGCTATGGTTTTGTCGTGTCATTGACTATTATCCTGTTCAGTACCGCACGCTGCAATACCTCAGCGGCTGGTTAATGAATCGAATAAGGACCAGATATATACCAGTGAATGATATTATGAGTAACGTACTGTGCCATCAGAGTAAGTTAACAACAAGAATCATAGTTCACCCGATCCATTAATCGACTCGTACAACAAACACAGACCGCTGGGGACCTTAAATCTCTACAGGAGCATAGGGTTTTGAATGTCCAGTTATCTGACCTGGCAAAGTTATTTGTTTGTTGTGAATATACGTTTGGTATATCTATATTTTGGTATTCTGAATTTCGGCATTGAACCATTGTTACATTATCTTAGGCTACCCCTTTACCTTTACGCCATCTATTGTCCATGGTGGCCCAGTCATCTAAGACGCCGCCATTCGATTTGCTGAGTTACGTCCCTTGGACACGCCATGGATAACCCTTTCATTATCTAAGGTCTATTACGTTCACTCTATTAGTATTGTCCGTGGTGGGAACAGTTCGCCCAGGCATCTAAGGCGACGCAATTCGATATACAAAGGTGCGTCGCTTGGGCACTCCATAAACCTATGATCATGGTGTTTAATTCCGGTTCGCCCCGATTATGTTTCTTTGTTTATCAGCATCATACCCGTGCTCGTGGGCCCAACTCTATCTACGATGCTGCCTGCTGCTAATGGTTGACTGAACCACTTTATGAATGGTTGATATAGGCTCACCATAAGCTTGCTCGCTCAATTGTTGATTCGCTGATTGTGGAGGATTTCGTCGAATTAATGGGTGATGAAACATTGGTCTACCACTATGCTTACGAGTCAAAACGTCAATCCATGGAATGGTACCATTCCACTTCTCCGGCACCAAAGAAATTCAAGTCTCTCAAGAGCAGTAAAGAAGTTATGGCCACTGTATTATGATGATTTGCTTCATTGCCTGAGAGATTCTATCAAAGAAAAGCGGCGATGAATACGGACTGCTGGAGTTCTACATGACGATGCCTCTTCTCACAGCTCTCGACTTGCAAAGGCTGCTGACAATGGGGGCTCGAAGAACTTCCTCACGCTCCATACTCGACAGACCTGGCTCCAAGAGATTTTCTACCTGCTTCCTAAACTGAAAGAACACCTTCTTGAAAAGTTCTTTGACGACAACGAAAGACCTCAAAGATACCGTGAATGGGTTTTCATGGTGGCTTCAAAAAACGTCACTATCAACATGAGAGGTGTATTGAAGAGCAAGGAGATCATGTTGAAAATTAAAATTAAAAAAAACTGTTGGTTTTGTTTGTTAGGCTTAGAACTTTTTTACCAGCCCTCGTATTTATTTGATAGTAAGATTGTGTGGTAAATAATGTATTAAAAGCATTTTCTTGGAATGATTATGTAGTCAAACGCCATCCAATTTCAACACGTACCCTATGAAACATCACAGAAAAAGAGAGGAGTTTTCAAGTAAGTGGCTCTAAAATAATGAGATGGTAAATATGATTATGTTACGTGTCGACTCTCAAATTGAAACCATATGTTAATCAAGAAATGTGTACGTAAAATAACTTAATGTGGAACCAACAAGTGCTATACAATCAACAAATGTATAACAAAATTCACTGAGTTTACTAATCAATATGAATTACAGTACGGCATATACAATGACAGTAAATAAAGGAGTGGTTGTATTAAATTGAATGGCAAAAATTATTTTGATGGCAGTGGTCAGTATCAAATAGCAAAATACGGTGGTGATAGCAAATATCGGTAATAATAATATATATTCACCCAGTGGTGTCAGCGGTCAAGCTTCAAAGATGGGCTGGGCAGGGAATCAGGGATGATGAGTGATCCTGACATGAAAGCTGATTCCAAAGCGATGATTAAATGCGTGAGAGATACGTCAACACGCTATTGTCCCTGCATATACAACCTAACAAGCTACAGAAAATTTCTATATCATGCCCTCACCACATAGAACATTTCAGAAATTTCGTAACATACTATCAGCGTCCGCGGAATGCCTGACCGGAAGTTTACAAACCACACCAGCATCTAGATATAGTAACTTCCTGACGACTGATCACTGTTAAAAACACAATGCAATGAGCGTCTACCGAATCCCAACAGAAACAATGCAACACAGTGACAATTTTTGTTAAACAATAATACAGTGCCATATAACAATGAATGAATAGTCAACTTCATTATTACAATTGTAACGACGGTTAGTTTCTTACACCGTCATTAAGAAAGTGATGTCATAAGTGTAGCGACGCTTACTGTAGATTCTAACAGCGTCATCAAGTAAGTAATGCAATAATTGAAGCGACGTTTGGTGTAGAAACAAACAGACTCACAAGTGACGTTCTAATTGTTGCAGAATTTTGCGTAGATTCTAACAGTGTCTACAATCCTGCTTTGATGGCTTGTTCTTTGATTGCCAAAGATTTTCCTAGTTCTATTACTCACTCACTCACTCACTGTATTGCGGGGATAGTCATTCGCTTTCTCCATCTGGAATATTGCCATAGGGTCCTCAATAAAGCAACCATTATTTAAGCATTACTATGAATTTTGACCAGATCAAACCTAATTAGGTTCAGTTATTAAGCACCTACATTTTCACAAACGAAACTTTCATTATTTGAGCTTAAGTTAGATGTACAAAAAAATGATTTTACATGTCGATGATATTAATGATATCAATTATGCGGTAGTTTCCTCAACAACGTACACAGCCATGACGAAAAGGGAGAGATTTAATCGTTAATACCAGTGAGTGATTTTGACTTAATGCTGTTTTGAACAGCATTTCAGTGATACCATGACGGGGTTTGGAAAGGCCAAAGTGATGCAGGTCTTAGATGTTTACCACTTTGGTGATACCCAAGGTATAGTGCTGACAACCCTAGAAACATGATCTAGGTGAATGTGGGATTTGACTCTTCGATCAAAGGTTTCTGGCACGTATAATTAAGAGACACAACTCTGCACAGCGAAGTGCAACGCCTTGGACAACAGTCACCCGTGCTCTCTGGTCAATATTATTACCTAGAATTTCATATGAAAATGCGATAACCTATGAGAAAGCCTTTTATATACATTGTAATTGGGACGGAATCCTTGTGTTGAAAGCGGCGTAGACTGACTTTATTCCTCATAATACACATACCTTGTTCATCTGGTTATACATTTATAACAAATGTTATATTTGGGATAACACTTTCTTAGTAAAGTACAGATTCTAGTACTTTTATGGGTTGAGTCCCGTCCGGGATTCGAACCCACACTTGCCAGAGTGAGGCACCTAATCGCCAGCACACAAAGTCAGCGATCTAACCCACTCAGCCACCCAGGCTTCCACAGAAATGAAAGTTCGACAACTGGTAGTCTAGATAACGTACTTTGAGCACCCCTCAGACAAGCGTAAATTGGCACGGCTCCCATGGCCGTGTAACATTTGTTACATTTGACCACTTTCTAAATGGAATTGTGTATTCATGGTTATACATTGATGTCAAAGCGAATGATTTCCCTGGTAACGGAACGGGGTTTCACATTAAGTCCAGTTATTTTTCACATTTCAAATTATAAGTAAATAAGTAAATTTCTTGGTGATATAATATAATCCTGTTAAACTAAAACGAACGAAATTTGACGATATCTGACCCCTCACAATAAATAGGTGAGAGCGACTCACTGTCAACACGTCTGACCTCGCCGACAAGCTGAAACCCGTGTTTTACTTCGCTCAACACTTACTCCCCTTTTCAACGTGATTCATGCTGTGATCGGGTTGCTTGTTGGTAGTTATTTAGGTCGCCCTTTGAACACAGCTCGGTTCACAGTGAGATTCACAGTCAGCACACAGATCCCCGTCAATGGAAACTCTCGAGCATTCCTTCAACGGCTGTGAACGATATCACGTGATCAAACCAGGTCAAGCATTACTATCCCCTTTTTCACCGTGACGTAAAAGTACCCGGTAGCTGTGTGGTAGTTATTTAGGCCAACCTGCTGAGGTAGAGCTGTGGACAGTCAATTACAGATCACCAGCAATGGAGACCATCGTAGATGCCTTTAACGACCTGGACACATCACAGAAAGTGTTGTATGCTGTCGGAGGTGTTGTCGTAGCTGTCGTGTCCGTCGTCGCTTTCAGGAAACTGTTTTTCAAGTAAGTTATCATGTGCGAAAACCCAGTCAAGAGAGAAGAGTTTTGTTGTCAGTAAAACCGGTGAAACAGTTATTTTGGTCTCCGTAGAAAATATCCAGTAGGATAAAGCTGCCTTTGTGTTTAATGTTAAGGAGTTCTATATATAACAGTGTATGTTGAATTATCAATGTTTTTTAGCTGATATCTTGTTTAACTTTTGGGATCGAGCGCTTGATTTTCTGGGGCGCTTGGTCGGTGGAGGAGGTTAGAGTACCTGGGATTTTGTTTAGAACAATTCGTTCCCAAAACAAACTTGGGATTGAATCATTTCCCCCCAAAACAAAAGGGAATGACGTGCAAGTCACAGGAACTCGATGATAGCGTGTATAACATAATATATTCGTATAGAAAAGAATCACACCCCTCTATATACATAGAGTCTCTATATATATAGATGGGTGTGATTGTTTTTCAATATACGAATATATTGTTATACACGCTATCATCGAGTTCCTGTGACCATGATATAGCTGGAATACTGTTCACAGCGGCGTAAAACCCAACCCAATCACTAACCGAAACAAAATGAAATGCTGAAGAAGCCATGAAAATGAAGTATGAGAGTGAGTGAGCGAGTTGGGTTTAACGCCGCTTTTAACAGTATTTCCAGTTATATCGCGGCGTGTCAGCTTAATGTGGGAGGAAAGCCCGAAATGATGCAGGTCTCAGACGTTTACCACTTCGGTGAAACCCACGAGCACGGGTATGATGCTGACAAACCTAGAAACATAATCGGGGCGACCCGGGATTCGAACCCACAATCATAGGTTTCTGGCGTGCCCAAGGTACGCAACTCTGCACAGCGAATTGCGGCGCCTTAGACATTGGGCCACCCGTGCCCCTTATATGCGAGTGAGATTGCCTTTTCAATAAAATACTCTGGCGTCTGAAAGAGACTCCATTCGTTCAATCAAAAACTATCAGACTACAATCCATGTGTGACAGATAACTTGACGCTCATACACTATAGTGCTACTTTAAAATGTTCCAGGACGTACAGACAAAGAGGCGTAAATGTAACTGTTTTTGTCCCTGACAAGGAATAGTTTATGCGGCTGCTATTTTCATTATTTTTCATTGTGCTCATGAAACTGTTTGTTTTGTTCCGTCATGTTGGTTGGTTGGTTTGTTGTTTTACGCCGCACTCAGCAATATTCCAGCAATATGACGGCGGTCTGTAAATAATCGAGTCTGAACCAGACAACCCAGTGATTGACATCATGAACATCGATCCACGCAATTGGGATCGATGACATGTATCAGCCAAGTCAGCGAGCCTGACCACCCGATCCCGTCACTGATATCTGACTACTTTGAAAACACAGCCACCAGTTTTACGTTGATCTGTTATGATGTTGTACAGAAAGACAAAGGCAAAGAAGGAGTATCCCCGAGATACAGTCATCCTTTATCAGATCGGTAGAGGTCATTTTGCCCCCAGCATGACGCCATTTGCTGTGAAGCTAGAGACCTACCTCCGGATGGCCAGGATACCCTACCAGGTAGGTGAGTGAGTGAGTGAGTGAGTGTTGTTTCCTGCGACATTTTGTTTTTAATTTGGCATCCCTTTGGGACATATATCGAACAGTTTCCCATACAGTGAGCCTTCATCAAACGGCAAATTCCCCTGGATTAAGTACAATGGGCAGGGGGTAGCGAAGTCAAGCAATATCTCCGAGTTGGTTGCCTAGATCTGATGAACAAATATATTCTGCAGTAAAAATAGCAAGGTATTTCAGTTTGTCAACAAATAGCTACAAACTTCTAATAGCGTTAGTGTTTCATTCAATGTCAATCTACACAGAACGTCCATGGGATGCAGCGTTCATCAAAGGGCAAATTTCCCTGGATTGAGTACAATGGACAGGAGGTAGCTGACTCGACACTGTGTATCAACTTCCTCAACCAGAAGCTGGGGGTGGACCTCAACAGGGATCTGAGTCCTGCTGACAGAGGGGTAGCTCAGGCGATGCAGGTCATGGTGGAGGAACATCTGTACTGGTGAGAAACAGTCATTTATAGCTGTTCGGTTCACCGTAAACGAAGCAAGTCCAATGAAGCAAAAACTTTGCAAGCCTTTGGATAATCCTATCTACTGTGTTTGCAAGAGCACAGTCATCACAGTGGCCTTTAGTTATTTTCACGTTTCATTATAAACTTTGATATTAGGAATAACATTACATGGGCCTTTTTGTATTTTCATACCAATGGTGACTCTTAAACCAATGGTGCAAAACCGAGGGTCATAATCAGGGCGAATCTGGGATTCGAACCCACAATAGGCGGATCTTACTGCACACTGAATTACGGCGCCTCACTCCACAGTAAATACCTTTATTTAAATGCAGACTTGGCCGCCTCCGCGGCCGTAGTCCAGTAGTAGAGCGTCCGCCAGGAGTGCAGAAGGTCGGAGGTTCGATCCCCGGCGGAGTCAGCAAACTGTGTCTGAGTGGGGTATTCATATTTATCTGCGACATGGTATCTAAATGGGATAGCACTAAAAAATGGCATTAGTCCGGACTAGAGCACGCACGCACGCACGCACACGCACACACACACACACACACACACACACACACACACACACACACACACACGCTACATAAGTGCAATCATCTTGGACGCGACGGTAAACCTCATTTCACTTCACCTCACCAACATGCACCCTTCTCTGAGAACCGCATATGTTGTGTAGTCGCACAGGCGAGATTTCTTATTAATATGAAAAGGGATTTCTTGGTTTTCTTGATATACGGATAGCGGAAGGTAGGTGGATCGATCCCCTTACCGCGTCTGCCAAAATACGTAAATGTATATATGGTCCTTGTTGTTACCATGCCTGGTGTTCGGCTTCAGGTGAATAAGACAAAGACATGTCAGCTTGGAGTTAAACTGAGGCATGGCATATCAGTGGTCAAACTGTATAAAACCGTCACAGTTCCTGACGAGTACAAGCAGCCAAACACACACGCGTGCATATACGTCGCTAGATTATGAGTGAAATAGTCTTGAAGGCGACGTGAAACACGCGTTTACTTACATCAACTTTCTAGGAATACCTACATGAAATGTCTGTATTAGTTTACTTACATCTACCTGTATCCATGCACGAAAAACACTATCGTTTCAGGTTCCTTGTCCTCTTCCGATGGATATATGACAACGACAAATCTTTGTTATTAAATACATTTAAAATTGGGAAGTTTGTCTTCTGGATGATTCGACGACAAGTTAAAAAGCAGACATGGAGTCAAGGTTTAGGCCGACACACAGAAGGGGAGATAACTGAGATGTTTAAGAAGGATCTACAATGTCTGTCCGACTTCATAGGTATGCAGAAATTACACTATATACATTTTATAGATTTCAGTTAAATAGTTTAAGGTGTCTTTGTATGTTCCGATGGGTTTATTATAATGATAAATTGTTGCTGATCAAAGGTGTGCTTAGCGCCGCCTGGAGGCAGGTAACAGGTCGACACAATCAGGAGGAGGTAACTGCCTTCATGAACAGACAGAGCCAGGCTATATGGGGGTTCATTGGTATGTAAACTGATACAAAGTAGAAACAATGAATGGGACAATTCTCAGGACCGCGACCGTGGTCTGGAAGAAGAGCGTGCTCCCGTAGCGCGTAACAGCGGGGGTGTTCGATCGACAATCTCATTAGAATCAGATCTTAGTTCTCGCTGCCGCTAAACAAAGATCTGAGGACAACTCATAACGGGTCACGTCAGACCGAACTTTCGCTAACTCTGACCGACCAATGGAATTACTGACAAGAAGTCGACATTAGCCAATCAGAAGGCAGCCTTCTCGTGCTTTACGGCACTGATTTCAAACGCTTCGAAACATATTTTGACAAATTTTCGCTTAAAAAATTGAAACCTGAACAAAAGAACATTCTCGATTGGCTAATATATGGTCTAGATTGTATAGATTCAGTCGTTAAGCCCGTAACTATATTGGGGTTGCATGATTAGAAATAACATTCCGACTGTCACTTTCATGATCTGGTAAGCGACGCTCTGATTGGTCGGATGAAAGGTCATTCTGACGTGACCCCTAATGAGGTGTCCTCAGATCTTTGTTTAGCGGTAGCGAGAACTAAGATCTGATTTTAATGAGATTGTTCGATCGGCCGCGTCATACCAAAAGACGTTAAAAGATGGTTTTTGTTGTTACGCTGCCTGGCGCTCGGCATTAAGGGGCAAAAACAAGGACTGCTTGGAAGTTGGTTCGTAGTCAGTTTCCTATGTCTGAGTGGGGTATTCATGTTAAACTGCGGTGTGGAATCTCAGTGTGATAGCACTATAAAAACGGCATCAGTCTAGAGTAGTACAAGCAGCCACACATACACACACACGTGCATGCACGTCGCGATTTAAGTGCAATAATCTTAAACGCGACTTTTAACCCCATTTCGCCTCAACATCCGATTGGCTACTGAGTCATTTTCGATTTCTCTCGTCAATTGTTCCTGGATTTTCACTGCATACTGTATGCTCACCAGTAAATTGGTTTTGTGTACAGGCAAATGTTAAATGCCTTCTTCTCTTATCCGGAGCGTGTACATTAAACCTCATATAATGAGGGGCGGTAGGGTAGTTTAGTGGTTAAGCCATCATCCTCGTGATCAAACCTAAGGCCCTGGTTCGGTTCATTTCCTCAATACAATACGTAAAACCCATGCAACCCATGCAACCCATGCCCCCTATTATACTGAAGTAAAGCGAATCAAATGATTTGACACTTCCTACATTTTGACACCGAGCTCGCTATAGGCACCACTTCATTTCTCCATATAATTAGTTTTCTGACGGGGGCACGGGTGGCCCAGTCGTCTTAGGCGCCGCGATTCGCTGTGCAGAGTTGCGTCCCTTGGGCACGCCAGAAACCTATGATTGTGGGTTCGAATCCCGGTTCGCCCCGATTATGTTTCTAGGTTTGTCAGCACCATACCCGTGCTCGTGGGTTTCACCGAAGTGGTAAACGTCTGATCATGAGACCTGCATGCGGCTTTCCTCCCATACCCGACCCGACTTATAAACGTCAGTTTCGCGGCCATATGACCGGCCTCTCATCCGGTGGAAAAGCCGTATATGGTGTAAACTTCACATTAAACAAAATATGTTGCAATGACCGTCACGACACGCAAGACTTGTACTTTTTTCCTACTGTGTACCTGTAATGTGTTTTGCTTTGTTTTAATTTACTCAATGTACACATGCGGTTGTTTCAGGGAAGAAAAGGTTCCTGATGGGGGACGAGCCCTGTGAGACTGACTGCGCTGTGTTCGGTCAGCTGTCACAGGTCTACTGGCAGTTCCCGGGAACTGGGCACGAGGATATCATTAAGGGCAAGTACCTTTATCCTTTTTACCTGCATCAACGATACTTCACGAGTTCCTTCGTACCCCATGACGACATAAGGACGATTTGCGTTGTAGTGGCGTGTGTCTATATAATGGAGAAATCATGAGAATAGATTGATTCCGGGAGTTGGTTCCACTTATACCATGATATAGGTTAAACATATAGTTTCTCTATAAGTTTGTATGATTACCTAGTCAAATGAGCCCTGCTCCGTGCATGCACTTTGCGCGAACCCTACCATTGCCTGATGTGGCATCAATAGTAGAGAAGATGGACGGCAAAGGCACTGTACATGTTACCCGAAAAATATTACTGTTTTTGTGATGTAGTCTTAGCGCTCATTGCACTGAGCTAATTTCCTCGCCTCTAAACCAAGTCCTGTCTTGATTTGTTGGTTAAAATACTACTCTGAAAATCGACAGTATGTATTTATTGGTGATGGAGGAACGTATAGTGAAAACAGAACCTATGCAGTTCGTCAACGCTTTAGATGCAGATAAGTTTCCCTTATCATCTTGTTATAGATAGCATTATGTCAGTGCGTGCACTATAGTGTTCTGCTGCAATTAAGTTGCACAAGTCTCACACCATTGCAGGGTACTGATAACATAGTATGCATAACGTACTCCTACCTTTTTGTCATCACATCTGCATTTACATACGTGTTGTCGTCAGAGTTGTTTAGATTATATCTTTTATATTGTAGCGTATCTAACATCTAATGAGTGCATAAAAGTGAAGTCCCTCAGAGTGTGGCAGCGATTCTCATATATTGTCTGCTGTTAAAATATCCATACATGTATAACAGACAAGATATATTTCTCTCCAGTACATTAATAATTTCATGTTGATTCAATTATATGAAAACACGGACTATATAAGTACATGCAAAATACGTCCTTGTCTCCCGTCAATACAACTGTAACATGTGATACTATTATCAGTTCTCAATTGAATTCCTTGAACACTTTTATTTGCAAAAATTAGTTCGAAATATAAATAATCCTATTTACATATGAATTCATGTTATCATATCTTGCTTAAAAGTTGTAAATTGTGAACTTTCCCCTTTTCTTCCGCAGACAAACACCCCAATTTGGCCGCCTACTGTGAACGTATGAAGGACGCATTCTGGCCCGACTGGGACCAGTGCATCACACACGGCGGAACAAGGAAGGCAACCAAGTAGTAACTGTTCCAGAGAGCTTTAATGGTTGTGTTGGCATAATATGTATTGCGTCATTAAATTATTCACACAAAGTATATGAATCAGACTTGACGGCCAATAACGGTTGTCATCTCATGTATCATTCCGAAACTGGATTTGAACTTGCATTTGCAATGTCTATGAAATCCATGTTGCTTCGTTAAATAAAGTGTGTTCTTATTCATGTTATTCGTGTTTGTTAAAAGCCACAGTGAGCTGTGGTGTTGTCGGACCTTTGACTATTTTTCTGTTCAACGCTTCACGCTGCAATTCTCCAGTTGTATGACGGCGACTGGTTAATGAATCGAGTAAGGATATACCAGTGAATAATATTATGAGTAACGTCCTGTGCCATAGGCGTACGTTAACAAGCATCCATTAGTCGACTCGTATGACAAACATGGGCTGCTTGGGAGGTTTTATTAGCCTGAATCCCTGCGATTGTATTGCGTTTTGAATGTCATGTTATCTGACCTGGCAAAGTGATACATTTGGTACGTTGAATTTCTGTTACATTATCTCAGGCAACCCCATTACTTTTACTGCATCTATTGTCTGTGGTGGGCCAGGGTGGCCCAGTCATCTAAGACGCCGTCATGTGCTGAGTTACCTCCCTTGGACACGCCATGCATAACCCTATGATCGGGGGTTTGAATCCCGGTTTGTCCCGGTTATGTTTCCAGGTTTGCCAGCACTATACGCGTGCTCGTGGGCCCAAGTCGATCTATGGTGGGGTCTCGTGCTAATGTTTGACTGGACCAACAAACTCTGTGTATGCCACGCTCAGCAATATTCCAGCTATATGACGGCGATCTGTAAATAATCCAGTCTTTGCTTTTGTCACAACCACCTTACAGATACAGGTAGCATTCTGTCAATTGCATGCACTATACTGTTCTGCTGAAAAAATGCTGTACTACTCTCTCCATATTGCAGATTACTAATAATTTCATGCGCTCAATGTACTCCTACCTGTTGGCATCACATCTGTATTTACATACGTATTGACGTTGGGATTGTGTATCTTATATCAAATTTTAAATTTTGGCATTCTGTCATCTTATGCATGATAAAAATTAACTTCATCAGGGTTGAGTCTGGCAAACAATTCTCATTTATTGCCGCCTGTTGTTAACATATCCATACATGTAAAGACTAGATGTATTACTCTCAAGTAGATTGAAAAGTTTTCAGGTTCATGTGGAGTCAATGATTATGTGTGTCTGTGACACAAAAATATGTTAACTAACCTACATTATTGACATTAAGATTACAATGTCCCCATATCTGTTGACATAAGTTCAAGCTTCAATTATCTAATTTACATATGAATTAATGTCATCATTTGTTCTTTAATATTGGTTGATTGTGAACTGTCCCTCTTTCCTGTCGACAAATACCCCAACCTGGCCGCCAACCGTGAACGTGTGAAGGACACATTGTGGCCCGACTGGGACCAGTGCATCACACACGGTTGAACAATGGAGGCAACCAAGTAGTAACTATTCCAGAGAGCTTTAATAGTTGTATTGGCATAATATGTATAATGTCATGAAATAAAGTTCTACATAAAGTATTGGGATCAGACATGATTTACAATAATGGTTGTCAACTCGTTGTATGGACATGTATGTGCAGTAGCTATGATCTACTACGGTTGTGAAGTGAATTCAATATTTTCTAATTGGTACCAAAAAGCGGATTGTGTCTTATTGTGTCGGGGTTGAGGGAGGAGTGCCAGAGGGTAGCAACTTAGACTGGGAGAATACTTATTTTCGCTTTACTTTATGACATCCAAGTTCAGTCTCTGAAACGTAGAATTTTATTCTATCTTACAACACATGTTGTCATGCCACCAAGCATGTCCTGCGAAGTTAAACATGACATGTTAAGGAGGAGATGCGTATTGGTAGTAACACGAAGTCCGGGGCCATACTGAACAATTTCATCCTGTAAATCATGTGAGGTAGGCGGGTAGTAACACGAAGTCCAAGGCCATACTGAACAATTTCATCCTGTAAATCATGTCAGGTAGGTGGGTAGTAACACGAAGTCCAAGTCCATACTGAACAATAACATCCTGTAAATCATGTGAGGTAGTAATGCGAAGTATGTCCAAGGCCATACTGAACAATAACATCCTGTTAATCATGTGAGGTAGGTGGGTAGTAACGCGAAGTATGTCCAAGGTCATACTGAACAATAACATCCTGTAAATCATGTGAGGTAGTAATGCGAAGTATGTCCAAGGTCATACTGAACAATAACATCCTGTTAATCATGTGAGGTAGGTGGGTAGTATCGCGAAGTATGTCCAAGGTCATACTGAACAATAACATCCTGTAAATCATGTGAGGTAGTAATGCGAAGTATGTCCAAGATCATACTGAACAATAACATCCTGTAAATCATGCGAGGAAGGCGGGTAGTAACACGAAGTCCAAGTCCATACTGAACAATAACATCCTGTAAATCATGTGAGGAAGGCGGGTAGTAACACGAAGTCCAAGGCCATACTGAACAATAACATCCTGTAAATCATGTGAGGTAGGCGGGTAGTAACGCGAAGTATGCCCAAGGCCATACTGAACAATAACATCCTGTAAATCATGTGAGGTAGGCGGGTAGTAACACGAAGTCCAAGTCCATACTGAACAATAACATCCTGTAAATCATGTGAGGTAGTAATGCGAAGTATGTCCAAGGCCATACTGAACAATAACATCCTGTTAATCATGTGAGGTAGGTGGGTAGTAACGCGAAGTATGTCCAAGGTCATACTGAACAATAACATCCTGTAAATCATGTGAGGTAGTAATGCGAAGTATGTCCAAGGCCATACTGAACAATAACATCCTGTTAATCATGTGAGGTAGGTGGGTAGTAACGCGAAGTATGTCCAAGGCCATACTGAACAATAACATCCTGTAAATCATGTGAGGTAGTAATGCGAAGTATGTCCAAGGTCATACTGAACAATAACATCCTGTAAATCATGCGAGGAAGGCGGGTAGTAACACGAAGTCCAAGACCATACTGAACAATTTCATCCTGTAAATCATGTGAGGTAGGTGGGTAGTAACACGAAGTCCAAGGCCATACTGAACAATTTCATCCTGTAAATCATGTCAGGTAGGCGGGTAGTAACACGAAGTCCAAGTCCATACTGAACAATAACATCCTGTAAATCATGTGAGGTAGGTGGGTAGTAACGCGAAGTATGTCCAAGGCCATACTGAACAATAACATCCTGTAAATCATGTGAGGTAGGCGGGTAGTAACGCGAAGTATGTCCAAGGCCATACTGAACAATAACATCCTGTAAATCATGTGAAGTAGGCGGGTAGTAACACGAAGTCCAAGTCCATACTGAACAATAACATCCTGTAAATCATGTGAGGTAGTAATGCGAAGTATATCCAAGGCCATACTGAACAATAACATCCTGTTAATCATGTGAGGTAGGTGGGTAGTAACGCGAAGTATGTCCAAGGTCATACTGAACAATAACATCCTGTAAATCATGTGAGGTAGTAATGCGAAGTATGTCCAAGGTCATACTGAACAATAACATCCTGTAAATCATGCGAGGAAGGCGGGTAGTAACACGAAGTCCAAGTCCATACTGAACAATAACATCCTGTAAATCATGTGAGGTAGGCGAGTAGTAACGCGAAGTATGTCCAAGGCCATACTGAACAATAACATCCTGTAAATCATGTGAGGTAGGCGGGTAGTAACGCGAAGTATGTCCAAGGCCATACTGAACAATAACATCCTGTTAATCATGTGAGGTAGGTGGGTAGTAACGCGAAGTATGTCCAAGGTCATACTGAACAATAACATCCTGTCAATCATGCGAGGTAGGTGGGTAGTAACGCTGCGACTCGTCACGCCGCTGACCAAGGTTCGATTCTACACATTGATACCATGTGTGGAGCCCATTCTTGTGTCCCCTGCTGTCAATATTGAATACTGCTTAAAGCGGCTTTAAACATACTCATTCATTAGCTGGATGTTCATGTCAATAATGTACATTGTTTGTGGCTCAGAAAAGGGACAAAGAAAGGCCATTACTCGTAATAGCCACTGGTGGCGCTTCGATCGTGCCTGGAAAGTCCAGCCTAGTTCGGCCAGGGTTGAAACTGGACTTTTCTGGATAGGGCTTGACGTTACGTTTTGCTCTTCAGTACTGCTTTTGTGACTGAACATCATACTATTTCCTTATATTTAAAACAAATGCGAATAAAATATGTTACCAATAACACTATATCAAATTGTAAAGATTTACTATTTCTCTATCTTGTGCGATAAACACTGAGAATATAACGGGTGGCCCAGTCGTCTAAGGCGCCGCGATTCGCTGTGGAGAGTTGCGTCACTTGGACACGCCAGAAACCTATGATTATGGGTTCGAATCCCGGTTCGCCCCGATTATGTGTCTAGGTTTGTCAGCACCATACCCGTACTCGTGGGTTTCACCGAAGTAGTAAACGTCTGAAACCTGCATCACTTCGGGCTTTCCTCCCACATTAAGCTGACACGCCGCGATATAACTGGAATACTGTTAAAAGCGGCGTTAAACCCAACTCACTCACTCACTGTATAAGTCAGTTATGGCACCAGATGTTCACGTAAAGGGTAGAAATCGCTGCTCTCGCAGTTGGCACCAAACCATTTTCACCTCCTCATAGACCTACCTTTAAGCATAGAACATGCCGTGAGGCGGGTGTCATAGTGAAAAATTGCATCCAGCGATGCCTTCTAATAATAATAAAGTACGGCAAATATCGCCCAGACTTCAAGTCCCCGATACAGTGTATGCTGTTTGAGGACATAATGTCCGCCAAGGACGCACAATTATCTTGAATTTCCAGGGTAGAACATTGCAATCCAGGAACCGCTGTCTTACTTTACTTCGAACAATTATCGTATGCATATCCTGGTTTTAACACTGCATTAAATCGCAAATTGTGCCTAACGACCAGCTGGATTTCGGAGTACAGCAAGCTAAAGACATCAACCATAGTTCTGCAACTAATCTTGAAAGTATTTGTGGTCTCATTTAGCATAAATAACATAAATCTTACAAACTATCACCTAGTCACAGCTGCCAGCTTTCTCACTGCATACACTGTACATCAACTGATCCTGATTTGGTGTAGTGTGACCAACACGCCCAGTATTACATCGCTCAACACTCAGATCCCTGTTCAACAAGACCTAGACCTGTCGGTAACCTTGATGGTTGTTATCTGGGTCTATGCTTATTGACAGCGCACTGCACAGTGACTTGCACATTAGGCTAACAGATCACCAGCAATGGAGACTCTCATGGATGCCTTTAACGACCTGGACACATCACAGAAAGTATATGCTGTCGGAGGCGTTGTGGTAGCTGTCGTGTCGGTCGTCGCTCTCAGGAAACTGTTTTTCAAGTAAGTTGTCACGTATGAAAAGTTGGTCAACAGAACTTACTTGATAATGTCACCAGTGACACGGCGATGCTGGTATTCTTAGCCAATATGCAGTAGGATAGACCTGCGTTTGTGTTTAATGTTAAGGAGCTCGATATTTAATTGTGCATGCTCAATTATCAATGCTTGTTTAGTTTGAAAACTTCGTTGAGCGGGGGAAAACAACAAAAAGATAATTATGCTTGAGAGGGCATACGCGTGAGACGGGAAAGAAGGGGGATGGATGATTAATTTAACAAATTGCTCTGTCATCTGTAAGAGACTTCATTTGTATGAATAACAATATCAGATTACTTTCCACGTGTCAACAATGAGCGTCACGTTCATACACTGTAGTGCTGCCATCAAGTGTTCAATGTTAATGTTTTTGAACGATCGGAAACATCGTAATTAGAATCAACATTGTGGCTGCTTTTCGAATCAGTTTAATGGAATGCATGATCATTTTAGGTGTCGAATTATGCTAAGAACAGTTAGCACAACGGCCTTAAAATGTTCAACAATGAACATAAATTTATAAACTGTATGTCGTATACTGACCACATCGATATACTTAAAGCTTGTTTTAAAGTTTATGTCTACGACATCTGACAGCTACCACCTGTACATTGATCTATTATTACATTGCTTAGTGAGACAAAAGCAAAGAAGGAGTATCCCCGAGATACAGTGATCCTTCATCAGATCGGTAGAGGTCCCTATGCCCCGAGCATGACGCCTTTTGCTGTGAAGCTGGAGACCTACCTCCGGATGGCCAGGATACCCTACCAGGTTGGTGAGTGAGTGAGTGAGTGAGTGAGTGTTGTTTCATACCGCAGTGAGCAATATTCAAGTATTGACACCGCGGACTGTACATGATCTAATATGTTCCAGGAAAGCAAGTGGTTGACTTCATGAGCAGCGATTCGTGTCCTCGCTGCATAATGACCGATTTGGTTTCATTACCCACGTGGTGAAGATAGAGGTAGTAAGATACTAAATCTGTACGTCACACGTGTGTCGTACAAGGCTGATCTAGTTTTATTTGTTTTGATTGGATAACCAACCTCGACCTCTGTCACAGGGAACTACTGTTTTCATTTGTTTTAAATCACGATACGTCATTCACTTTCACAAAACTTTACGAGACAGAACTGAAGGAATTTCATGAAAACGAAACATTTACACTTTATTAAGCCAAATAAGATAGTCTATCTAAATTCTATAGTCATTCTATATTAGTTATGCATAGAGGTACTTCAGACATTGTATAATCGAGCTCTATCCATTTGCAATGTACTGCTACCGATCGATAGATTTAGGGTTCCTGTGAGAGTGACACACAACCACTTTCGCGACTTTCAATTTGATTTACCGTGACTAGCGCGGTGACATGAAGTCAATTTAAACTATCTGGACAGCTATCTACTGGATGCTCCGGTTGTGCCATCAGTATCCCCTACGAAGCGTATTTTGTGGTGCTGTTCGGGAGGGTTGTTCATGAATGAACGTACAGACTGCTCGATCAGATCACTAAAAGTGAACATTTCAGATACACATCATTCGAAAACTCCGTGGATGTGTGCTTGGCTTGGCCCCAAACATCCCAAATGGGATTAATAACAAACCCTCTCTCTATAGCCTAAAACCCCTGTGAGTAGATCACGGTCGTCTTTTCGTATTCCGATGGTGACCTTGCCCTTCGTTCGAAGCTGTCACTGACATGCAAGCTGACTTGAGCTTGTTGATTTTAGCGTCATCAGCATAGTGTCCCACAGTCAACATGAATGTCTTTAGAGTACACTCTGATTTCCCTCTTCCAACATTGACCTGAAAGAACATACATTCACCTGATAGATCAAGGAAACCGAACCATTTTGATTGAAAAGCCGGGACCCCAGCGGTGCGATTGACCGATTGTTGGTCCGATATTCAAAGCGCTGCGCTAATTTGACTTTTTAAATTTTCTCATATATGTCCTGAGCACAATAAACAATGCGCTTGAATTACCATAAGTTGACGACGTTCTTAAAGAAGGATCTTGAGCGTCGGTGTTGTTAATGCTTATACAAAGAATTGGCAACGATTGCCATACTAATATTTGGGCATATATCAATTATTTTATGCGCAACCAGTTTCAATTTGGTCTGATAACGAACGATAGTTATTTTGTATTTTCACTTAAATAGTAATAAATACATATCTAACGTGGGTAATAAATACAATACCACAACCATTCCCGTCAGATACCATTTTTACGAAACTCGTGAACTTTCTATGGTCAGATACCATAGAAAGTCAACTCGTTTCGTAAAACTGATGTCTAACGAGAATGAGTGTAGTATTCCCTATAGATCACACATTCTAGCCATACCCATATATCGGCTTTTACGATAATCATGAGGCACTGTGAGCCTTACTCATCAAAACATGCACGGTTTCTATCTTGGCATTCCTATGGTATTTCACATTTGATCTGTAATCTTCCACACAGAACGTCCATGGGTTTACTGTGGCATCTAAAGGCAATGTGCCCTGGATGGAGTGGACAGGAGGTGGCAGACTCGTTGTCAGATCAAAATGCATAAAATTCAAATGTTGAGTTATCTCAGTAGAGATTAAACATGACAGTCCGTACACAGATCAGTTACCGGTAAGTTAAGCTTCTATTACGTTTATATTATATATTTTCAAGGAGTGAAAACGAGCCCGACGGAAAGGTTGTTTATTTGCAATCCGAGATCCTTTAATTCATATTTAAACATCTCAATCCTACATTGAGTCATCCTTCACAGAACGTCCATGGCAGGCAGCGTTCATCCAAGGGCAAATTCCCCTGGATGGAGTACAATGGGCAGGGGGTAGCAGACTCGGACCTGTGCGTCAAATTCCTCAACCAGAAGCTGGGGATGGACCTCAACAGGGATCTGAATCCTGCTGACAGAGGTGTAGCTCAGGCAATGCAGGTCATGGCGGAGGAACACCTGTACTGGTGAGAAACAGGCAGTCATTTAGTCCTATTCAGCTCTGATCTGTCTGTCCATCGTAAACGAAATCACAAACCCTTGAAGCAAACACACAGCAAGCCTTTGAATAACCCCATCTACAGTGTCTCCAAGAGACTCATCACTGTTCATCACTGCAGCCTTTAGTTATGTTCATGCAATTTGATATTGGGAATAACATTTCATGTTTTCCCGTATTTTCTACTTTTGCTGAGTCCAGCAATGGTAACGCTAAAAACAATGGTGCAAAACCAAGGATCCTAATCAGGTCGAATCTGGGATTCGAACCCACAAAAAGCGGATCTCCTGAACATCGAATTATGGCGCCTTACTCAACAGTATACCGCTATTCACATGTACCACCCGGAGAGCGGAATGTCGATGGTTCGATCCCCTGACCGCGTCATACAGAAATACGTTAATAGATATTAAGACTGGAGTTGGCATGTCGGTCGTCAAACAGTAAACAACCGCTACCAGCCCTGACTAGTACAAGGAGCTACACACGCGGACAGACACACGAATATATACGTCCATATATAACGTAAATAGTCTTGAATGCGACGTTAAACACGAGGTCACCTCACATCACCATCTCTGAGATTAGCTACGTGCAATTTCAAAATTACTTTACCAGCATCTACGATATACCTGTATCTATATGAATGAAAAACACTATCGTTTCAGGATCCTTCGCCTCTTCCGATGGCAATATGACAACGATAAATCTCTGTTAGTGAATGCATTTAAATTTGGGAAATTTATCATTTGGATGGTTCGACGAAAGGCTAAAAAGGACATATGGAGTCAAGGCTTGGGTCGACACTCAGAAGGGGAGGTAACTGAGATGTTTAAGAAGGATCTACAATCTCTGTCCGACTTCATAGGTATGCAGAAGCTCCTACAATGTATACAGTATATAGATTTCAGTTCCACATTTTTCAGGTGCCTTTGTATTATAAGGTGGGTGTATTAAAATGATATTCATTTATAATCCAAGGTTTGAAATTTGACAAAACTAATAGGTTAATTGGCGAGCAGAGCTGCATGGAGGCAGAGAATAGGTCGCCACAGTCCATCTTCCCGCGGCAAAGGTGTTGACTGACTTTCTTATAAAGTCACAGACACAGAAGATGCCACAGTCAGGAACAAGATATCCTCGCTATATGGGAGTATGTAAACTGATGCAGGGTAGAAACAAAACGGGACAATTCCTGATAGGCGCCTGACTAAGTGTGCCTTACATAATGATATGACTTCCTTCTTCGATACAATGTGTAAAAGTCCATGGTATTCCGCGCTGATGTATGGCTTGACAGGGCTTGATTAACCCAACATAGCTAAATATATGTTATGCCTTCTGGGAGCTAGGCTTATTGGGGTTTTTTGTATACTCAATCAATTGCGAGAGTTTAAGATAGTATTTAGATTTCGTGTTGACAGTGAGGTCCCAACGGGGATATGTCTTGCAATTATTCTTTTTGGTACCTGTCCTGTGGTTTGCTTTGTTTCAATACATTCATCAGTCCACACATGCGGTTGTTCCAGGGACGAAGAAGTTCCTGATGGGGGACGAGCCCTGTGAAACTGACTGTGCGGTGTTCGGTCAGCTGTCACAGTTCTACTGGCAGTTCATAGGAACTGGGCACGATACCATCATTAAGGGCAAGTACCTTTAGATACATCACCAATACTTCACGTGAAGATCCGGGATAGAATAGGTCTTCAGCAACCCATACTTGCCGTAAAAGGCGACTATGCTTGTCGTAAGAGGCGACTAACGGGATCGGGTGGTCAGGCTCGCTGATTTGGTTGGTTCACGTCATCATGTCCCAATTACGTGGATCGATGCTCATAATATCAATCACTGGATTGTCTGGTCCAGACTCGATAATTGCAGCCTGTTGTAAACATATCCATACATGTATAACAGACGGGATGTGTTTCTCTTCAGTGCATTGAAGTTTAATTTAATTAATTTCATGTTGATTCAATGATAATAAAAACTGTGACAACAAAATAAATCCAACAACCTGCATATTATAGCATTTAGATTTTGAACGTCCTGGTGTCCCGTTATTCCAAATTTAACATGCGATATTATGTATTCTATTTCAGGTCTAAACTTCATCTCCTGAATGCTCTTATCTATTGGAATAGATTCGATTGGTTGATTGGTTGATTATGAACTTTCCTCTTTCCCCCGTAGACATATAAGATGTGATATTTGGTATTCAACTTACCTGAATGCTTTTGAATGAAAATTATCTAATTTACATATGAATTATTGTTATCATTTGTTGTTGAATATTGATATATTTTTAAACGTTCCTTTTTTTCTCCTAGACAAATACCCCAACCTGGCCGCCTACTGTGAACGTATGAAAGACTCATTCTGGTCCGACTGGGACCAGTGCATCACACACGGTGGGACAAGGGAGGCTACCAAGTAGTAACCGGAGATCCCCTCTCTTATGGGGGAGTGATGGAGGGTGGCAGCTTTGACTGAGAGAATACTTTTTCGCTTTTTGGGACACTGCTTTATGACGTATAAAACACCTAATACATATTTTTGTATTGCAAAACATTTTGTAAGCCAGCAAGCATGTCCAGCGAAGTTCAACATAGGATGTGAAGGATGAGATGCGTATTGGTTTTAACACTAAGTATGTACAGGGACTTCCATTACGATGAGATCACATGAGGTAGACGGGTTGTAAGGCTGTGACTCCAGTGGTCGCTGACCAAGGTCCGATTACATACATTGATACAAATTATTGTGTTCCCCGCTGTCAATATTGAATATTGTTCAAAGCGGCCTTAAACATATACACTCATTCATCCGCTCGATTTTCGTGGCATGTCAATAATGTACATTGTGTGTGTCTCTGATATAAGTATTGCTTCGTTTAAAATATAATGTGTTCTTTGTCATCGGATTCCTGTTTGTTGAAACCCACAGTGAGTTAGAGTGTTGTAGGGTCATTTGCGTTGCTGTTGTTGAATGCATGTGATTGCTTCCGTCAATCTAACTTGAGAATCCAACTTACGGCTGTCGATACGACCGCGAGGCAATACTCTTGTCGGGTCGCGCGCTCGACATTGTTTGAATAACAGATCTGACTTATTTACTTGTACTTGAGGCAGGAACAAGTATCTATAGCCCACGCTTGTTAGAACACCAACAACTATATTGAGAGACAGAGAGACAGAGAGAGAGAGACAGAGGTCTATATGTACCCTTCTCTGAGAACCGCATCCGTTGTGTATTGGATAGAGCATATACCCGGAGAGCGGAAGGTCCAAAATAACGTTAAGAAATGGTACTTAGTGTTACCCTGATTAGCACTCGGCATTAAGAGGATAAAAGAAAGACTGGTCTGCTCGGAATGACTCTGACTGTATCACAAGTATCAAATCAGGACTGATACCAGCAGCCACAAATACACATGCATGCACGCGGGCTTGTGATCGAAATATGTCGAACGCGTCATTAAGGTGAGGTGAAATGGGGTTAACGTCACATCCAAGATTATTTCTCTTATATAGCGATGTGCATGCACGTGTGTGTGTGTGTGTGTGTGGGTGGGGGGGGGGGGGGGGGGGGGGGGGGGGTGTTTGTACTAGTCCGGACTGATTTATAGTGCTAACCCACTGAGATGCCATACCGCAGTTTAACATGAATACCCAACTCAGACACAGTATACTGACTCCGAGTTGACCAGTCCTTGTTTAAGCCCCTTAATGCCGAGCGCCAGACAAGGTAACATCAAGTACCATCTTTTAACGTCTTCAGGTATGACGCGGCCGGGGATCGAACCCCGGACCTTCCACTCTCCGGGCGGACGCTAGACCACGGAGGCGGTCGAACGCGACATTAATCCCCATTTCACCTTACACCACCATCTGCAAGATTAGCTGCGTATATCTACACTACAATTTCTTTCATCTTTTACTGGGAACTTCATGTATTCGTAAATAAATAACACTGTCATTTCAGGATTGTCGTCATCAACCGATGGCAATTTGACAACGACAAATCTTTTATAATTAATTCACTTAAAATAGGAAGATTTACCACTTCGATGTTTAAACGAAAGTATAAAAACCAACCATGGAATCAGGGTTTGGGCCGACACACAGAAGGGGAGATAACTATGATGTTTAAGAAGGATCTACAATCCCTCTCCGACTTTATAGGTATGCAGATGTTTTAAGTATACGTGCAATTAATACGTTTTATAGATTCATTTAAGTTTATTTCAGTTACACTGGTATGCTCCAATAGGCGTATATGATAATGATAAATCATTGCCAGTCAAAGGTTTGAAAATTAAAAAATTGTTTAGATTTGAAACTTTATGTTTCTTTTATATTTAGCCTTGACAGGTTATTGATAGAAGATTCTGGTTCAAAGGGAGATACTGTCACTGCAGTGTAATGAGATAGTAAGGTAGGATTTGTAATTGTATCATGACAGTTCTGGGTGTAAATATCTGTTAATCGTAGACTATATATAACTATATAACTTAATGTATATCATGGTTTATCATCACTGACTTCCAATGCAATACAGACAAGTGGAAATCCGTAAGAGAAATGAAAATAGCGTATTTCTGATGTTCAGTTTGTTATCCACTTTCATCCAATTTCCGAAGCATTAATATAACAGTGATGGGGATGTCTAGATCTGTACTCATTCATTGTTAATAATCAAATCCAATATTAACCAACTCTCATCTGAGTAGATGCAGACAATGACCTCCTGCGTCACCAAGGATAGATTTGTCAGCGGCAAATTCGCAGAAATCGCATGATGTAAACTGACGTCCAAAAGAAACTTTACCAGTGTTTGAAATCACTCTTGCTCAAAAACAACAAAACATACATGCATGAAGTAAAGTGTATTGAGAAGATCAATATATCAACATAATCAACACTGAAAATGACAATCATACCGCGACCGAGAATGACGTTCAGAGCCCCCCAAAGTTGGGTGTGGTACAAAACTCGAGCTTTCAGAATCATGGACAATAGGTAGAGTACATATTAAACAATCGCTCACTATCAATAACAAGTCATTAGTAGCGTGTGTGATCACCAAATGCCTCAATACACGCAAAAACTCTTCGATGATCAGAAAAAGTCAGTCGTCTGATGAGGTCATGTGGGATTTGACGCCATTCTTCTTGGAGGGTCAAGATCAGTTCTTGCCGGTTTGCTGGAAAGTGTGGTCGTTGTCGAACACGACGATCCATCAAGTCCCAGAGGTGTTCTATGGGGGACATGTCGGGTGAGCGTGCAGGCCACGGCAGGGCGTTGACGTTGTTGGCTGCGAGGAAGTTTGTGACAATTCTGGCTGTATGGGCTCTAGCATTGTCATGCTGATAAATGACACCACGTGGCTGCTGTTGGAGTAATGGTAGGACAACTGGACGAAGAATGTTATCCATGTAACGCTGAGCTGTCGAGTTTCCGTCAACGATGGCCAGCGGTGTCCTTTCCTGCCCACAGATCCCTCCCCACACCATGACACTCCCTCCAACATATGGTACGACCTCCTGCACGCAACACGCCGCCGTTCGTTCACCCCTTCGGCGTTAAACACGTTGTCTTCCATCAGCCCGAAACATACAGAATCGACTTTCGTCAGTGAAGACAACCCCCTGCCAGTCACGTCGTTGCCTATGTCGTACAGTCCGGGCCCATCTCAATCGCAGACGACTATGTTGCGCTGTCAATAGCTGTCCTCTGTATGGTCTAAAAGCCCTGATTCCATGAGCCCTGAGTCTCCTGGCCACTGTCTGTCGACTAACCCTGTGACCTAAGGCATTTGTCGCCGATGACGTCACTGTCAGGAAGCGATTTCGGAGGTGCAAGGTACGCAAGTACCGGTCATCATGGGGCGTGGTCACCCTGGGTCTGCCTGTTCTTGACCTGTCGGCGGTCCGCCCTGTCTGTCTGTAACGTTGCATCAAGTTGGTAACGGCAACACGGGAGCAACCGAAGGTTCGTGCAATATGGGCGTGGGTGGCTCCTATCTCTACCATACCCAAGGCTCGTTCACGTTGTTCGACTGTGAGTCGTGGCATTTCTTTTGTGTTTTTTTTTATCACTGTGGATGTCTGCCTTGCCGTTGCAATCGTTTTATACCCTTACCCGCACGTGCATTTGCAGTTGTCCGTGGTGCACATGTTTTTCACTTTTTCGCGTGTTATCTCGCCAACATGTAACAGACGATTAACATTTTCTTCATACACTATTGTTGTATTTAGGTTATGTGTTTTAGATAGACTGTATCGAAAAAAGATTTATACTTTGTCTGAAATTTATATTTTCAGTTGGTAAAGTTTCTTTTGGACGTCAGTTTACATGTCGGCTGTATGGACTTTTTCAATACTTTCTTGACATGTCATTCCCAATATTTTAGATGTATGTTATAATATAGGTGAAATTTAAGAGACAAATAGTTGGCACGCACAAAAAACGGGTATGTGGAGTAGGTTGTAGTTTTCACCGATTTACCAAGAATATAGTTCATGTTTCATGAAAATAAATAAATATTTCGAGCGATGATACCACCATTCCGAAAAACAATACATTGGCTTGTTACTTCAAGGAACTTCAGACAAGGATATACAAGTAACACAATCAAGTTGTCGCTGTAGGAAAATCACAATTTTTGAAAATGTCATAACATCATCTGCCAATAAAAGGATCATCAAATCTTGAATACTTTGCGTCCTTTGCTTTATGAATTGATCAAATCCATCATTTGTTGCCGTTAAATCAAACTTAAGATCACACGTTGCTTACATGTTAACAATACTAGTATATGCAATTAACATGTACAAATATTATTGAGTGAGTGAGTGAGTTTGGTTTTACGCCGCTTTTAGCAATATTCCAGCAATATCACGGCGGGGGACACCAGAAATGGGCTTCACACATTGTACCCATGTCGGGATTCGAACCCGGGTCTTCGGCGTGACGAGCGAACGCTTTAACCACTAGGCTACCCGACCGCCCCTAAATATTATTGAGGTTCTTATAGGTAATGTTAAAGATAAGCTTGTGGCAGGTGACAGTGGCAATTGAAATACGTCATCTTTGTTTCGTTGATTTTCGGAACATAATCAAAATGAAAAGAATATGATAAGTTTATGCTTTTATAGTGAAGTGAAAACTTTAATCAATTTAACCATTCCTCCACTGCACACGGTACCACTTCATTTGTCGAAATACATAATTAGTTTTCAGACTGTACGTATATTGCAATGTCCACCACAACAAGCAAAACATAATACTTTTTCTTTATCTTGAGTTCCTGTGTTTCCATTTGTTTCAATATACATGTACTCATCAGTATACACATGCGGTTGTTTCATGGACGAAACGTTTCCTGATGGGGGACGAGCCCTGTGAGGCTGACTGCGCAGTGTTCGGTCTTCTGTCATATTTCTACTGGCATTTCATGGGCACCAGGCATGAGAACAGTTTTAAGGGCAAGTACCTTTAGATGCATCGTCAGTACTTCAAGAAATTGAAAATATTACGTTCCTCTGTCACCCGTGAAAACACACTGCCGATTTACGATGAAGCAGTGACGTATAGTTTTAGTTCACTACCAATGTCAGATGAGCTCTACTCCGCTCATGAACCTCAGTGAACCCTACCAATTTCGAAGCAATGTTTAGAGCAGGTGAGCGGTAAAAGCATGGTACATGTTGCGTGAGACATATTGCTGTTTTTGCAATGTCATCTTAGCGCTCGTTGGTCTGTGCACTCAACTTTCTTCTCGCTTGAACCAGGCTGTGTCATGATTCGTATGTTTAAATTAGCGACTACCACGTCAATCGACAGTCTGTTTTAACGGGTGACGGGGAAACCTATAGTGTATACAATGCCTGTGCAGTATTGACGATGCTTTAGCTATGAGTTCTTATGTAACTTTCTTTTTAAAGGTAGCAATATATCACATTTTGTGCACACAGGTGCGTCTTGTATCAACATCGATTAAGGACCGACCACTTGATATTTCCTGACCGGGTGTGTGGCGAGAGGTTTGAGGGGTTGCCGATATTTTGAAAAAAGATTTTAAATGGTGTGTCCCTCAGTTTACAGTACACAGTAAGATGGTTTCTTCCTTCGTTTATGTCATACCAATCTTATTATAGACAGCACCCTGTCAATGCATGTGTAGTCATGCAATGTGCAGCACCAATCTCATGGCATTTCAGGATACTAGCAACATAATATTCACAATGTACTGCTACCCTCTTGTCACCACATCTGCATTAACATAAGCGTTGTGCATGCACGTGTGTGTGTGTATGTGTGACTGCTTGTACTAGTCCGGATGTCCGTTGTGCATGCACGTGTGTGTGTGTATGTGTGACTGCTTGTACTAGTCCGGACTGATGCCTATTTATAGTGCTAGCTCACTGAGATATCATGCCGCAGTTTAACATGAATACCCCACTCAGACACAGTATACTGACTCCGAGCCGACCATTCCTTGTTTTAGCCCCCTAATGCCGAGCGCCAGACAGGGTCACAACAAGTACCATCTTTTAACGTCTTTTGGTATGACGCGTTCGGGGATCGAACCCCGGACCTTCCGCTCTCCGGGCGGACGCTCTACCACTAGGTCCGGAGGCGGTTTAAATATTTTAGATTGTGATATAACTGTCATCGTATGCACGCAGCTGTGTGATCGTCATTAGTGACTTCTCATTAATTGTAGCTTGTTTTCAACACATCATAAACGTTGATAACAGTATTAATTCACCTTCCAATCTCAAGATATTTCAACTATTAGATGTGATATTTGGTATTCTATTTCAGTTCTCAATTTAATGTTCTGAATGTTCTACACATAGTTTGCGTATGTTATAGTTTGTTGTTAATTATTGGTTGATTATAACCTTTTCCCCCGTAGACAAATACCCCAACCTGGCCGCCTACTGTGAACATATGAAGGAAACATTCTGGCCCGACTGGGACCAGTGCATCACACACGGGGGAACAAGGGAGGCAACCAAGTAGTGACTACAGATTCCGTCCTTTTCCAAGCGGGTTTAGCTTCATATGATGTGTTGCTATGATACCTATTCAAACAAAGCCAAATAGAACGTATATGGATCATACGTGACTGATAATGATTATCAACTTGTTTAATGACCCCTTCGAGTCGAACTCAACTTCACAGGCATTATTGCACAAAGCCCTGTTGCACAAAACGATCGCTACACTGAGACTATTGTAACTACTGTACTTTATCATAGACACAATGATTGTAGCGCTAAGCACACTGAGTGCAATGAGGTCCCGAGTAAAACTGAAAGTATAAATTATATAACATATTTTCCTCCAAACAATCGCGCGTACAGATAAGATTTCATGAGTTTAGTTTAATTAAACTGAACTATCTGTCGGGGTTGGATGTAGTATGTACCCAACAAATATGTTTACCAGCAGGAGCTTTAAACACGTGTATTCTATGCATTTGCCACATGCATTTCAACTTTCCATGCCTCTCCTCACAAGTGGGTCGGTCGGGTAGCCTAGTGGTTAAAGCGTTCGCTCGTCACGCCGAAGACCCGGGTTCGATTTCCGACATGGGTACAATGTGTGAAGCCCATTTCTGGTGTCCCCCGCCGTGATATTGCTGGAATATTGCTAAAAGCAGCGTAAAACCATACTCACTCACTCTCCTCACAAGTTGTTTCGCTTTTGGATTTCACAATCCTAGTAAGTAATATTCGTTAACTCGCATAGCGATGATGTATTATGATAATACACTGTTCCTTGTGCATATGTGTGAATGAATGAGTATTGTGTAACAGTATTTCAGTTATATCACTTTACGTCAGCTTAATGTGGGAGGAAAGTCCGAAGTGGTTCAGGTCTAGAAAATTAAACCTTGTATGAAATTATGAATGGGGTCATGGTGCTGGTAAAATATATAACCTGGAACCATATCAGGGCGAACATGGGATTCGAACCAACGATCACATTGATGCTTTATTTGTGTTCCCCTTCTGATATAGGATTGCGGTAAAAGCTTTGATGATAATCCATACTCGCCTATCCAGAAATATGGTCGATTTATGTCTGTAACATGCATCGTGTGTGTTCATGACATATATAAATTTATTTAAAATATAATGATTTGGTTTTCAACATACGTCAAAGGGGGCATTGAGACAATAGAGTGTGATCTTTTAAGTAACTATCGCTGAGTTTAGTATAAACATATTTGTTTGAAATATTTCTTAGATGTCCAAAATTCCACCCCCACCCTCACCTTACGTACGTTTACATGTACATAAGCAATTCCTAATTATTAGAATACTATGTATTTGATGTTTTCCATAGGTTTCCAAGTAAAGGTTGTATAATTAAATATTTTTTAGAATACTATGTATTTAAGCGTTTCCTTGTGTTTCCAAGTAAAATTACCGCGAAAGATGTCCCAGTATATATATGCTTTGCTATGCTCTTGTAGCATCCTGGAATATACTGAGATTTCATGAATATGTCAAGCTTCAAACAGTTTAGAGTAAACAAAACTAAACATACTGACGAAGTTCACCTTTTCACTCTATGCACTACTGCCTTATCATCAGAATTAGAGGCGATGGGAAGCCATGTGGTTAAAGCATTCGCTCGTCACGCCGACGACACGGGTTCGATTCCCCACATGGGTCTAATGTGTGAAGCTCTTTTCTGGTGTCCAGCGGTGTTATATTGCTGGAATATTGCTAAAAGCGGCATAAAACCATGCTCACTCACTTGAAAGCTTATATGGGAGTAGGGCAAAAGGGGACTCTACTTGCATATGCAATGTAGAGTGAGCTGCTGACATTTATTGAAAAGGGTTTAGATTGCATTTATTACTTGTATTCATGTCATGTTTTCATACTTGTGTTTATATCGTCTCCAGAAATAGAGACTTGAAACAGAGCTGCAACTTGTTTCCTGGCAAATGTGTAAATTTAGCCCAGTTGAAAAAGGGCATGTAAAAGATTTCTTCAAGTTGCACCTATAAAGGCAGTCGTCACAGGTATATGTGACACCAGTGTTGCAGATATTATGTTGAAAGAAATTGTATCAATTGTTCGAATTTGTTGACGTGACAAACATTTTAAAAACAATCATCCGTTTTAATGCATTTTTCTGGAGTTATTAATCTTGTATACACAAGTAAATAGGTTGATTACAAACATGCCAATTAGGAAAGCGTGCGTCATGTGTTCGATACGAATAAAAGCACACACGTAAAACTGCAGTAATGATTTGTCAAACCACGCCTTGTTATCATTAAACTGTGACTCAAATGACCTAAGTTCAATCTTCAAGTATTTATTCCATTTTGCAAATGGCGACAGAGCCTCCTGTTCGACTAAATCATGCGGAGATTGCATGGGATGATGGAAAATATCGCTTTCTCGCTTTCTTACATTCTCGCTTTTTCACTTTCATGTTTTCTCGCTCTATCGCTTTCCCGACCTATCGCTATCTTGCTCTATCGCTTTTCTGCTATATCGCTTTATCTGTATCGCAGTCTTATATTATCGCTTTCTCGCTCTATCACATTCTCGCTTTCTCGTATTGCTTTCTCGCTCTATTGCTTTCTCGCTCTGTCGCTTTCTTGCTATATCACTTTCTCACTCTATCGCTTTGTCGTCTCATTTCATCGCTTTCTCGCTCTATCACATTCTCGCTTTTGTCGTATTGCTGTATCGCTTTCTCGCTTTCTTACTTCCTCGCTCTATCGCTTTCTCGCTCTATCACTTTCATGCTTTCTTGCTCTATCGTTTTCTCGCTCTATTGCTCTTTGTCTCGTGTTATCATTTTCCTGTCTCGTTATCGCTTTATCGTTTTCTCACGGCCGTAATTAACAGCGAGAAAGCGATGTCCCCTCTCGGCCACCACAGGAAATATGGTATATATAGTCATGTAATAAAAGAATGGACTCTGTGCCCCCCTTAGTTACAGGTAGAGCAGAAAACGTTATCGGTTTGTTGTGCAAGACAGGTCTACTTCCATAGACCGGGTGACAAATATCACGTATAGCCTCACTTCACACGCAGTCCCGGGTCACGGTGCCCTAACAGGAGAGGACTCTTTCAACGCCGTCCTGCGAGGTAAATGTGCTTGTCTGACCGGTGTTCGCCGAAATTATACCCTATGCTATACAGCCCATATGCTGCAGGTAATGATTCTATAATATTGGAGCTAAATTGGGATTCCAAGTTAGTGTAGATTACCAGTAATCTAAGCTTGTCATGAGAGGAGACTAAGTTGATCGGACGGTCAAGCTCAGTGACTGGGTTGATATAATTTTCAAGCGTGGATCGATGTTTATGATAATAATCACTGGATTGTCTTGTCCAGACTCGATTATTTGCAGACCGCCGTCATATAGCTGTACCATTGCTGAGTGCGGCGTTAAACAGCCAACAAACAAAACACATGTCTTTCTGCACACTCTCTACAACTGATTTTGATTTGGTGTTCTAGAAACTACAAACCAAGTATTACTTCTGCTTAACAGTTATTACCCTTTTCAACATGGTCTGGGTGTTACTCAGGTCAACCCGATAACAGCGCACTGCACAGTGACTTGCACATTAGGCTAGCAGATCACCAGCAATGGAGACTCTCGTGGATGCCTTCAACGACCTGGACACATCACAGAAAGTATATGCTGTCGGAGGCGTTGTGGTAGCTGTAGGGTCGGTCGTCGCTCTCAGGAAACTGTTTTTCAAGTAAGTTGTGTCGTATGAAATGTCTTCATTTGCACGATCAAAGATATTCGTGTGCCAACTAACAGCTTCACGTTCCTAAGCTTGAGTGATGATTTTTATGTGTTCCAGGAAGGACAGACGAAGAGGTGTGAATGTAAATAATTTAGCATCTGCAAACAGAAGTTTTGGCTGTTAATTGCATTATGCACAGAGAAATATACACTATACAGCGCAATCACCATAAACATAGTGACCGCCTCCGTGGTCTAGTGGTAGAGCGTCCGCCCGGAGAGCGGAAGGTCCGGGGTTCGATCCCCGAACGCGTCATACCAAAAGACGTTAAAAGATGGTACTTGTTGTTACCCTGTCTGGCGCTCGGCATTAAGGGGCTAAAACAAGGACTGGTCGGCTGGGAGTCAGTATACTGTGTCTGAGTGGGGTATTCATGTTAAACTGCGGCATGATATCTCAGTGAGCTCGCACTATAAATCGGCATCAGTCCGGACTAGTACAAGCAGCCACACAAACACACATACGTACATGCCGTCGCTATATAAGTGCAATAATCTTGGACGCGACGTTAAACCCCATTTCACCTCACCTCACCATAAACATAGTAACTGATTGTCTAATTGACCTTACCAACATGCTGTTTTAAGGTTTATGTCAACGACATCTGACAATTTCGAAAATACAATCACCAGCTATATATTGATCCGTTATGATATTGTACAGAGAGGCAAAAGCAAAGAAGAACTATCCCCGAGATACAGTGATCTTTCATCAGATCGGTAGAGGTCTCTATGCCCCAAGCTTGTCGCCATTTGTTATGAAGCTTGAGACCTATCTCCGGATGGCCAAAATACCCTACCAGGTAGGAGAGTGTGTGAGTGAATGAGCGTTGTTTCAATCCGCAGTCTGCATTAATCCATGTATGTCCTGGAAGTTAAACTATTGACTACAGGTGCAAGAATTCACGTCCCCGTTGCACAATAACATAGTTTAAGCTAACTGACAAATTATAGCAATAACCACGAATTGCATTTTACAAAAATCACGAGGAACTTTGAGTCTAACCCCTCGACAAAATGCCCATTTCCCTTCCTTGATCTCTTACAATCCATGCCAGGTACCACTAAAAGATAATTAAGAGCTATACAGTAATGCAAATTATTTTGTACTGGTTCTACATTTGATCTGTGATCTTCCACACCGAACGTCAATGAGATGCATATGTCATCTAGACGCATGGTCCCCTCTCTAGTAACATTTGCATTGGTTCGTTCGTTGCAAATGTCTTCACAATCCTAGCCTGACGATACCAAAATTTCAATAAACTGCATCGAATCCAGTATATCATACACGTTATGTCATACATGATGATTTTTAATTTGCTTTGTGGTCTTTCACTCAGAACGTCCATGGGTTGGTGCCATCATCAAAGGGCAAATTCCCCTGGATGGAGTACAATGGGCAGGAGGTAGCGGACACAACACTGTGTATCAACTTCCTCAACGAGAAGCTGGGGGTGGACCTCAACAGGAATCTGAGTCCTGCTGACAGAGGTGTAGCTCAGGCAATGCAGGTCATGGCGGAAGAACATCTGTTCTGGTGAAAAGACATTTAGTGCTCTTCCGTAAACGAAACCACAAGGCCCATGAGGCAAACACTTTGCAAGCCTTTGAATAATCCTATCTGCAGTATCTCCAAAAGGTTTATACAATTCTGTTCGAATTCTGATAATGCTCATCCCAGCAGCTTTAGTTAAGTCGAAGATGCCAGTGTCTACATACATGGATCACTATAAAATTTAATATGAGGAAAATAAGTTCATATTTTTTGCGTATGTTAATAGTTTTGACCAGTCTAGCAACGGTGACGCTGAAATCAAATGATGGAAAAATCCAAGGATCATAATCAGGGCAAATCGGGGATTCGAAACCACAATGGGTGGATCCTACTGCTATAAGATGGCACTTATAGGTGGATCCTACTGCTATAAGATGGCACTTATGGGTGGATCCTACTGCTATAAGATGGCACTTATAGGTGGATCCTACTGCTACAAGATGGCACTTATAGGTGGATCCTACTGCTATAAGGTGGTACTTGTTACCCTGCTTGACGCTCGGCATAAAGGGTATAAAACAAAGACTGGTCTGTTAAGAGTTCATATACTGTGTGTGGGTGTTCATGTTAAAATGTGGCATGATATACCAAGTTTCATATAAGGACTCGTACTAGCACACACGTGTGCCTGCACATTCCTATGTGATCTAAATATCTTGAACGCGACGTTAAACCCCAGTTCACCGCACATGACCTTCTCTAAGATTATCTACGTGTATCTACATATACAATTTCTATTTTATTTTACTGAAAATTTAAGCATACGTGTTTGGATAACACTATCGTTTCAGGTTTATCGTTCTCTTCCGATGGCAATTTGACAACGACAAATCTTTGATATTAAAGACATTTAAGTTCGGGAGATTTGCGACGTGGATGGTTGGACGAAATCTCAAAAACCAACTATGGAATCAGGGTTTGGGCCGACACACAGAAGCGGAGATAACTTGGATGTTTAAGAAGGATCTACAATCCCTCTCCGACTTCATAGGTATGCAGATGCTTGACGTATATGTGCAATTAATACGTTTTATAGGTTCATTTAAGTCTATTTCAGTTAAATTGGTATGCTCCAATAGGCGTATATGGTAATGATAAATCATTGCCAGTCAGAGGTTTGAAAATTAAAAAATTGTTTAGATTTAGTACTTTATATTTCTTCTTGTATTTAATCTTGACAGTGGGGAGCGCAAGGCGATGTGCCTTGCAACTGTCGTTTGACTTACCTGGTATATTTAGATCTCTAAACTACCACACCATTTGTAACAAACAGTAGGTACCAGTAGTTTGTTTAAAAAATAACTTCATATATTAACAGTCTGAATCGCATGCATATACACGCCGTTTAAAATAATTTAAATAAAATAAATGATTCAAATTGCGATGTATACTAGCAGTGTATTTAGTAGTATGGCCACTACCTCCCGATTCTCCACTGTGTAATAACCAAACTTTTGGATTCGAAACCACAATGGGTGGATCCTACTGCTACAAGATGGCACTTATAGGTGGATCCTACTGCTATAAGGTGGTACTTGTTACCCTGCTTGACGCTTGGCATAAAGGGTATAAAACAAAGACTGGTCTGTTAAGAGTTCATATACTGTGTGTGGGTGTTCATGTTAAAATGTGGCATGATATACCAAGTTTCATATAAGGACTCGTACTAGCACACACGTGTGCCTGCACATTCCTATGTGATCTAAATATCTTGAACGCGACGTGTAATAACCAAACTTTTGGAAAGTATGAATCTTCAGATATTACCATTCCAGAATGATTTTATCCTCAAAGATAATTTTAGAACAGAAATGACTCCTCTTTCCTGAAAGATATTTTTTTGTCAAGAAAGAGTCAATAAGGATGCAAAAGTTAATTCTAATCGCAGATCGTTTTCAATTTATGTTCGAATTTTGTGTACTATGTACATTTAGCAAATGGGGAGCGTGAACTATAGGTCTGTCAGGGTGATTAATAAGGTAGAAAGAGTGACTGTGTAGTGGAGACTGTACGTGACATAACATATATGATGTTGATTCTGCGGAATCAGTGAAGAAGCCAGTAGATGCTCACAAACATAAACAATCCAAACGGTTTGACAAGGATAGTGTTCTAACTTCATAGATTTTCGAAAGGCATTCGGACAGTGAGACGAGGGGCTTTTTCATGGGAAATAGTCAATTCTATTTGAATAAGAGGTAAACTTTATAGAAATGTCGGAATTATCAGGTCTTGATGTGAACAGAATAAACCTGGAGTGGATGTATTAAGGAGGTATGTAGACTAACCAACAAGGAAAAATGGTCCCATAAATCTCAATTGCTCGATATCGTACAACATATTCAAATTATTATCAAATAGAAAATGGACATATATCAGCATTTAAGCCTTATTTACAAGTCATTTATTTACTCGGACCTAATTATGCAATTTTGAGTGAATATTGGCGATAGCCACTGCATATTAGTACCCCAAAGAAGGTTATACATATTGGCTTAAACTTGCTTTGTTGTCAGGCCAAAGATATGTAAAGCTAAGCAATAATATGTTGCACTACTATGATGAGTGCGGTAAGCTTAATTGGGTTTCACATGTAAAACAACTTTTTTGTACACATGGTTTTATGATAGTGTGGCCCAGTCAAGATGAGGAAAACAGAAGCCAATTTATTTATAAATAAATTTACTTAAAGATTGAGCGTTAAATTTATAGCAGAATGGTATGCTAGAATCAACAACAGCCCCAAAACGTCGAAGTCACAGACAATTCAAAACTATTATTTAAACTGAATTATACTTAACTACTTTAGACTTGCAGAAATATAAGTCTATATGTCATATACATTAGATGTGGTTTATTACCCCTAGAAATTGAAAAGGGCAGAACTGAAATTATACCGGTTGAAGAAAGAGTCTGTAAACTAATTCATTCAAACCAAGTGGAATGAGAAAAAAGTTAGAATGTGTAATTGCGAAGAATTTGTCAATACTTTCTTAATATTTCATTCCCCATATTTCAAATGCAAATTATTATGTAGGTGAAATTTTAAGAGTCAAACATTTTGGGCGTAGAAAACGGGTAAATGTTTATACTGTTGAAATTGATTACAAATTTGAATAGGGGCCTTTTCCAGCTTGAGTGGAACGATATGTCCACGTCTTTGTCCACTTCAACGTCTATGAAAAAGTAACATTTGTAGTAGGTTGTAGTTTTTACCGGTTCACCAAGAATAGTCCATGCTTCATGTCGAGCGATGATACATACCACCTTTCCGAAAAATAATTACATTTATTTTCCAAATTTACTTCAAGTCTACACTTCTTACAAAGGATGTAACACAATCTCGTTGTCGCTGTTGGCCTATCACAGAATATTAAAATGTCACAATATCGTCTGTCAATTAAAGGAGCATCAAATCTTAATACTTTGTGTCCTTTGCTATTACGAATTGATCAAATCCATCCTTTTCCGTCGTTTTATTAGAAACATGATCACATGTTACATACATGTAACCAATATAAGTATATGCAATTAAAACATGTTGTGGGAGGTGGCAGTGGCAATTTAATTAAGTCATCTTTGTGTTGTTGTTTTCGGGAATATAATCAATATCAAAAGAAAACAAGAGAGAATTGTGTACTTTTGCTTTATTTTGTACTTTTCCTGTGTTTCCATTTGTTTCAATATATCAAGTCCACATGTTGGATTGTTCCAGGGACGAAGAAGTTCCTGATGGGGGACGAGCCCTGTGAGACGGACTGCACAGTGTTCGGTCAGCTGTCATATATCTACTGGCAGTTCATGGGCACCAGGCATGAGAACATCATTAAGGGCAAGTACCTTCAGATGCATCCTCAGTACTAACGGGGTTTGAAAACATAACGGTCTTCCTTCACTTGATATTTACAATGGAGGGGTGTTTGGGGCATTGCTTAGAGTTTGAACAAGATATTAAATGGTATGTCCTTTAGTGTACAGTGCACATTAAAAAGTTTTCGTCCTTTGTTTATGTCACAACAATCTCATTATAGATAGCATTATGTCAATGCAGGCGTTACTGTGTACTGCTGCAAATGTGCTGTACAAATCTCATGACATTGCAAGATACTGATAACATGCACAATGTACAGCTACGTTTTTGTTGGGCATACAGTTCTCATTAATTGTAACCTGCTGTTAACACATATACGTATATAACAGACGAGATGTTAACCCTTATATCAGGCCCAAGTTTTCAAATTCATGTTGATTTCAATGATGATAAAGAAAACGTCTTAGTCTCACGACATTTTAACCACAAGATAAAATATTTTGTATTCAATTTCAGTTTTCAAGTCATTTACCTGAATGTTCTTTACCCGTTTTAAGTTACTTAATTCGCAAATAAATTCATGTTATAATTTGTTGTTAAATATTGGTTGATTATAACCTTTTCCAATGCAGACAAATACCCCAACCTTGCCGCCTACTGTGAACGTATGAAGGACGCATTCTGGCCCGACTGGGACCAGTGCATCACACACGGTGGAACAAGGGAGGCAACAAAGTAATAACTGCAAATACCGTTTTCTTCCAAGGAGCTTTAGCTTTTAATTATTATTATGTTCGGGTTTAGCTTCATATGTTTTTTGCTATGATATCTATTCAAACATAGCTCAATACAAAGTACATGAATCAGACGTGACTGTAATGGTTATCAACTCGATTAATTCATCCTTTCGACTAGAACTGAACTTCGCTGGCATATTTTGTGCCTCGACCCTGGTGCACAGAACGACCTTAACACTTAGACTACTCTAACTTCACTTACTTAATCCCAGACTCATGATGATTGTAGCGATAAGTACACTTAGTGCAATGAGGTCCTGACTAAAAATGAACTGTATAAATAATATAAAACATTTCCCCAAACATTATCGTTCGTACAGATAGGGAGGGGGGCACGGGTGGCCCAGTCGTCTAAGGCGCCGCGATTCGCTGTGCAGAGTTGCGTCCCTTTGGCACGCCAGAAACCTATGATTGTGGGTTCGAATCCTGGTTCGCCCCAATTATGTTTCTAGGTTTGTCAGAACCATACCCGTGCTCGTGGGTTTCACCGAAGTGGTAAACGTCTGAGACCTGCATCACTTCGGGCTTTCCTCCCACATTAAGCTGACACGCCGTGATATAACTGGAATAATGTTAAAAGCGGCGTTAAACCCAACTCACTCATTCACTTGTACAGATATAGTTTCATGTGAAGTTAAAGTTATGTTTAATTAAACTGAACCATGCGTCAGGGTAGGAGGTATTATGTACCAAGCATATATATCTACCAGAAGGGGCATGAATTCCGTCACTTCATGCATTCCATCTTTTCGTACTTCTCCTTACAAGTTGTTTCACTTTTAGATTTCATATTCCTAGTAAGTTATATCCATTAACTGAAGCGATGATTTATTATGATAATAGACTGCTCCGTTTGGATATGTGTGCGTGAATGAGTATGGTGTAAAGATGCTTAGAACAATATTTTAACTACATCACTGTGCGTCAGTTAATGTGGGAGAAAAGACCGAAGAGATGCAGCCGAGGGAACTCTACAACTATAATGAAATTAATCTTAATAATCTGAGATTCGAACCCACGATCACAGCGATGCGTTATTTGGGTTCCCCGCTGCTATATGGGATAGTGTTAAAAAGTTTGATCTATACTCACTCACCTTCTCATGTGGCCGAATAATGTCACATTGTGTCCATGAAGTATATATGTTGTTTGTTTAAAATATACTGCTTTGATTTTCAACTTATGTGTTCTTTGTTACGTTACTCCTGTTTGTGAGCTATAGGGGACTTTCAGACAATAGAGTGCGATCTTTCAATAACTGGCGAAATCAGTATGAACAAATGTCTTGGGTATCCAAAAATCTACCAAACAGATGTCACCACAGTACGTTTTGCAGTACGGTTACTATAGCTATCAACTCTGCCGTGATATGTATATGTACGTTGAAGCAATACACAATTATTAGAATACTATGCATTTGGTGTTTCCATATGTTTTCAAGTAAAGTTTGTATTACCGCAAAAGATGTCCTTACAGTGTTATATTGTCATCCGATTCACTGGCATAACTGCTTGCATACGACGCTACTTCCAGATAATAACACAAGCAAGACAAAAGAAAATGACACGCGTCACAAATGGAATTAATTCCAGGGCCCACTTGCACAAAGCGATCTTAGCGCTAAGATGATCGTAACTCCCATACGTTAACATAGGCTTACAATAGTCGTAGCGCTAAGATCGCTTTGTGCAAGTGGGCCCAGGTCACTAACAGAAGTGAGAAAAACAACTCAAACTTTTAAAAATTAATCAATACAAAAAGGCCACAAGACACACATGAACAGAAGGTACGGATACAGCTGCAGATACAAAACGGATACACAACATAGTGATATATAGATAAAGAACCAAACGTTATAAACATATAACTAATACATATTAACTAGATATATCCAACGTTCGAATTCCGGACCGATTCCTGGTGTCTCAGTACCATACCAGTGTTCGTGTGTTTTACTACAGTGCGTCAAAACGAGCCTTTTTCTCACATTTATCTTATATGCAATGTTATAAATAAATCAATGTTTAAATTGGGTTCACCCTACTTCACTTACGCCTTGACACAAGACCTAAATACCAAGAACCAAAGTGGTGTCAACGGAATTCCAGGATGTTTATAACCGCAAGAAAGACACTTCCGATTTGGAATTAAGTCTTGGTCAGGCAGAGAATGATGACTATTGTCCTCCGTTTTCAGTGTGTAATGGAACAAACAACTAAATTGTAACAGATATCTTGAAACAACTTTCAAGTGACCATCTTCCTTAAAGTTGGTCAGCATTTCAGTTATATAACAGCGTGTCAGCTTGTAGAACTCCAAGTCAAGCAGGGCTTGGAGGTTTACTGCTTTTGAGAAGACGGACGAGTAGGGGTATAGTGCTGCCAGTACCTGTGCCCTAAATTAGACTTCATGTCTGGTGGCTATAAACATGGGTGGGGTCCTGCAGAACGTTGGTTGTGATCATTGGATTCCATTGGCACAACACAATTTGTTGGTTAGTTTACGTGTGAATGAAATTGTACAAAATATAGCATGAAGCAAAATACGGACGCAGCTTTATCACCAGCACTATTACACAGTACACTGATGTGCAGTTTGTGGAGCTAGGTACACATCGTGACACAATAGAAAAACTACAATACCATGACCAGATGGGCCGGAAAAATACACATCATGGCCACATGGGCCGGAAGATCCCATGTTGTAACATACACCGCCATCCTCTGTGGTTTGGTACACTACATGAGGCGCAGTTAGTACGTCGAGGTTCAATTTACATCCAGTTTATGAATGTTTATAAGAAACTTGTCATGCCTTCACCACTTCATGCCACTTCGCTCTCCCATGTCAAGCTGAGTTTATACTTCTGTAGACCAAGATTCAACTCCACTGACCTTGCAACTGCTCTCCAGTGAGCCCAGTAGATCAGACCGGAGTCGAATAGCCATATCTTTGTCAAAATGAGCTGTTACAATACATTATTCGAAGATACTTTGCATGTGCAACAAAATTCCATCTGACCCATGTACAAAGTAGCGCATGTGGTATTCCCTGTTTTACGACATACATACATGTACTGGCTCCCATCTTGAATGAGTGTGTTGCAGCTTTTATGTGGATGTTTAGGAAATGTAAGGTTTTCCTGAGTACTGCAGAGAACTGATATTTGGTGACAGGTTTACCATTTAAATGGATGAATAACTGGCCTGGTTGGGCGGAGCCTAAAGACAGATTGTGGACAGCTGGGATTGTCAGTGTTGTGCCGTTGCTATGTTGATCATTCCTCGAAAAACGAATTTTGACGAACATTGGTTGTGCAATGATACCAACATCTGACAATTCCAAAGTCCTGTTCTTATTCATCTTTGACACTGGCGCTATCTCACCAATCTGTAAGAATAAAAAATATGCCAAGTTAAACATGGCGACAAGTGAACAGCTTTGTAACCGATGCACACAGTCTGGAGGGCACTAGGCAGTCTCTTAAACATGTCAGTTGGGTTTCTATTGTCGGTTTTCTATTGTATTTCTGTATCCATGTATGAATTTGTCAGTAGGACCAGACCAGCTAATAATTTTGTGATGATAATTGACGCAGAAGCGAGAAAGACTTACTGTGCGTTCATAGACCTAATGGCTGGCTTTGTTTCTGTGTATCGGAATGGCTTTTATTCAAGCTGTGGACTGGAGGTGTTAATGGTAGAACCTATAAGTTAATCAGATATATGTTTGAATCTGTGAAATCATGTCTGTCTTTGGAAAATGGGTATACTGAGTTGTTCTTATCGGGTGTTCGACAGGGTTATCAAATGTCGCCATTTTTGTTTTCATATTGTTCCAGAGTGGTTTTCCGCCGAAGATCCATGGTATCACGTTAAATGCTCTTGAGATTTTCATATTTGCTGACGACATTATTATGTCACAGTTGTAGGTGCACAAAGGTGTCTTGCTAAGTTTTATTCTTATTGCAATAAATGGAAGTTAAAAATCAATATTAATAAAAGTAAGGTTATTATGTTCAGAAATAGTGGCCACTTGAGGAAATATCGAAAGGTTACGATTGGAGATTCTGTTCGCAAGGTCGTAACTAGTTATTAATATCTGGGAGTACAACTGTCTTGCTCTGGCTCTATTAATTTAACTCAGCAAACGTTAGCTCAGCAGTCATCTGAGTTATTCGAATACTTCAGTCTTCTTTGAAACTCTCCACTCTAGCCCCAGATGTCTGTTTTCATACATTTCAAAGGTTTTGCTGTACTGTCCCAGGCAGCTGAAGTATGGGGGTTTCATCCCTCTCCTCATATATATCAATTGGGGTCGACGACATGCATCAACCACGTCAGCGAGTCTGACCACACGATCCCGTCAGTCGCCTCTTACGACAAGCATAGTCGCCTTTTACGGCAAGCATTGGTTGCTGAAGACCTATTCTACCCCGGATCTTAGCGGGTCAGGTCGAAAAGTAGCACGTCTCGCCTATCGACCCTACGTCTTACTTTCTGACCCACCTTCCCTCTTGTCACTGCTATCACCGAAACACGATCGATTTCATGGCTACACAAAGCTGTTATCATTTGAAATGGTACAGTTAAATATAGATACCGCTTTACATACACATATCCTCAGCAAAGCAGTCATTACAATTCGATAACGGTATATTATTTTTCACTAGACTAGACTATTTTGACTAGATAGTTTTCTAAGGGTATCAAATTCCTCCTTTACCGGTTATACGTGTTGTTGCCTTGATAGCCTGGGCTTACCACATACTTGAATAGGAGTTTCTCGGTGCACAATGCCGGTTGTCGTGTGTAAACACACCGACCTGAATATCGCCAAACATGCACACTCAGATAACATATGTGTCATCCAACAACAAAAGAAGCATGTGAATCTATTTGTGACGATATTCGTGTACATGCAGATCATGATATACATGTTCGAGCAGATCAGCCTGCATGAGCCCTCGCCAACAGACGCTTTCAGTGACAGTGACGGTTCTCATTTTAAACTGATTTACTCAAATGTTTGTGTTTTGAAATAAAGATTACTTATTCCTGAATTTTCTACTACATATTCTACTATATGAAACCCAATATGCATAAAATGAATTAAATTTTACTTTTCAATAATTCACGATTAGGAACATTGAGAAAACTGTCCAAATTCTGTAAAATCATCGTTCAGTTCAGATAAGGCTATGTCGACGTGTCGCTCTTACACTGTGAGCACAATGCAAGTTTTAACATGTGTCGGGTTTATTTAAGTGACTGTCTGTGTTCGTTATTTAACGCCGCACATTGCACTATTCCAGCTCTGTGACGGCGGGCTATTCATAATAAGAGTCTGGACAAGCGAAGCCAGTGATAAGGTATTATCATCAACGACCCACGCCGTTGGGGTGCGTTGACACGCTACCAACCAATTACCCGAGCCTGACCAACCGATCCATTGAGGAGTCATCTCTTGTGACCTATTGAAGTTCCTGGAGACCAAATCTTTGGTCCCGTTGGTCGATGCTTAATACAAGCATAGTCGCCATTTACGGCAAGCATGGGCTGATGAAAACCTATTCTACCCCGGATCTTCACGGGTCCCTTATAGAACCTCGAAACAGAACCGTGTCGACTGAATACCAGGACGTTTAGCCCTAACAAGACTGTTTTCCATCTGGAATTAAGACTGGGTCAGACAGAGAATGTTACTATTGCCCCATGTTGTTGGTGTTTAATGATGACAAAAATATCCTTTTTAAAACTTTCCAGTGCCAATCCTCCCAAACGTAAGCGCGTTGGTTTTACGCCGTTTGGGTGAGTATTGGAGTTATATCACGGCAGGGCAGAATAATGGGGGTGAAGCCCGAAACCACATACGTCCTAACGTTCACCACTCCTGTGAAAACCTACGAGCTGTAGTACAGTGCCGATAGTGTCTTACAGTGTCTGGGTTATTTTCAAACAAGTTTAGCATTTGCAGGTAATTTTACAGCCTCAGAAATGAAGTTCAATTTCTACATCTTTGCGCAATTGTACAGACGAATGTTTACCCCGTACCGGACACAATTCTCGCACCATGGTCATTTTTGAGAACCCATTAGGGAACCCTGATAGAGGATAGAACTGTGATGTTCTTTGGAATTACAGATTTTCTATAAATAACTCGGCATTTTATTGGTCGCCGGTACAACTTTTAATCTGTTCGTCCTTTCGTTCTTTCAGTCAAGCATGCACGTGCAGTTATAGAATGAAAACGAGAGTAGAGGTGATTTGCATATTGAAAAATGGCAACGAAAAACATTAATTGTAGACAATTTTTAGATTAAATAATGTCGTTCTGTGTAGATATGTGTGAGTGAGTGTGTAACGCCGTTTCGGTCAGCATTTCAGTTATCTCTGTGTATCAGTCTCGTGTGGGAGGAAACCCCGAAGTGATGCAGGTCCTATAAATTTTACCACTTTGGTGAAACAAAACAGCACGTGTAAGGTGCTTACAAACCCAAGAAACATAATCAGGGTCAGCTTAATGTGTGAGGAAAGCCCGAAGTGATGCAGGTCTTAGACGTTTACCACTTCGGTGAAACCCACGAGCACGCGTATGGTGCTGACAAACCTAGAAACATAATCGGGGCGAACCGGGATTCGAAACAACAATCATAGGTTTCTGGCGTGCCCAAGGGACGCAACTCTGCTGGAATTGGGACCCACGATCACACAGATGCTTTAATAAACTATACGCGCTCACTCACCCACATGTTCCAATTGCATGTATGATATGCCCTGTTTAAAATATAATGACGCCGTGATATAACTGGAATACTGTTAAAAGCGGCGTTAAACCCAACTCACCCACTTAAAATATAATGCTTTGGATTTCAATATATTTGTTTATTTTTATGTGATTCCTGTATATGAGCTTTAGGGGACATTAAGAATATGACCTGTTGCGTACCTCTCGCGGAATTTACTGTGATCATAAGTTTGATGTGTTTCTAAGACGTCAGACAATCCACCACCATCAATCCATGTCCACGTGGACTGTTACACAAAGCATGAACCCTCCACGTGTGTGGAGAAAAAGTACAAAGTAACTTGGTTTACAATAAATACATTTATTTCAGCTCTTGGAAAACAAAATTCAAGTAATTCAAATAACAAACAACATAACAGTATCAGCAAAAGCATATATATATGACACAATACTTAATGAAATCATGAATGTTGTATTTACAAAAAGTATATTCCACTACTGTTATCATAGCGACAACATCTTAGTCATGTGTACATGTACGTTCAAGCATCACATAATTATTAGGACACTATGTCATGCGCCACTGCTCAATCAATAAGAATCAATATTTAAATATAGGCAATGTCCGACAAAAAATATATTGAACTATGGACATTTTATAGTCCGTGAATTATATTACGCATTCAAATTGCAATCAAATAGTATGCTGCACATGTCCGTCTCTTTCAAATATCAGCTGTCTACATCTTGGGCGCCTCGTCCTCATCATCAAGCGTGATGACGTCGTCAGTGGCCTTGACGTTGCGCATTTCTTCTACGCAGGCTTCCATTGGCTCATCAGCCTCATTGTGACGGCGGCAGCGTCTGCGAGGGCACTGTGCCTGACCATGACCTTCACCTCGAGGGTGACCCCTGAATCGACCTCTGCCGCCCTCTCTAGGGTCACCTCGTCCATCTTCCCATCCGGCAAAACCCATGTCGTTCCATGGTTCCATTTCACTGAAGTGTTCCCCTCGCCTCTTGCAACCTCCACGACCACAACGACCACCACGTCTCCCCCATCCTCTTCGTTTCCAACAACCTTCACCCCAGGCATAAGGATGCGTTCCCATCATGCCCCAGAACTGCATTGGGCCACCTGCAAACATACCAGGGTGGCCGAGAAATGGCGGGGGCATGTCCTCATCCGAGGATCCGAAGATTCCATCCTCTTCGGTCTGGGAGTCTTCAACATGGTGTCGATCGTGATTATGACATTTTCGGCTTCCCTTCTTTCCTCTGCCACACTTTCTCGCTCCTCTTTGGCCATCTGTCTTCATTTCTGTATCTGTCAAATACAAAAACAAGAATAGGGTCAAACCATACAGACCAAGGTAGAAGACACAACCATCATGTATATGGGTTTACGCAATATCGCGGAGGGTGACACCAGAAATGGGCTTTGGACATTTGACCCATGTTGGGAACTGAATCAGGGACTTTGGTTTGACGAGCGAATGCTGTACCTGAACCGACAAGCCTACTCCGCCGCTACCCATTGGGAGTAACACAAAACCTTTAGTCAGTACTAGTTACGATTATTCTGAAGACATGGCTCACTGGACCACTGCCACGTAGCACTGATGAACTAATTTGTCTGACCGTCAAGATTGCATTGTTCTTACATTGCACGGACGTCGAACAATGGTACTTTGGCCCATGCAGGGTACACATACACGATCATCTCGCCAACCTCGGTTATATCAAAACAGGGAAGAGGCGGTGGGATAGCCTACTGGTTAAAGCGACGGCTCGCCGTGTCAAAGAACTGGGTACCAAATGGGCAAAATGATTAACGCCCATGTTGGTGTCTCTTGCTATGGTGTAGCGACATAACTGTCTTTACCAAAGTGGCAACCCATACTCAATCACTTCACACTCGGTCTACCTTGTCCCTCCAACTGTAGGAGACGGAAACTCAATCCACAGATAACATGGATCAACTTGTTTGTGTAAAGTGGACATTAGTGATTGTATGTTGTTGTAAGTGAGAGTGAGATAGGATACCTACCATTACCATCAGCAGTGCCCTCTCTGACCTCAGGTGCATCTTCCGTAGTTTTCGCTTGGGCGTCATTATCTGCTGTGTTGTCGGACTCTTCACCGGGAGTGGCCTCCCCTTCAGTCCTTGACTCATGGCACTGATTCTTCTTCTTCCAGCGTTTCATGCGCTTCATCCATCGGTGAAAGTGAGGAGGGGCCATTCCTTCCATTGGCTGCAAAATTGTGTGTAAATTGATCACATCCCGTGAGAAGGGTGCATGTTGAATAAATACAGGTACACGAGAAGATGGCACGGTGACTTCGGTCAAAATGATACTTCGCGGGTGTTTATTCGAGAGGTATTCAATTTATGTTTAGGATTAGTCATGATTAATAACTAAAGGATTAGTCATGATTAATAGCAACTCACCATTCTGCCTGCACCTCGCATGCCACCCATTCTGCCCCACCCTCGGCCCCACCCTCGGCCCCACCCCTGCATCCTCGGGTCAAAGTCCCATTCATCCTCCTCGGATACGGCAGGAGAGACATCTGGCAAAAAAAGATCATTCATCAAAAGATTAGTTTGATATGGCAGTACTTTGACTCATTCTTCAAAGTATTACTATTGCCTATCATCATTATTATCATCATCAACAACAACAAAAACAATACCAAAATCACCACAGTCATCAACAGTATCAAAGTAAAAAGAAATATCTGATCAACGTTTAAGCTGGGGCACGTACTGAATACAGAGACACTGAAGCCCCCATACAATCTCTACATACACATACGTTATTTAGTTGTACGCGAGTCTGTTGATTGTATTGATCATAAATATCAATACACAAGATCAGTTGCAGATGTCCCAGGCCGCCATTACCATCAGCAGTAAATCACGACTGTGTATTATATTTATATTGAACAGAAAAATGTTCGTTTGTACCTCGGATGTAGATTCTGAGGACGGAATCCTTGACGGAAGAGAGGGCCTCATCCATCTCCTGTTCCGTGGAGCACGTCACAAAGTCGCCTTCACCATCTGAAACAATAGCTCGCTTTCGTTAGCTTACGTGTTAATAATGAACGTGAACTTTGAGTACGAATAAGGAACAGAAACTGCACACACATGCTGCGACAACTGTCGCGAACTCGAAAGACAAGTGAGATGGTTAAAAATAGAATAAAAATAAAACGGTCGACTGACTACCCAGAAATGATATTAACTGAGACATTGTCTGACGCTTTATACAGTGAAACCCCGTTAGTCTGGAAAACAAGCATTCCGGAGGATTTGGGATTAGAATGTGTACACATATTCAAAGGAGATAACTCATGGACTTGTTAATCCTACAATGGCGAAAACACGAGGAATGGAACCATTCGGATGAACGGGGCTTTGTCGACGTATACATCACACATGCATATCTATGTTATTGAAAACATAATCATGGGGAGAATAATTTACGCATATATTTTCAAACCCATTTTCGTTACGCTAATTATTTCTGAAATATCAATTTAATGGTTTGTAAAGCATGTTTGTGATAGTAAGAGGACTAACTAACTCCTTCGTCGGGCAGTTAATGGAAGACCTCGGGCTTCTGCAAATGATAATGCCCTGAAAAATAGCGTTACCCTTATAGTATCAATACAGGAATTAAAATGTCTTTAAAAAAGTACAGAGAGTGAGTGAGTAATGTTTAACGAAACGGTATAAACAATATTCCCGATACATGAAACGGTCGGTAAATAATCGGGTCTGGACCAGACTAACAAGTTGTTGATATTATGAACACCCAACTCAGTAGGGGTAGATGACTTGAAAGAACCAAGTTGACCATTTAAAGGTATCATTAGGATACCGGAATAACAATCGCTTTGAACATTATACTGAATATGTGAGTGAATGTTGTTTCCCAACGCAATGAGTCGTCCCAAAGCATTATGGTTCAGTGTAGACTCAATGAAATACAGTAAAACCAACCCTGATATACTTCATAAATACATTCATGTCCAGTGACTGTTTTTTGTTTGTTAGTTGTTTAACGCCGCACTCAGCAATACTCCATCTATGGCGGCGGCCTGTACATAATCGAGTTTGGACCAGACAACCAGTGATCAATATTGTGAACAAAGCGCCACGCAATCGGGGTATGATAACAATCAATCAGTAAAGTTATCGATCCTGACCACCCGATTCATTCAGTTGCCTCTTACGACCAGCATACGCTGCCTAGGGTTATATTCTAACCCTGAATCCATCAGCAACTCTATACTGTTCATTATAATCATAGATGTTGTTATTATGAACACGATTAACACAAATACTTTCAAATAAACAGAAAAACTCACCTTTCCAGTACATGTTGAATGTCCCCGCCTCTAGTTGTTTGAACACCTGGGTCACCTTGTCGTGGACGAAGGTGTGTGTAGGGGCGGCGTCCTTAGGACCAGGGAAACGCCGGACCTCGGGTCTTCCTCTCCCCTCATGCTCATAAAACACTTTGACAACCACAGACTGCATCGTGTTGTTCGGGCTGATTCTCAGTGACGATAAGTTTCAACAGGTGTTTGAATGTGAAATATCTTTTCAGCAGACGATAGAACTTCGATAGGCTTCTTTTTGTCTTGATTTCACGTCAGCAGGTAGCGGTAGAGTCGCTTGATTCTGTCAGCAAACCCAAACCCGGGCTTTTATACCCCATGTATGTTGTAATTTCTGGAAATAGAATCGAACGTTCGAAAACGTTCCGAGAATGAGCTGGCACGTTTCAGACCGGTTGCATCAGGATCACGAGCGTCGATGAGTCATGGTAACGTGGATAGGACTTTCCGCGACACCTACGCATCGAAAACGACAGTGACGTCACAATTTTGGCTGAGTGCCAAGTAAATCAACTGGTCGTGGTATCCAACTGCCTTGTTATAAAAAGCAATTAAAACATTATCCGAGACAGATAAATGTGTGTTAATCAATCTGTTGACGCACCAGCATTATTTCAAACGTTTGCATTTAATGAACGTACATGTGTGTTGCTTTAAATGTGCATATATCTTCATGTAGATTTAAGTTGAGTGTTGGCTCAGAGCCAAGGAATGTGAACTGGTCCGGCCCAAGAACCATTCGGAACGGAGCTCGCACGTCACGTGACTTTGTCAATCGACCCGGGTCCCGTGATTCTCACGCAACCGGTCCGAAATAGTTTGAGACGGCCCGAAACCGGTCCGGAGAACGTTTCAGAACGGTTTGATTCTATTAATAGTAATTGACATCACACATTTTCTGGTATATAAACCCCTAGTTTTACTGACAGAATCACTCCTCCGGCACGCTCTATACAGCTATACTGAAGTTACTACGCCAGCTGCTGAACAAAGACTCAATTGTCGTCTGCTAAAGAAATAAGACCGGTCTGAATAGCGAATACAGATTGCTACACTTGAGAATCCTTCAGTTCTCCCACTGCTGTACGACATTTCCTGTCCAGAGAAATCCCAAGATGCAATCCTTGGTGATAAAGATGATTTATGAGCGGCAGGGCAACGCGACTCCTGAGATCCGACGTTTCCCTGTCCCCGATAACGCCGCCCTCAGTTACACCTTCATCAACGAGAAGGTGATGCAAGTGTTTCCACACCTTGATGCGGACACATTCACACTGGGCTGGACAGGTATACCTTTTCCTCTTTATTACATAAATATACAACGTGGTCGTTGGACTAAGTTCGAAAAATAACGACTACTTTAAGGATTAATTCGTAAAATATATACCTTTTTAACGTATGTCCAATTGGTCATTGGTTGGATGTATTTCGTCGTGTCATTACTGACATATGTTAATATATATTGGAGTATTTTCTACTTAATGTTTAAATAAAACGCTTTGTAATCATCGCCATGAAAAACATGCAAATATTGTTTTCTTATATGTCCAATTTAGTTTTGTTATTGTGTGATGATTTTAAGAGACAGTAGAACATTCTTAAAAACATACTGGTCGTATTTTCTTAACAGATGAAGATGGAGATTCAATAACTTTCTCCTCAGAGGAAGAGCTCAAAGAAGCTCTTAGCAGTGCCAATGATTCCGTTATGAAAATCGTCGTCAGAGGTGAGATGATTTCCTATTAACATAAAGAGCACAAAATCGATTTATATATTGCCTAGTGTGTTCAATTAATAGCTTCTAAGGAATCTTCGTTTTACTGTTTAATGTAAACTGTTCTTTAAAAAAAACTTGATATGTTCAAGTAACAATGAAATGATGTCGGTGTGCGACTTCGTCTCTGAGCCTTCACGTTGAATAAGATAAATGCATAGATTATGTGAGCGGCAAAACGAACTAGCCCGTCTGCGCAGGGCCACATACCGAGAGTGTACACAGTGTGACCTGAATAGTGTCCCTGTATTGAGACTTGTTTCTGTGCCTGACAGAGCACGACGTGACAAATAGAGCTGAAGGAGTTACCTCCCTTGACGCTAATACTTGGCGCAGATCTCGTGTGTTTGGGAAAGGAGCAGATGCTGGAGGATACAGAATGATGGAGACGGTAAGTTCAGATATTTCTTTTGTAGTTAATAACCATATACTATTTTAGAAAAATGTTTTCTTGGCTTAATAAGCTCAACTATAAATCCTTTGCCATAAACAGGTCTGAACATAAATTTTATAGATCTTTCTCGTTCTGTTCATATACTTCGTATAATGTCAGTACTAAATTAACCCTAAATGTCATATAGAGTTTTTATTCAAAATTAATCCATGACGTCGTTCTTCTTGTAGAAGGACGTTCAACCCCGTCACTCCAGACGTCTGATGAGAATGGCCAGGAAGATTCCACAACAGGGACGGGAAGATGCTGGCCAAGTCGATGCCAATCCAACCCTTGTTGATGGACAAGTCACGAGAAACTACAGCAGTAAGTCATCTCCCAAGTTATGAATATTATTATAAAATTAGTTGTTTGATAGGCAATTATTGTAAAATGAATTGTTTCATAGGCAATTATTGTAAAATAATATTGTTTGATAGGCAATTATTGTAAAATGAACTGTTTGATAGGCTATTATTGTAAAATGAATTGTTTGACAGGCAATTATTGTAAAATAATATTGTATGATAGGCAATTATTGTAAAATGAATTGTTTGACAGGCAATTATTGTAAAATGAATTGTTTGATAGGCAATTATTGTAAAATGAATTGTTTGATAGCCAATTATTGTAAAATGAATTGTTTGATAGGCAATTATTGTAAAATAATATTGTATAATAGGCAATTATTGTAAAATTAATTGTTTGACAGGCAATTATTGTAAAATGAATTGTTTGATAGGCAATTATTGTCAAATGAATTGTTTGATAGGCAATTATTGTAAAATGAATTGTTTGATAGGCAATTATTGAAAAATAAATTCTTTGATAGACAATTTTTGTAAAATGAATTGTTAGATAGGCAATTATTATAAAAATGAATTGTTTGATAGGCAATTATTGTAAAATGAATTATGAGATAGGCAATTATTGTAAAATGACGAAAGAAGTTGTAAACGCGTTCTGTTGTCGGTGTCATTGATATCAATTTAGGATTGGTCATGTGGCGTTTCATATTTACGTGTATTTTCAAAATAGAAATGTATGATGGCTGAACTACGTCATTTTCGATGGCATTTAATATTACTGATGATAAAACAGTGGTCAACTTACCAGGCAGAAAAACATGATGTCTGACGTCTGAAATTAGATAATACATGTTTTCCAGATTGTCCTGTTAAAGTAAGCTGCCATCTTGTTCCCCTGACTTCAGATGTACAGTCAGTCACATGTTATTTATTTCAGATGCAGGCGGATCCAGACGAGAGTTCTGTAGAAATGGTCGCCGATGGCAGTTGCAAGCATCCTGTGGGCACAATGGTGCTGGAGCTGGCCCTGTGACTGGCTGGCGTCATCGTCGACGTCAGCACATGTCAAACCCTACAGCCGATGAAGATACAGCTACGGAGCAGGGGACCCCAACGAGAGTCTGTGGGAGGCGACGCCAGAGAGAACTGGGCGGGCTCTGTCAGCGTGATGGGGCTGAAAGCGATGGTACATCTCCAAGGCCACGTTGGTGGAGGCGGGTGATGCAAGAAGAACGTCCCTGCCCGCAGAAGGAGAATGTCATTGATGGTACGTCTCCTTCGAATTCCTGTGGGCAACGTTGGAGAAGGCGGGTGATACAAAAAGATGGTCGCCTCCAGCGTGACGAGACTACCGGGAAATGTGGAAGACCTTGGAGAAGGCGGATGATGACAGGACTCGAGTATCAGCGTGGTGATTCAACAGGAGACGATCTCTGTTTGAACCCACATTGGAGATCAATGCAAGCAGGCCGGGCTTCAAGATACGCCATGGGTACTGAAGGTGTCACTATGCCTCTCTGGTATTATGGATGTCATGGAGCCAGGAAATCCTTCCCTGTTGGCTGCAGAGGATTTCAAGAATCCTGTAGTGATCGCGCTGGTCAAGACGGACCAGGTAGACGCACCATGGGCCACCATGAGGTCAGTGGGAAAAGGTGGCGTCGTACAAATGAGCCTCGTTTTGGAAGATGGTCCAGGCGAGATAGTAAGACTGAAGATGAACATTACATCAATAGCCACTGCACTGATAGCAGCTTTGCCAGCTGTCAGCGTCGTCGTGTTCGTTGCACGGGTGTCTCGGGAAACACGCCTGGATGTAAGTGTTCGAATGAGGAAAGCTGTCTGAACAAACGAGACGTAAAGAATCTCCATAGATTTGAGAGTTGTCCTAAACGTCGCGTGAGATTAAGCGATGATGTGTCAGAGTCACACGATAAGAACACCAATGGCAGAGTGGAAACAACCCGTGGAAACAAATGGCAGAGAGCATTCGGACCTCACATCAGACGATGCATCCGTCGCCAGGGGAGGACGATGGAGGGAAGAGCCAACAGGGAAATCTCAGAAGATGTGATGCGTGGTCAAATGAATGACGTGATGCCAACATGCAATGAAGCGGGCTGTGACATGCAGAGAGGCAAAATGTGCAGGAGCCACAGAAGAGGACCAACGTTCAGAACTCGTCGTCTTCGTATTGTAAGACGCATGCGTCGCTTGCGATACCTTCAAGGCCTTAAGGGATTTTATAAACACCCATATCCAAGAATGCACGGACACAGAAGAAGACCGGTCTTGAAGACCTGCCGTCGTGGTCTTTGTCTTCATCTGAGTGGAACTGGAGCTAAAGTTGGAAGAGTATATGGATTTGGAGGTAAACGAGGTGGCTGCCACATTGGAATAGGCCAGCATCTGGCAGAGACAATCAACCGTCAAGTTACTTCATGTTATGCGTCAAACTCTCACAAATTTAAAATGGGTGACAATGGAACAAACTGCAGAAATCATGAGAGGAAGAGTATTCATCACGTCATGGGCAGATCCTGGGGTCGTCAAAAGGCTTATCCTGGAGGGTCTGGAAAGGATGAAGGGGGATTGGCCTGTCAGATGAAGCACGCCTGTGACGGCCCTGAAGATGTTGGGACACAAACCCCTTTTAAGCTCACTTTCCATGAAATGAAGAGACTGTGCCTGATGAGAAGAATCCTTCAAAAGGAAAGAAAAAGGCAGTTCCGTATAAGACAGCTATTTGCCAGCCGCTGTGGACAAGGACAGTTGTCAAAGAGACCTGTGATGAAGGCGTGGGGAGGCAAGGCAAGCACCTGTACCCACGGTGGCGATAGGGTGTTGAGAATGGCCTATTTGTAAGACACTAAAAAGCTTGCTACTATCCGTTGCAGAATGTAGTTACATACTGATGAAATCCTTGTCGATGACAGATGATTTTAGATGCTGAGGAATCTATGGGAAGTATATGTTGTCCATTATATACGGTTTTGGTTACATTAAATACATAATTTATGTTGTCCATTATTTACGGGTTCGGTTACTATTTTATATGTTGTCCATTACATACGGTTTTGGTTACATTAAATATATAATTTATGTTGTCCATTATATACGGGGTTGGCTAAGTTGTTTTCTTTCTGTACAGTGTGTGTGAAAAATGTGAACTTGGTGCTATCATGTAATATACAAATGATCATTTTGAATAAGAGTTATTTCGTCCCATTTGTTTCCGCTAGTTTTACATATTAATGAAATTATCTAACGTCTTGTCATTTTGTGTTTCATATAAGTTAGTGATTATGATAATACAGATGCATATGGGTCAAGATATTATGTTTTTGACAGGTTTTTTATCATCTGTGTTCAGAATTAATACATACAGGTTAGGTTGGTTGAAACATAATTTTTGTAATAGGAACGTATTTGTGTTCATGTTATTAAAATGTTGGACGTTTCATATAGTATAATTTTACTTATTTCTGAGCTGAGCATATTTCTGGAGTCTCAGCTGCACTCAGCAATGATGGCCTATATATACTACTCAAAATATGTTAAAGAATATCCGATGTTTTCATATGACTATAGTTAGTCTGTCATGGCTGGCGGGTACTCCAACACACAGCCTTCCATTTGTGGGTGTTCTTTAACTTAGTTTGAGTCGTTTAAATGAAGCACTAATGAAATAGGGGAGCCAAGGTTCATTTTGATATTCGGCAAAAGTGTCAACAAAGACATTTTACTTAGTTGTACGCGTTGTTGCTTTCGTCACAGTCAAACTAGTGGTTGAAAGCATGAGCCAAGAGCCACGCCGTAAGGCCATGGTGGCACACCACCGGCCAGATGAAACATTTTGCAATCACCTGATCCTCATTTTCGACTATTGTGATTAGCATGGTGAGCTGAGGATCTATTCTGACCCATAATCCAAGTAAGGGACCTGCCGCATTGACACACATGAACGAGTTTTACAAATGCATGCGATCAACTATACAGTTATATCACTACAGCCTTTACATACATGAGTCTAGAGTTAGTGAGTGAGCTGGGGTAAACGCCATTGTGAACAATGTTTCAGGGTTTTTTAGAGTGTCGCCACTGTTGAACTAATGTTGGAAGAGGACCAATAAGATGCAGACCCTAGATGTACTTTGGGGAAACCCAAGTGTACGGGTGTGGAAAGTCTGGAATCAAACCCACGATCATCGGATCATAGCATGTTTTAGGAAAGCACAGCCCTGCTCGGTCACCAGAAGAACTGCTGAGCCAACCATCCTCTCTGTCGGATTGCAGTGGCACACAATCAGTGAGGTTACAAGTTGTAACAAAGACTTCCGGAACATAAGAATGATTATGTCCTTGGCTTGTACAATGAAAGACGGTGGGTTAGTCTGGTGGTTCAAGCGTTCTCTCGTCACACCGAAGGCCCGGTTTCGATTCCTCACAAGGGTACATTGTGTGAAGCCCATTTCTGCTGACGTCCTCCACTGTGCTATTGCTGGAATAGTGTTGACAACGGCGTAAAACCACACTCACTTACACTCACTCACTCACTTACTCACAAGATGTCGTACACAAGTCACGAAGGTAGAGATCAGGTTAAATGTAGCAGGTATTTGCGGTACGTTTGTGGGGATGTGTGCGTCGGGATGGGCGTTTGAGGGGAGCCAATGTTCATTGTACTCAGGAGATTATCTAAATAAACGTATTAATTTAAAATTAATACATACAGGTTAGGTTGGTTGAAACATTATTATTGTAACAGCAGCGTATTTTTGTTCATGTTATTAAAATGTTGTGAAGTGTCATAACGTATAATTTTACTTATTTCTGAGCTGAACATTTTTTTTCTGGAGTCTCACCTGCACTCAGCAATGATACCTTATGTATACTACTCAAAATATGTTAAAGAATATCCGATGTTTACATATGACTATAGTTAATCTGTCATGGCTGGCGTGTACTCCAACACACAGCCTTCCATTTGTGGGTGTTCTTTAACTTAGTTTGAGTCGTATAAATGGAACGTGGACGTGGGTCGGGGTGGGTGTTCGAGGTGAGCAAAGGGGATGTACGCGTCGGGATGGGTGTTTGAGGGGAGCCAATGTTCATTGTACTCAGGAGATTACCTGACTGACTGAGTATGGTTTTACGCCGATTTTAGCAATATTCCAGCAATATCACGGCGGGGGACACCAGAAATGGGCCTCACACATTGTACCCATGTCGGGAATCGAACCCGGGTCTTCGGCGTGACGAGCGAACGCTTTAACCACTAGGCTACCCGACCGCCCCAGGAGATTACCTAAATAAACGTATTCGTGTATGTACATCGAGATTTACACCAACCAATCAGTATCATGAAATTACTTTAATCAACATGCACATGACAAAGTATACAAGCAGGTACATATAAGCATCTAGCTACATCGCATTCTGTGGTAAAATCAGAACTTCACATATTAAAAATACAGCATAAACACTACATTATTATGAACTTTTCTATTGATGAAGAAATAACAACGTCAAAAGCGTTATCAAAAATGATTTTGAAACCAATTATATGCCTCTAGTTAATCACACGCGTTAAAAGCGTTATCGAAAAAGATGTTTCAATGATTTTGAAAACAATTATATGCCTCAAAAAGTCCTAAGTCACTTATTAGGAACAAAAGTAGAACACTTGTTTTTTAATGTGACAACAACAATAAATCATCAAACAAAAATATCTACTACGCATGTTCAGATTCAAAACCTATTATACCTCATTTATTTCAGATTCTAGAGCAGAATCGATGCTCATGATGTTAATCATTGGATTGTTTGTTTGTTTGTTACGACAAGCATTGTCTCTTTTTACGGCAAGCATGGGCTGTTGAAAAACTAACCCATTCTAACCCGAATCTTCAGGGTAAATATATTGCCGAGTGCTGCGTTAAACAACAAACAAACAAACAAAAGGAGAAACATTATTGCATGCGTTTTCATAATCATTTGGCAATAGCGCTACACCTTATCACAAAATGTATCGTCGATATGAGCAGTGTTTCGGTTACAATAACGACCTTGCGTGTCAGCTTGATGTGGGAGGAAAACCCGAAGTGATGCAGGTTTTGGACGTTTACCACTTTGGAGGGACCGAGGATCACGGGTGTGGTGCTGACAAACCTAGAAACAGAATCAGGGTCAACCTAAGAATCAAACCCATGATCACAGATTTCAGGCACGGCATAGATGACGAGACCACCCATGCCTCCTGTCACAAAATTTACATATAGTATTAGGTCAGTAATACTATTTGTCAGGGCAGATGATTTTTAATTCAATTCAATTATGGGTATTGAATTCAAGGCCAATGGCCAACATACAGTTTTAACACACAAAAACTGAAAAGGCAAAGGAAGTACAGCTGTAAATTGGCAATTTGTCTCTTTTTTTATAAAAATAATAATACTTTTTACAGAATTTCATTAATTTCATACAACAGTTGTTCGCTTTTCACACATCAGATTCGAAAATGATTCGAAAGTACCGTTATCCAATATTTCTTTTGGGTTTCTTTCATAGCTCTTTATACAATGGACAAATGTTCATGAAACCTGATCTATTAGGTTCGGGCCAGAAGTACATGTTTTCCTTGCTGTACCGTTATTTCGTGGCTTTGGCAGTGAATCCTCTTGTCGTACAGTCGTCCCAGTCCGGCCAATACACCGCCTTCATCCTTTCACAGTAGGCGGCCAGGGATGGAAACTTGTCTGAAATTGAAACGTGTGTCAGTTGGATAAAAAGGAAGCCATCGATCGACACCCAAAGGTTGTAACGCTTAGGTACACGTGGCCTACATACACGCATGTATGTCATAACGGAATTCCGTTTCTGCAAGATATACCATCTTAAAACTACCAAAATATCATCTTGACTGAAAGCATTTCGCAAATCAAGGACTTCCGGGTGGGAGAATCTATGACCCAAACAATATCAAAGAATGCCTCGTTGTGGGAATTTGGCAACACTTAGCATGAGCTACCTTTAACACGCTTTGATCAGTCAGCTTCGTGAGAAAAGAATGCTCAAAGTGATGATCTCTTTGTGACCTTACGGATCAACAGAAGATCACGTCGAAATGAAATATACCATCGACCATCTGAAATTCGGCACCGGATTAGTTGAATATAGTTATTTCAGTTATATGACGGTGTCTCAACTTAATATTGGAGGAGGGCCAAAGAGGTCTTAGACGTTTGATTGAGATGCGTTGGCCTTGAAAATGCTAAGTCTCTTTTTATATAATAAAACGTAACTTTTTCGTAAGGACTATTGTCTTTATGTCTTTTTTAATATCCTTCACGTCATCGTGACACGCAACCAACCAAGTGACAGAGCTTGACCATCTACACACTCTAAGTCAGTTCTTCCGACCAGCATTGACTGCTTGGGACCAATAACCAATTTAGTCTCCTAGTACGACAAGCATACAAGAAGGTTACAAGGGACCTACTGTTTTCCGGAATCCCTAAGGAAGTAACATTGCTAATTATTTTCAAATTATATTATTTTATACCGAGAAAAAAATGAAAGAAACAGATTTGTGGATTGTTTCTCTGAACAATAAGTCAAAAAATTACTTTCGTTCCTATGTTTTGTTTGTTTGCTTGTTGTTTAACGCCGCACTCGTTTTAATCGAGTCTGGGCCAGACAATCCAGTGATTGACATCATGAGCATCGATCCAAGCGATTGGGATACGATGACACGCATCAACCACATCAGCGAGCCTGACCACTCGATCCCGGATCTTCCTATGCTAATCTACATATTCATTCTTGTAGCTAAATTGAAAATCTTTACCAAACGGGTTTGGGTCGTTGAGTGGTAATCAAAAGTACAACCTTTGAGTATGGTCTCCAGTTCGTTTCCCACCGCATGCCAGTGTAACTGACTAAGCTGACCAAACACAGCACAATCTGCCTCACATGGTTTGTCGCCCATCAAGAATTTCTTCTGTCCTGAAACATGAAAGTCGATACACAGTGAAAGGTTCACATACAGTGAAACCGCGACAATCCGGACGGTTCAGTTCCGAAGGAAATCGTCTGGATTAATACTTTTTCGGATTAACGAGTGGGAGCGGAGTAGTGTCGTTATGGTTACTCATGGACGTGCATATATTAGATTGTCCGGAATGCGAGGTTTTCGGAAAAACGCAGTCCGGATTAATGAGGTTTCCATATATATCTCATCTCTGGCAATTACTCCTAAAGGGGCAAACGGCTCTGACCAATTGGCATCCTCAGCTGTTGCTTCAAGGCCTTAAAGAGCTTCTGTGTTTGTCTCTTACTTGATGTATTTTAATTTAGCACTACATGCGGGCAATATCTGATCACACAAGGAATTAATTACACTGGTCAGACGGGGGCCGACATTGAGAAACATATGGCAATGATGGATGGGGTGCGGCGGGGTACCACGCCCTCTTCCCCTCCCTTTGACTTGGACATAGTGTGCCTCCACCCTTTTCCAAACCACTGAACCCGCCACTGAGTTCATCTTTAACTAAACCAGACTCCCTTTCGGAAATAGAATCGCATAAGAATGGAAACATCACATGGGAATTCAAGTTCATCTAATTGTGATCGCACGGACAAATGTTCATTCGGTGAGTGAAAGTGGTGGTTATACCATGTTAATGTGTTGATGTTACAGTGTTCATCAGGTTGTGTTGATTTGTTGCGTTTAGGAGCAAGAGAATTGGGGTCAAAGTTTACTTCTAGCATCACTTTAGCGAGTAGTAGGCCACCATACAGTTGTACTCCGTTCCAACCCTTAATCCGGACAATTTACTGTCGGGGACATCAAGACACAAACATAATCAAGGGGACATCACTCGTACCCAAATACGAGTGCTAAAATACTTTTTTTTTGGCCTCTCATCCAGGAATTTGCCCATCCTTTTATAGATGTCAAGCATAACAGTTTAAAACATTACCATAGCGGCCTTGTTTAAAAATGGATGTGAAGTTGGTGAGCGGTTTTAGAGACACCATTGCTTGAATCACACAAACCACCTTCAGCTTCATAAACCCAGACAGTTCTGAGAAACGCTAGAAATACCGAATCACACAATTGAAGGCGAAAACTATGTGTACTGTATGTCAATGTCATAATGAAATTCCTCCAATGAGAGCCCAAATTAAATATTTTGCCAACGACACATATTTAGCAAACAACTTATGTTATCATATACCTGTTCTGAGATCGGAAACAAACACAATGTAAACAAAGTAGGGGAAATAAAGAGACAAAGATCATTACGAACCTAAGATATCTGATACAGCCTGAAGATCACGCTCCAGAAAGAGAGCAACCTCCTCTTTGGTGTGCCGCCCTATCCCTACAGTGTGCAAGGTAGCACGAACTTTTCTCTTGAAGATCCACAACAACAGTTTACTAGCTCTAATTACTGCAACCTCGGGATCATACACGTAACGAAACATGGCGTGACACCTGAAAATGTAGACATTGAGACAAACAAAATATCAACCTTGACTGTTCAATATATAGTTCCATTCTATGGAGATTAATACACACTGGACACATTCGCCGTCCCGGAAGAGACATCAACAGCTCCATCTCTCTTGTCCCTAACCAAGCCCAGAAATTCTCTCGTTCATGGGCTTGTTATCAACAACCAATGCCTCTCCTGAACGCGAGTTCGTCATAGGTCATCATTCAGAATCGCAGCCGTAAGAGCTAGATGTACTTTACTCGAATCTAAAGGCCTTTACATACTTGAGCTATTAGCTTGAAAAAAACATTCCTGAGTTTTAAGAGGGGTGCTTCTTTGCTCGAAGACGTTCCTGGTTGTATTTGTGACTGCAAACAACGAGGCGAGTCGAGTGAGGGTGATATCACAGCTGGTTCCAAGCACGACAGAACGGTGTAATTTGACTGGACGGCTATATTTAGCATGATTCAAAACGAAGTCATGGTGGCGAATGGGCCCAGGTTATATATATTATTAATTTATAATAATTTCATATTTTGAAGTTTACACTGTTTCTTTCATGCTGATTGGCTGAATGGGTAGTCACGTGATCTGATGTTTGGAGTTCACACACCTGTGAACGGACAGAAAACGTTCGCACGATGTGAACAATTTTTTGTGAAATTGATCGTGTGAACTTTTGCCGGAACTACTTTCCGGGGTTTCCCCGAATTCTCGATCGGTGTTTACGATCAACGTAATGTTCTATGTTCTTTTTAATCTCTGCATTTATTAGCTATATAATTAATTTAATATGTTTGCTTGGTCTTGTAACATTTCATCTGACTTATAAATAAATAAATGCTTTTGTTCTGGTGTTTAATGTCGTCTAGCTGCTAGATGAAACAAAATGGATTGTCCCTACGGTGATGTGGATATGGAATGGCGATCTTTCAATACCAATAACGCACGTGAAGAAAATGAATTCTGTAAAATTGATTAGGTGAACGAAATTGATTTATTGAGTGATATTGACTTTGGTGCCTTGTTTTTGGAAATGACAGGAATCTAGCACCAATGAAAACAATGTTGTACCCTGCTCAGGTGTGGCTGCTGACAAAGATCAAAGCGACTGCTCCTGATCAATCCCATACCAAAACCCGATTCACTATCGTATCGGGAAACAAAATCTAAGATTTTGAGAAACCATAAAACATAAAAAAGGTAAGTAAAGAAACTTAAATTTGATATTAAAAAAATTGCCTACCTGTTTTACCGATTGGTCATCGAAGTCGAGAAAATATCCGTAGACGGAATTAGAAACCTACTATTCCGGTTTCTGAGTTGGCCGACCTTCTCCGTGCATTCTAGGCCGAGAAACGGTGGCACAAATGAGGAGAGATGGGGCACAGTAATGAAGCTGGCATCAGGTCATACAGTCGGTCCATCTCAGGTGACAAGAAACACCAGCTAAGCAACGTATTACAGCACACACGACAAATCCAAAGCTCCAAATATAACACAGTCCGTTCAATCCCCACCAGTCCATTCCACATCGTCCGAGTTGGTTTGCGATTATCCAAACACAAGCAACACATTCATAAATCGTTGATATTCCCAATTTGCTAGTGCCATAAGAGGGTTCACGCGTCGGGGTGTTTTTCATAACTGCTCCCTAAACTTCATTTTCAACAGCAGTAAGTATAAATTCCACCCTCATGCTCCCGTTCGGCTCGAAATGCCCCTCTTAACAAACTTATGTGACGTCATATATAAACCCGCGCTTGAAGGTTGACATCGCCTCGGTGCATCGAGGTCACGTTTATATTTTTGTTCGCCATCAAATAACCTATTTTTAAGATTTGATTTATCACAAATATTGTTTGTTAATTTGTTCAGAGAATGAAAATATGTTGACATATTCCTAGATTATATTGTATATATTCAAAGAACTATTTTTCTTTGCGTAAGTGAGTATGAGACAAAATAACAATGTTGCAATGTTCTTCGGCGAAACCAGAGGACTTCAAATTTCAGCAAACATTGATACGATATTATACGGCGAGACCAGTAAACTACAAAGTATGAAATTATAAGAATTGAACGTCAGTTTGGATGGGTTCATTTGATGAACGATTTAAAAGCGCTGGTTTTAACTGTGTGAAACTCCGAGCTTGCGAGTTCAAACTGACGTTCAATTCTTTAATAAAATGGAGACATAACACACAGGATACGAGTGAGTGAGTGAGTACGGTTTTACGCCGCTTTTAGCAATATTCCAGCAATATCACGGCGGGGGACACCAGAAATGGGCTTCACACGTTGTACGTATGTCGGGAATCGAACCCAGGTCTTCGGCGTGACGAGCGTAGGCTTTAACCACTAGGCTACCCGACCGCCCCACATTGGATATGAGGTTGTGATGATGAATGTAATACGCGCAGCATCTCCGTTGAATCAATGGTGGCCCATTCGTTCATCGAGTTTTGTCTCTCTTTGTTTGGTTGGTTGTTGTCAAACGCCGCAAACAATATTCCAACTGTATGACGGCGGTCTGTAATTAATCGAGTCTGGACAATGCAATCCAGTGATTGACATCATATGCATCGATCCACGAAATTGGGATAGGATGACGTGCATCAACCAAGTCAGCAAGCCTGACCACCCGATTCCGTTAGCATAGTCGCCTCTTACGGCAAGCATGGGTTGCTGAAGACCTATTCTATCCCGGATCTTCACGGGTCTTGAAAGGTACCAGCGTCCATATAATCATGGGGTTGAATCCCCGATTCGCCCTGATTATGATTCTTGGTTTGTCAACACCCTACCCGTGACAGTGGATTTCACAAAAGTGATAAACCTGCATTACTTTGTGATTCCCACCAACATTGAGCTGACACGCCATCATATGACTTAAACACTGTCGCATCCGTGCCTTCATCACTGTAAGGGGTTGTCGGGTAGCCTAGTGGTTAAAGCGTTCGCTCGTCACGCCGACGATCAGGGTTCGAATCCCGACAAGGGTACAATATGTGAAGCCCATTTCTGGTGTCCCCCGCCGTGATATTGCTTGAATATTGCTAAAAGCGGCGTAAAACCAAACTCACTCACTCACTAATTCATCACTGGATCTCCCTGGTCCACTTACAAGAGGGCATGTTCATCCATCGTGACCCTCACGGTCAAGGCCACGGCTCTCTCAAATGGCGTTAGATGATTGTTCAAATTTATGCTGAACTTCTTGTTCAGGAAGTCAATGCATATGTCGGAGTCGGCTACAACTTCTCCGTTGTATTCGATCCAAGGCAATTTACCTTTTGGAGATGGAGTCCATCCATGACTAACCTAGAATACAAGATATTGTAGTGACTGGCTGATTAAACTACAATGTTAGGTAGATCTTAGAGACTTGTGTGGTATCACATTTGAACAGATTTCACCCTCACAATGACAGTTATCAAACCTGTTTACTTAATACATACATACGTACCTACATACATACCTGCATACATACCTACATACCTACCTGCATACCTACCTACCTACCTACCTACATACATACATACATACACACACACACACACACACACACACACACACACACACACACACACACACACACACACACACACACACACACACACACATACATACATACTTACATACATACATGATACATACATACATACATACATACATGCATGCATACCTACCTTCCTACATACCTGCATATATACCTACATACATACCTGCATACCTACCTACCTACCCACCTGCATGCATGCATGCATACATACATACATACATACATACATAAATACATACATACATACATACATACATACATACATACATACATACATACATACATACATACATACATACAGGTCTAAAGGGTCTTATTTATCGACCATATACTTTTTTAATACTGAATATCTGGGTGTCGTTTGTAATTGATATGTACAAAGGTAAAAAAAATGTTCCTCGGGTATTTCTTTTATGAAAAGAAATTATTTGTTCCCAAAACTGATCGAATAAAATAATTTGTCTTCAGGTTTTACAAAAATTAAAAAGTGGTTCACTGCACATGTTTTGAAAATTAATGTGTGGTGGGAAAACAATCAGATGGCTCCTCCTTTCAGAGAAAGAGTTGAGTGAAAATATGTCTCAAACAAACATTCCTTTAACTGTTAATGATTTTTGTCATCTTTAAAACTCTCCGTAAGTTTCGTCAGTGTTTCGTCACAACACCGATCGCGATATAATAAGTTTCACTGTCAAGCACTGGGCTCATGTCCAGATAAACGAGCACCTAGACGCTAAAAGCGCTATAAAAGCGCTAAACTTGCTTCGAGAACCAACAGTGGAACTAGTTTACTCTTTTCATATACTCACTCATGCATGCGCAATCATAATTCGTCTCACATGTAAGCATCTTATGATATTCATTTAAGCTAGCCCTGCAGTGCGCCTTTGGAATTGCTCACCTGATAAGGTATTTTGGCCATCCTGAGGTAGGTCTCAAGTTTGACGATAAACGGAGATAAGCTTGGGGCGTAGGGTCCCCTCCCTATCTGGTGGAGAATGACAGTGTCACGGGGGTAGGTCGTCTTTTTTCTGAAACAGCAATAAACATCGTACGATATCATGTACAATCAATATTTGGTCTTTAAATCAATAAATAAATTTCGAATATTCAATACAATGTGTGTGTGCGTGCGTGCGTTTGTTTGGGTGTGTGCGTAATATTTATGTCTACATTCAAGTACATGGAATTATGTAAAATAATAGATTTGTGTCTGACTCACCCTTTATGGTCAAAACAAAATGGACTTTTGAACACACTCAGTACCTCTGACGTTTATTTAACATACTACATAACTTATCCCTGTGTTAATTTGTCATGCTCAATGACATCTAAATGTAGGTACTTCAAGATTACGTTTTACAGCAATACGTCATTAATTTATGTGACACTGACACCAGACCGGCCTGGGTTCAACTTTGCTACACTTATCGGACCAGGGTGCAACTTAGTTTTGTTAGGCGCAACTTGCTTTTCGTGTCAACATGCAACTGGTCCAAGTGAAATCAAATTCCTTAACTCTAGCCCTGGCTTGTAAGAGGTGACTAAATGGACCGATCGGTCAGGCTCCCTGATGCATGTCATCGCAACCCAAATGCGATGCTCATGATGTCAATCACTAGATTGTCTGGCCCAGACCCGATGGACTATTGCTGACTGTGGTGTTAAACAAGGTATGCATCGAACTCCGCGTTATTTATTTTAAACAGTTTCTGGCATCCGTTAATATTTCATTCGTTTCAATATATATATATATATATATATATATATATATATATATATATATATATACGGTAACCTAAATATTCATCCAACTTCGAGATACTCATAAGGAGCTTTCAGACCTTGATAATTATAACTCCGCTTTGAAAAGCACATATCTTCCAATCAATATTATTCAAATACCGGCGTCACATAGCTATGATATTGCTGAAAGTAGTGTTAGACAACAAATAAAACACACAAACAGGTGTGTGGTGCTTACAACTCAAGGGTAATTTTCAGTTAACTTAGCATTTGAAAACACGGCCAGCGAATACTGGTAGCTCTGGGACACAGCTCTGCACAACCTACTGTGCCACCATGAACGTGCGCCTTCTCCTCACGAACAGGTCGTCATTTGACGTGCGATTTATGTGGAATGGCGAGCATGATCTCGATGTGACCTCGCTGTTGATTCGTTAAATTACTGGCAGAAGTATCGACACGTGTGGATCTTAAAATTATATTTAGTAAATATATGTTTGAACACAGCAATATGTATTCATTGTTCTCTATGCTGCTGTTTTTAACATATTTCATGGAATTCGTGTCTGACCAAACTGCACCGCCCACCGCCACTTAGTTGTTCCTTGCAATGTAGAAATATGTTTATTATTTTTTTAACTCTCCCCTACGGGCTGACATATTTTTAGTGACTTTCCCCTGATTCCCCTGACCACACACTAATATATGACAAGTACAAGACTCTCAGCATAGTACACCAGGGCAGAGAGCATACAATATGGTCTCTGACCAGGGTCCTCGGATGATGTGCTGCAGTCGTACAAAGTATTTTATGGGCGTTTCGTCAGTTCAACGATAACCATAGCGTTGTTGTACTTCAGAGGCAAACAACCTCGCTTCGCACTGCGTATTATTAACCGTTTCAACAGGGTAGAGGTCGAGATGACAGAGCTAAGCAGCCACATCCCTACTGATGACCCACCCGCCCCGCATGTTCACCAAGCATGACTGAGCTCACTATAATGAATAGTGATATTAATGTCAACAGTGAATAGACACTATATATAGCTGCTCATCATAAAGCTGTACAAAAAGTCATACCTAGGCCATAGTTTCTTGACGATGACAACTGATACAGCAACAGCTGTGACGCCACCTGCGACACAAAACAGTCGTTGATGCAAATCAAAGCCGCTCAGTAATCCGTTCATGATGCACTGTTTTAACTCGGAGTGTGCAAGTCACTCTCTCATTCATCGGCGCCTCAAGCTAAGGGAGAAAAGTGGTCAGGCTGGTTACCTGGGTATGCTGCGCTGGCGCAACACTGACAACCAAGCTCCTCACAGCGATTGTCCGTTCGCAGAGCTCGCTATACTATCGCGATGTTACCGAGAGTGTAACGAAGATGTCACGCGCTGGGAAGGAGTTTGCACTGATCCCATTCGTGACCAACACGCGTTATTCCGGAACAAGCGAATAGCGAGGTTACGGAAAGAGGCGAGTTGTGACGAATGCACTGACCCATGGAATGACTGCACAATGGCCTCCTCCATTGGACAAAAAAACATGGCGGACACGACATGTATTTACTATATTTCGAAAGTGGTCGTCACATCTGTGAAATCAAAAGAATGACACACACCCCATTTTCAACAGTGATATGGGGATTAATATTTCTTGTCAGCTCACTGTTGTCACGAAATCGTACACAAAATATATGGAATTAAACGACCACGTCAATGAAATACCGTTAGCATCTTTATTTTAGCAAATGTGATAAAGCAAATGTCGCCGATTATGCCCCGTTTTTCTCCCATTGAAAAATGATGGATTTAGAGGAATTATTGTACGTCCAGTATAAATTACTATAAAATACAAACACTTATTTAATGATAGGGTCTGTCATTGGTTCTGATATTTGGCCTTGGATTTTATTCATATGAAAAGCTTTTTATTTCGCATTTGTTTTCTTATTACACAATGAAATTAATCTTAAATAGATCTAATTATTTTGGAAAAAATAATTGATTACTTCCAGTCTAGTGATTTATTAACTCTGTGTGTGCTTGCAAAAATGTCGGGTCTAAATAGCAAAATGATAAAGAATATATTCATGATTTTTAATTAATTTGGTACAGTGGCATACACATTCATGTGTATTTTATATGATGCTGCTACGGGTAAAACATTCCGATTTAAGTATATCAAAACTGTTTCAACCCAATTTTACCCTGCGATCCTTTGCTCTAACTACCTTAAGGGCTCACACAACGTTTTGTTCTCCTTTCCTGCACGATCGGCTCTGCCACATGCCCCTGGAGATGAACGAAAGTCAATCTTTCGTGAAGAGGGGCGGTTGGGTAGCCTAGTGGTTAAAGCGTTCGCTCGTCACGCCGAAGACCCGGGTTCGATTCCCGACATGGGTACAATGTGTGAAGCCCATTTCTGGTGTCCCCCGCCGTGATATTGCTGGAATATTGCTAAAAGCGGCGTAAAACAATACTCACTCACTCACTTTCGTGAAGAACGTAATGGCGGAGATTCAAAATGTGACCCGCCCAGAAAACACAAGTCGTCTCCCTTAGCACGATGTGATCTAGTGATGGACACTCAAGAGTGAGTGAGTGAGTATGGTTTTACGCCGCTTTTAGCAATATTCCAGCAATATCACGGCGGGGGACACCAGAAATGGGCTTCACACATTGTACCCATGTCGGGAATCGAACCCAGGTCTTCGGCGTGACGACCAAACGCTTTAACTACTAGGCTACCCGACCGCCCCTGGACACTCAAGAAAGAGACCTCTCACAGAACAAGTTCTCAATGATTCACATAAAAAGGTGAAAGAGATGACGAACTTCTCGATTTTATGCCTCGTATGTTTGACACTGTGAAATCCGAGATCTCGAATTTGAATCAGTCTTTCGTCCATCGGATGGACAGCTTAGAAAGGCGATTAGAAATACTGTCAGAGAAGATTGCTTCCTTAATCAGTAGCACGGTTAAGGTTGAAATGGACAATATTAGATCAGAATTTAAATCAAACTTAATACAGTTTGAAGACAGATTGGCAAAAATTGAAACAAGCTACGTTAGTGTTGTAGTGGTACCTTTTAGATCACGAAAATAGTAATTTTCGTAAAAATACAACAAAATACAGCTATGTACTAGTATATGTGAAACTTTCTTGCGTGGAAATAATGTACTTCATTTAGATAACTAGTGGGTTGGTAACATCAGAAAAAGTATTAACAAATTAGCTAAGCGCGGCTCTGGCGGGGTTGGCGTGTTTTTGCATGATCGATTGCTCAATATGTACAATGTGTCAATCATAGATGAAATGTATGACGATACGTTGTGTTTGAAACTGACATGCAAATCAGAGAGCACATTAGCCGCATGCAGCACGCTCTGTTTGTGTGTAACTTACCTGTCTCCAGAGAAATCGAAAAGGTCACATGACCAAGAAGCTTATTTCACTCGTCTTTTATCATAGGTCTATGAATATCAAAATTCCACACAGCTGCTTTTAGACACCATAGAAAAAAACAGAGTGAAATCTGTTTGATGAAAGGGATGCTAATGGTGCTTATCAGTCGTTTCTTGACCAAATAAAGTTAAATTTGAATAATATTGTTTGAAAGAAATATACTTTTCAAAGCGGAGTTATAATTATCAAGGTCTGCAAGCTCCTTATGATTATTACGAAGTCGGATGAAATAAATATGTATATAATATGTACATAAATAAATAAATATGTGTACATATATATAGTTGAAATGAATTAAATAATAATATTTAACGGATGTCAGAAACCGTTTAAAATAAATAACGCGTACTTTTCAAAGCTTTCTTATAATTATCAAGGTCTGAAAGCTCCTTAAGATTATCACGAAGTCAGATGAATACATATATATATATATATATATATATATATATATATATATATATATATATATATATATATATATATATATATTTATATAGGTGAGATATATATCAGTTTAAACGAATGAAATATTTAGTATTTAACGGATGTCAGAAACTTTTTAAAATACATAACGTGGAGTTCGGTGCCTGTTTGTTTAATACCATAGTCAGCAATAGTCCAGCTATATGACGGCGGTCTTTCAGTAATCGGGCCTGGGCTAGACAATCTAGTGATTGACATCATGAGCATCGCATTTGGGTTGCGATGACATGCATCAGGGAGCCTGACCGATTGGTCCATTTAGTCACCTCTTACAAGCCAGGGCTCGAGTTAAGGAATTTTATTTCACTTGGACCAGTTGCATGTTGACACGAAAAGCAAGTTGCGCCAAACAAAACATAGTTGCACCCTGGTCCCATAAGTGTAGCAAAGTTGAACCCAGGCCGGTCTGGTGTCAGTGTCACATAAATTAATGACGTATTGCTGTAAAACGTAATCTTGAAGCACCTACAGTTAGATGTCATTGAGCATGACAAATTAACACAGGGATCGATGGGGTTGGTTGTCGGACTGTATCATAGTTCTGCTTGTGTTTGTTTGTTTGTTGTTTAAAGCAGCACTCAGCAATGTTGTACCCCTGAAGTCCCAGGTTAGAATAGTTTTTCAACAACCCATGCTTGCCGTAAAATGAGACAATGCTTGTAACAAAAAAACAAGTGATCTAGATCTAGATCTTTCAAAATCATTTTCGATAATGCTTTTGTCGTTGTTATTTCTTTATCAATAGAAACGTTCATAATATTGTAGTGTTTATGCTAGTTTTTTAATATGTGAAATTCTGATTTTACCGCAGAATGCGATGTAGCCAGATGCTTATATGTACCTGCTTGTATACTTTGTCATGTGCATGTTGATTAAAGTAATTTCATGATACTGATTGGTTGGTGTAAATCTCGATGTACATACACGAATCCGTCTATTTAGGTAATCTGCTGAGTACAATGAACATTGGCTCCCCTCAAACACCCATCCCGACGCACACATCCCCACAAACGTACCGCAAATACCTACTGCATTTAACCTGATCTCTACCTCCGTGACTTGTGTACGACATCTTGTGAGTAAGTGAGTGAGTGAGTGTGAGTGAGTGTGGTTTTACGCCGTTGTTAACACTATTCCAGCAATAGCACGGTGGAGGACGTCAGCAGAAATGGGCTTCACACAATGTACCCTTGTGAGGAATCGAAACCGGGCCTTCGGTGTGACGAGAGAACGCTTGAATCACCAGACTAACCCACCGTCCTTCATTGTACAAGCCAAGGACATAATTATTCTTATGTTACCACCTCTGGGATTCCGGAAGTCTTTGTTACAACTTGTAACCTCACTGATTGTGTGTGCCACTGTAATCCGACAGAGAGGATGGTTGGCTCAGCAGTTCTTCTGGTGGCCGGGCAGGGCTGTGCTTTCCTAAAACATGCTATGATCCGATGATCGTGGGTTTGAATTCCAGACTTTCCACACCCGTACACTTGGGTTTCCCCAAAGTACATCTAGGGTCTGAATCTCATTGGTCCTCTTCCAACATTAGGTCAACAGTGGCGACACTCTAAAAAACCCTGAAACATTGTTCACAGTGGCGTTAACCCCAGCTCACTCACTAACTCCAGACTCATGTATGTTAAGGCTGTAGTGATATAACTGTATAGTTGATCGCATGCATTTGTAAAACTCGTTCATGTGTGTCAATGCGGCAGGTCCCTTACTGGGATTATGGGTCAGAATAGATCATCAGCTCCCCATGCTAATCACAATAGTCGAAAATGAGGATCAGGTGATTACACATCCCCTTTGCTCACCTCAAACAAACACCCTACGGCGTGGCTCTTGGCTCATGCTATCAACCACTAGTTTGACTGTGACGTAAGCAACAACGCGTACAACTAAGTAAAATTCCTTTGTTGACACTAATTTGACACTAAAAATAAAACTTGGCGCCCCCATTTCATTAAGGCTCCATTTATACGACTCAAACTAAGTTAAAGAACACCAACATATGAAAGGCTGTGTGTTGAAGTACCCGCCAGCCATGACAGATTAACTATAGTCATATGAAAACATCGGATATTCTTTAACATATTTTGAGTAGTATACATAAGCTATCATTGCTGAGTGCAGCTGAGACTCCAGAAAAATGTTCAGCTCAGAAATAAGTAAAATTATACGTTATGACGCTTCACTACATTTTAATAGTGAGTGAGTGAGTTGGGTTTAACGCCGCTTTTAACACTCAGTATTCCAGTTATATCGCGGCGTGTCAGCTTAATGTGGGAGGAAAGCCCGATGTGATGCAGGTCTCAGACGTTTATCACTTCGGTGAAACCCACGAGCACGGGTATGGTGCTGACAAACCTAGAAACAAAATCGGGGCGAACCGGGATTCGAACCCACAATCATAGGTTTCTGGCGTGTCCAAGGGACGCAACTCTGCACAGCGAATCGCGGCGCCTTAGACGACTGGGCCACCCGTGCCCCCTACAACATTTTAATAACATGAACAAAAATACGCTGCTATTACAATAATAATGTTTCAACCAACCTAACCTGTATGTATTAATTTTAAACACAGATGATTAAAAACCTGTCAAAAACATAATATCTTGACACATATGCATCTGTATTATGACAATCTCTAACTTATATGAAACACATGTAAAAAGACGTTAGATAATTTCGTTATGTCAAACAAGCGGAAACAAATTCGACGATCCTTGAAAATAACATGATAGCACCTAGTTCACATTTTTCACACATACTGTACAGAAAGACAATAACTTAATCAACCCAGATATAAAGGAAAGTGAGCCTCAAAGGCGTTTGTGCCCCAATATCTTCAGGGCCGTCACAGGCGTGCTTCATCTGACAGGTCAATCTCCCTTCATCCTTTCCAGAGAAGGTGTTCACCCTTCTGCCAAACCCTCTAGGACAAGCCATTTGACGACCCAAGGATCTGCTAATGACACGACGAATACCCTCCCTATTATAGTTTGTGCTATTGTCTCCCATGATGAATTTGTCAGGGTTTGAAGCATAACATGATGTGACTTGATTGTTGATTGCCTCTACCACAGGCTTGCTCATTCCAAAGTGGTTGTCACCTCGGTGACCTCCAAATCCATATATTCTTCCGACTTTGGTTCCAGTTTCACGCAGATGAAGACGAAGACCACGGCGACAGGTCTTCAAGACAGGTCTTCTCCTGTGTCCGTGCATTCTTGGACATGGGTGTTTGTGAAATCTGTTAAGGCCTTGGAGGTATCGCAAGCGACGCACGCGTCTTATAGTACGTCGACGATGAATTCTAAACGTAGGTCCTCTTCTGTGGCTTCTGCACATTTTGCCTCTCTGCATGTCACAGCCCGCTTCATTGCATTTTGGCATCACTTCATTAATTTGACCACGCACTCAATACTTTTGGTTATTTCCGAGGTACATAGAAAGGGACTTCCTGGGAAACCTGTCGAATTCAAAATTTGAAGCTTCATCTTCCGAGGTTTCCCTGTTGTCTCTTCCCTCCATCGTCCTCGACTGGCGACGTCGAATGTGGGGTCCGAATACTCTCTGCCATTTGTTTCCATGCGTGGCTCTGTCATTGCTGTTCTTATCGTGTGACTCTGACACATCATCGCTTAATCTCACGCGACGGTTAGGACAACTCTAATATCTATGGAGATTCTTTACATCACGTTTGTTAAGACATCATCCCTCATTCGAACGCTAACATCCAGGCATGTTTCCCGAGACATTCGTGCAACGTACACGACGACGCTGACAGCTGGCAAAGCTGTTATCAGCGCAGTGGCTCTTGGTGTAATGTTCATCTTCAGTCTTATTATCTCGCCTGGACCATCCTCCAAAACAAGGCTCATTTGTACGACGCCACCTTTTCCCACTGACCGCATGGTGGCCCATGGTGCGTCTACCTGGTCCCTCTTGACCAGCTCGATCACTACAGGATGCTTGAAATCCTCTGCAGCCAGCAAGGAAGGATTTCCTGGCTCCATGACATCCATAATACCAGAGAGGCATAGTGACACCTTCAGTACCCCTGGCGTATCTTGAAGCCCGGCCTGCTTGAATTGATCACAAATGTGGGTTCAAACAGAGATCGTCTTGTGAGGAATTACTACACTGATGCTCGAGACCTGTCATCATCCGCCTTCTCCAAGGTCTTCCACATTTCCTGGTAGTCTCATCACGCTTGAAGCGACCATCTTTTTGTATCACCCGTCTTCTCCAACGTTGCCCACAGGAATTCGAAGGAGACGTACCATCACTGACATTCTCCTTCTGCAGGCAGTGACGTTCAACTTGCATCACTCGCCTTCCCCTACGTCCCCTACAATCGCTACCTGGAGACGTACAATCGCTTTCAGCCCCATCACGCTGACAGAGCCCGCCCAGTTCTCTCAGGCGTCGCGTCCCACAGACTCTCGTTGGGGTCACATGCTCCGTAGCTGTATCTTCATCAGCTGTAGGGTTTGACCTGTGCCGACGACGACGATGACGCCAGCCGGGCATGATGATTGACACATTGTACAAAAACACGCCAACCCCGCCAGAGCCGCGCTTAGCTAATTTGTTAATACTTTTTCTGATGTTACCAAACCACTTGTAGTTATCTAAATGAAGTACATTATTCCCACGCAAGAAAGTTTCACATATACTAGTATATAGCTGTATTTTGTTATATTTTTACGAAAATTACTATTTTCGTGATCTAAAAGGTACCACTACAACACTAACGTAGCTTGTTTCAATTTTTGCCAATCTGTCTTCAAACTGTATTAAGTTTGATTTAAATTCTGATCTAATATTGTCCATTTCAACCTCAACCGTGCTACTGATTAAGGAAGCAGTCTTCTCTGACAATGATATTTCTAATCGCCTCTCTAAGCTGTCCATCCGATGGACGAAAGACTGATTCAAACTCGCGATCTCGGATTTCACAGTGTCAAACATGCGACGCATTAAATCGAGAAGTTCGTCATCTCTTCTCACCTTTTATGTGAATCATTGAAACCTTGTTCTGTGAGAGGTCTCTTTCTTGAGTGTCCATCACAGGATCACATCGTGCTAAGGGAGACGACTTGTGTTGTCTGGGCGGGTCACATTTTGAATCTCCGCCATTACGTTCTTCACGAAAGATTGACTTTCGTTCATCTCCAGGGCCACGTGGCAGAGCCGATCGTGCAGGAAAGGAGAACAAAACGTTGTGTGAGCCTTAAGAGCAAAGTATCGCAGGGTAAAATTGGGTTAAAACATTTTTGATATACTTAAATCGGAATGTTTTACCCGTAGCAGCATCATATAAAATGCACATGAATGTGTATGCCACTGTACCAAATAAATTAAAAATCAAGAACATATTCTTTATCATTATGCTATTTAGACCCGATATTTTTACAAGCACACACATAGTTAATAAATCACTAGACTGGAAGTAATCAATTATCTTTTCCAAAATTATTAGATCTATTTATGATTAATTTCATTGTGTAATAAGAAAACAAATGCCAAATAAATAGCTTTTCATATGAATAAAATCCAAGGCCAAATATCAGAACCAATGACAGATCCTATTATTAGATACCATTATTACGGAACAAAAGTGTGTTTTTTTATAGTTATTTATACTGGACATACAATAATTCCTCTAAATCCATCATTTTACAATGGGAGAAAACGGGACATAATCGGCGACATTTGCGTTATCAGATTTGCTAAAATAAACATGCTAACGGTATTTCATTGACGTGGTCGTTTAATTCCATATATCATGTGTACGATTTCGTGACAATAGTGAGCTGACACGAAATATTAATCCCCCCACACTGTTGAAAATCGGATGTGTGTCATTGTTTACATTTCACAGATGTGACGGCCACTATGGAGTCTCGAAACAGCTTAAATAATGTTTTCCTTCACCAAAAGTAGCAATGGACGTTATTCTCATTGCAACAGCATTGATGAAAATGCTAAGAAATTTTTTGACCTCCCGTTCTAGCGTATTTCTATAGTAAATACATGTTGTGTCCGCCATGTTTGTTTGTCTAGTGGAGGCGGCCATTGTGCAGTCATTGCATGGGTCAGTGCATTCGTCACAACTCGCCTCTTTCCGTAATCTCGCTATTCGGCTTGTTCCGGAATAACATGGGTTGGTCACGAATGGGGGGTCAGTGTTGCGCCAGCGCAGCATACCCGGGTAACCAGGCTGACGACTTATCTCCCTTTGCTTGAGGCGCCGATGAATCAGAGAGTGACTTGCACACTCCGAGTTAAAACAGTGCACCATGAACGGATTCCTGAGCGGCTTCGATTTGCATAAACGACTGTTTTGTGTCGCAGGTGGCGTCACAGCTGTTGCTGTATCAGTTGTCATCGTCAAGAAACTATGGCCTAGGTATGACTTTTTGTACAGCTTTATGATGAGCAGCTATATATAGAGTCTTTTCGCTGTTGACATTAATATCACTATTCATTATAGTGTGCTCAGTCATGCTTGTTGAACATGGCGGTTGGGTGGGCAGGAGGGATGTGGCTGCTTAGCTCTGTGATCTCGACCCCCACCCTGTTGTAACGGTTATATAATACGTAGCATGGGCGTATACAGCTGCTTTTTTTAAGGGGGGGGGGGGGGGGGGGGGGTCGAACTGACGAAACGCCCATAAAATACTTTGTACGACTTAAGCACATCACCCGAGCATCCTGGTCGAGACCATATGATATTGTCTCTGCCCTAGTGTACTATGCTGAGAGGTGTCTTAGACTTGACATATATTAGTGTGTGGTCAGGGAATAAGGGGAAAGTCACTAGAAATAAACTACGGGACACAATTTGCGACTGGTGATGTATTATAGGGGCGGAAGGGCCGTTTGGGTTGGGGTCTGTATCATGTTTCGCAGACACCACCCCCATTTTATGTAATATGTTTACACCCCCCTGAAAAAACAATAACATGTTAACATGCCCCCGTTCCCAAACTAAAACGCACGCACGCACGCACGCACGCACGCACACACGCACGCACACACACGCACACAGACATTGTATTGAATATTCGAAATTTATTTACGGGGCACGGGTGCCGCGATTCGCTGTGCAGAGTTGCGTCCCTTGGGCACGCTAGAAACCTATGATTGTGGGTTCGAATCCCGGTTCACCCCGATTATTTTCTAGGTTTGTCAGCACCATACTCATGCTCGTCGGTTTCACCGAACTGGTAAACGTCTGAGACCTGCATCTCTTCGGGCTTTCCTCCCACACGAAGCTGACACGCCGTGATATAACTGGAACACTGTTAAAAGCGGCGTTAAACCCAACTCACTCACTCACTCGAAATTTATTTATTGATTTAAAGACCAAATATCCATTGTACATGATATCATACGATGTTTATTGCTGTTTCAGAAAGAAGACGACCTACCCCCGTGACACTGTCATTCTCCACCAGATAGGGAGGGGACCCTACGCCCCAAGTTTATCTCCGTATATCGTCAAACTTGAGACATACCTCAGGATGGCAAAAATACCTTATCAGGTGAGCAATTCCAAAGGCACACTGCAGGGCTAGCTTAAATGAATATCATAAGATGCTTACATGTGAGACAAATGATGATTGCGCATGCGTGAGTGAAGATTTGAAAAGAGTAAACTAGTTCCACTGTTGGTTCTCCAAGCAAGTTTAGCGCATTTAGCTTTTAGCGTTTAGGTGCTCGTTTATCTGGACATGAGCCCAGTGCTTGACGGTGAAACTTATTATATCGGTGTTGTATCGGAGCTTTACTGACGAAACTAACGGAGAGTTTTAAAGATGAAAAGAATCATTAACAGTTGAAGGGGTGTTTGTTTGAGACATATATTGTTTTCCCTACACACCATAATTTTCAAAACATCAACGATGTGCAGTGAACCACTTTTTTATGTATGTATGTATGTATGTATGTATGTATGTATGTATGTATGTATGTATGTATGTATGTGTGTAGGTAGGTGTGAAATCTGTTCAAATGTGGTACCACACAAGTCTCTAAGATCTACCAAACATTGTAGTTTAATCAGCCAGTCACTACAATATCTTGTATTCTAGGTTAGTCATGGAATGACTCCATCTCCGAAAGGAAAATGGCCTTGGATCGAATACAACGGGGAAGTTGTGGCCGACTCTGAACTATGCATTGACTTCCTGAACAAGAAGTTCAGCATAAATTTGAACAATCATCTAACGCCATTTGAGAGAGCCGTGGCCTTGACCGCGAGGATCACGATGGAGGAACATGCCATCTTGTAAGTGGACCAGGGAGATCCAGTGATGAATGAGTGAGTGAGTGAGTTTGGTTTTACGTCGCTTTTAGCAATATTCCAGCAATATCACGCGTTAACCACTAGGCTACCCGACCACCCCTTACAGTGATGAAGGCACGGATGCGACAGTGTTTAAGTCATATGACGGCGTGTCAGCTCAATGTTGGTGGAAATCACAAAGTAATGCAGGTTTATCACTTTTGTGAAATCCATTGTCACAAACCAAGAATCATCAGGGCGAATCTGGGATTTGACCCCATGATTATATGGAAGCTGGTACCTTTCAAGACCCGTGGAGATCCGGGGTAGAATAGGTCTTCAGAAACCCATGCTTGCGCGTAAGAGGCGACTATGCTTTCCGAATCGGGTGGTCAGGCTCGCTGACTTGGTTGATGCATGTTATTTCATCCCAATTGCGTGGATCGATGCATATGATGTCAATCACTGGATTGTATTGTCCAGACTCGATTAATTACAGACCGCCGTCATACAGTTGGAATACTGTTGAATGCGGCTTTAGAAAACAACCAAACAAACAAATAGAGAGAAAACTCGATGAACGAATGGACCACCCTTGCTTCAACTAAGATGCAGTTTAGAACACCTACAAGTATTACATTCATCATCACAACCTCGTATCCAATGTGGGGCGGTCGGGTAGCCTAGTGGTTAAAGCCTACGCTCGTCACGCCGAAGACCTGGGTTCGATTCCCGACATGGGTACAACGTGTGAAGCCCATTTCTGGTATCCCCCGCCGTGATATTGCTGGAATATTGCTAAAAGCGGCGTAAAACCTCACTCACTCACTCACTCGTATCCAGTGTGTTATGTCTCCATTTTATTTAAGAATTGAACGTCAGTTTGAACTCGCAAGCTCGGAGTTTCACACAGTTTAACCAGCGCTTTTAAATCGTTCATCAAATGAACCCATCCAAACTGACGTTCAATTCTTATAATTTCATATTTTGTAGTTTACTGGTCTCGCCGAATAATATCGTATCAATGTTTGCTTTTATTTGAAGTCCTCTGGTTTCGCCGAAGAACATTGCAACAATGTTATTTTGTCGGTATTTGCCGGCTCTCGGTCACATACGTTTCCCCACGCATACTCAGTTACGCAAAGAAAAATAGTTCTTTGAATATATACAATATAACCTAAAAATATGTCAACATAATTTCATTCTCTGAACAAATTAACAAACAATATTTGTGATAAATCAAATCTTAAAAATAGGTTACATGAAAGTGAACAAAAATATAAACATGACCTCGATGCACCGAGGCGATGTCAACCTTCAAGCGCGGGTTTATATATGACGTCACATAAGTTTGTAAAGAGGTGCATTTCGAGTCAAACGGGAGCATGAGGATGAATTTATACTTACTGCTGTTGAAAATGAAGTTTAGGGAGCAGTTATGGAAAACACCCCGACGCGTGAACCCTCTTATGGCACTAGCAAATTTGGAATATCACCGATTTATGAATGTGTTGCTTGTGTTTGGATAATCGCAAACCAACTCGGACGATGTGGAATGGACTGGTGGGGATTGAACGGAGTGCTCTGAAACTGGTGTGTTTTGTGTTAATTTTAAACAGGGTTAATCAGGGTGTGTTATATTTGGAGTTTTGGATTTGTCGTGTGTGCTGTAATACTTTGCTTAGCTGGTGTTTCTTGTCACCTGAGATGGACCGACTGTATGACCTGATGCCAGCTTCATTACTGTGCCCCGTCACTCCTCATTTGTGCCACCGCTTCTCGGCCTAGAATGCACGGAGAAGGTCGGCCAACTCAGAAACCGGAATAGTAGGTTTCTAATTCCGTCTACGGATATTTTCTCGACTCCGATGACCAATCGGTAAAACAGGTAGGCAAGTTGTTTTTTTTGTTTTTTTAATTTAAGTTTCTTTACTTACCTTTTTATGTTTTATGGTTTCTCAAAATCTTAGACTTTCTTTCCCGATACGTTAGTGAATCGGGTTTGGGTTTTGGATTGATCAGGAGCAGTCGCTTTGATCTTTGTCAGCGGCCACACCTGAGCAGGGTACAACATTGTTTTCATTGGTGCTAGATTCCTGTCATTTCCGAAAACAAGACACCAAAGTCAATATCGCTCAATAAATCAATTTCGTTCACCTAATCAATTTTACAGAATTCATTTTCTTCACGTGCGTTATTGGTATTGCAAGATCGCCATTCCATATCCACATCACCGTAGGGACAATCCATTTGGAACCAAAGCATTTATTTATTTATAAGTCAGATGAAATGTTACAAGACCAGGCAAACATACTAAATTAATTATATTGCTAATAAATGCAGGGATTAAAAAGAACATAGGAAATTACGTTGATCGTAAACACCGATCGAGAATTCGGGGAAACCCCGGAAAGTAGTTCACAGTCACAAATACAACCAGGAACGTCTTCGAGCAAAGAAGCACCCCTCTTAAAACTCAGGAATGTTTTTTTCAAGCTAATAGCTCAAGTATGTAAAGGCCTTTAGATTCGAGTAAAGTACATCTAGCTCTTACGGCTGCGATTCTGAATGATGACCTATGAAGAGCTCGCGTTCAGGAGAGGCATTGGTTGTTGATAACAAGTCCATGAACGCGAGAATTTCTAGGACAAGAGAGATGGAGCTGTTGATGTCACTTCCGGGACGGCGAATGTGTCCAGAGTGTATAAATATCAATAGAATGGAACTATATATATATATATATACTATACAGTCAAGGTTGATATTTTGTTTGCCTCAATGTCTACATTTTCAGGTGTCACGCCATGTTTCGTTACGTGTATGATCCCGAGGTTGCAGTCATTAGAAAGGCCTTCAATATCGGTAAACTGTTGTTGTGGATCTACAAGAGAAAAGCTCGTGCTGCCTTGTACACTGCAGGGATAGGGCGGCACACCAAAGAGGAGGTTGCTCTCTTTCTGGAGCGTGATCTTCAGGCTGTATCAGATATCTTAGGTTCGTAATGATCTTTGTCTCTTTATTTCCCCTACTTTGTTTACCTTGTGTTTGTTTCCGATCTCAGAACAGGTATATGATAACATAAGTTGTTTGCTAAATATGTGTCGTTGGCAAAATATTTAATTTTGGAGGAATTTCATTATGACATTCGACATACAGTACACATAGTTTTCGCCTTCAATTGTGTGATTCGGTATTTCTAGCGTTTCTCAGAACTGTCTGGGTTTATGAAGCTGAAGGTGGTTTGTGTGATTCAAGCAATGGTGTCTCTAAAACCGCTCACCAACTTCACATCCATTTTTAAACAAGGCCGCTATGGTAATGTTTTTAACTGGTATGCTTGTCATTTATAAAAGGATGGGCAAATTATTGGATGAGAGGCCAAAAAAAGTATTTTAGCACTCGTATTTGAGCAGGAGTGATGTCCCCTTGATTATATTTATGTATTGATGTCCCCGACAGTAAATCGTCCGGATTAAGGGTTGGTACGGAGTACAACTGTATGGTGGCCTCACTACTCGCTAAAGTCATGCTTGAAGTAAACTTTGACCCCAATTCTCTTGTTCCTAAACGCAACAAATCAACACAACCTGATGAACACTGTAACATCAACACATTAACATGGTATAACCACCTCTTTCACTCACCGAATGAACATTTGTCCTTGTGATCAAAACTTGAATTCTCATGTGATGTTTCCATTCTTATGCGATTCTATTTCCGAAAGGGAGTCTGGTTTAGTTAAAGATAAACTCAGAGGCGGGTTCAGTGGTTTGGGAAAGGGTGGAGGCACACTATGTCCAAGTCAAAGGGAGGGGAAGAGGGCGTGGTACCCCGCCGCACCCCATCCATCATTGCCACATGTTTCTCAATGTCGGCTCCCGTCTGACCAGTGTAATTAATTCCTTGTGTGATCAGATATTGCCCACATGTAGTGCTAGATTAAAATACATCAAGTAAGAGACAAACACAGAAGCTCTTTAATGCCTTGAATCATAATGCCTGAGGATGCCAAATGGTCAGAGCCGTTTGCCCCTTAAGGAGTTATTTCCAGAGATGAGATATATATGGAACCCTTATTAATCCGGACTGCGTTTTTCCGAAAACCCCGCAATCCGGACAACCTTTTTTATGAACGTCTATGAGTAATCATAATGACACTACTCCGCTCCCACTCGTTAATCCGAAAAAGTATTAATCCAGACGATTTCCTTCGGAACTGAACCGTCCGGATTGTCGCGGTTTCACTGTATGTGAACCTTTCACTGTGTATCGACTTTCATGTTTCAGGACAGAAGAAATTCTTGATGGGCGACAAACCATGTGAGGCAGATTGTGCTGTGTTTGGTCAGCTTAGTCAGTTACACTGGCATGCCGTTGGAAACGAACTGGAGACCATACTCAAAGGTTGTACTTTTGATTACCACTCAACGACCCAAACCCGTTTGGTAAAGATTTTCAATTTAGCTACAAGAATGCCAGCAGATATGTAGATTAGCATAGGAAGATCCGGGATCGGGTGGTCAGGCTCGCTGACCTGATTAGTGCGTGTCATCGTATCCCAATCGCTTGGATCGATGCTCATGATGTCAATCACTGGATTGTCTGGCCCAGACTCGATTAAAACGAGTGCGGCGTTAAACAACAAGCAAACAAACAAAACATAGGAACGAAATTATTTTTTTCACTTATTGTTCAGAGAAACCATCCACAAATCTGTTTCTTTCATTTTTTCTCTCTGGCTATTCTTGAAAGAGATAACATTTGAAAATAATTAGCAATGTTACTTCCTTAGGGATTCCGGAAAACATTAGGTCCCTTGTAACCTTCTTGTATGCTTGTCGTACTAGGAGACTAAACGGGTTATTGGTCCGAAGCAGTCAATGCTGGTCGGAAGAACTGACTTAGTGTGTAGATGGTCAAGCTCTGTGACTTGGTTGGTTGCGTGTCACGATGACGTGAAGGATATTTAAAAAGACATAAAGACAATAGTCCTAATTAAAATTACGTTAAAAGCTGTCTTACGAAAAAGTTACGTTTTATTATAAAAAAGAGACTTAGCATTTTCAAGGCCAACGCATCTCAAGCAAACGTCTAAGACCTCTTTGGTCCTCCTCCAATATTAAGTTGAGACACCGTCATATAACTGAAATAACTATATTCAACTAATCCGCTGCCGAATTTCAGATGGTCGATGGTATATTTCATTTCGACGTGATCTTCTGTTGATCCGTAAGGTCACAAAAAGATCATCACTTTGAGCATTCTTTTCTCTCGAAGCTGACTGATCAAAGCGTGTTAAAGTTGGCTCATGCCAAATTCCCACAACAAGGCATTCTTTGATATTGTTTGGGTCATAGATTCTTCCACCCGGAAGTCCTTGATTTGCGAAATGCTTTCAATCAAGATGATATTTTGGTAGTTTTAAGATGGTATATCTTGCAGAAACGGAATTCCGTAATGACACATGCGTGTATGTAGGCCACGTGTACCAAAGCGTTACAACCTTTGGGTGTCGATCAATGGCTTCCTATATATCCAACTGACACACGTTTCAATTTCAGACAAGTTTCCATCCCTGGCCGCCTACTGTGAAAGGGTGAAGGCGGCGTATTGGCCGGACTGGGACGACTGTACGACAAGAGGATTCACTGCCAAAGCCACGAAATAACGGTACAGCAAGGAAAACATGTACTTCTGGCCCGAACCTAATAGATCAGGTTTCATAAACATTTGTCCATTGTATAAAGAGCTATGAAAGAAACCCAAAAGAAATATTGGATAACGGTACTTTCGAATCATTTTCGAATCCGATGTGTGAAAAGCGAACAACTGTTGTAGAAAACTTAATGAAATTCTGTAAAAAAAGTATTATTATTTTTATAAAATTAGAGACAAATTGCTCATTTACAGCTGTACTTCCTTTGCCTTTTCATGTTTTTTTGTGTGTTAAAACTGTATGTTGGTCAGTGGCCTTGAATACAATACTCATAATTGAATTAAATTAAAAATCATCTGCTCCGACAAATAGTATTACTGACCTAATACTCTAATGAAGATTTTGTGACAGGAGGCATGAGTGGTCTCGTCATCTATGGTGTGCCTGACATCTGTGATCATGGGTTTGATTCTTAGGTTTACCCTGATTCTGTTTCTAGATTTGTCAGCACCACACCCGTGATCCTCGGTCCCTCCAAAGTGGTAAACGTCTAAGACCTGCACCACTTCGGATTTTCCTCCCACATCAAGCTGACACGCAAGGTGGTTATTGTAACCGAAACACTGCCCATATCGGCGATACATTTTGTGATAAAGTGTTGCGCTATTGCCAAATGATTATGAAAAGGCATGCAATTGTTTCTCCTCTTGTTTGTTTGTTTGTTTGTTGTTTAACGCAGCACTCGGCAATATATTTACCCTGAAGATTCGGGTTGGAATGGGTTAGTTTTTCAACAGCCCATGCTTGCCGTAAAAAGAGACAATGCTTGTCGTAACAAACAAACAAACAATCCAATGATTAACATCATGAGCATCGATTCTGCTCTAGAATCTGAAATAAATGATGTATAATAGGCTTTATATCTGAACATGCGCAGTAGATATTTTTGTTTGATGATTTATTGTTGTTGTCACATAAAAAACCAAGTGTTCTACTTTTGTTCCTAATAAGTGATTTAGGACTTTTTGAGGCATATAATTGTTTTCAAAATCATTGAAACATCTTTTTCGATAACGCTTTCAACGCCTGTGATTAACTAGAGGCATATAATTGGTTTCAAAATCATTTTCGATAACGCTTTTGACGTTGTTATTTCTTCATCAATAGAAAAATTCATAATAATGTAGTGTTTATGCTATGTTTTTAATATGTGAAGTTCTGATTTTACGGCAGAATGGGATGTAGCCAGATGCTTATATGTACCTGCTTGTATCCTTTGTCATGTGCATGTTGATTAAAGTAATTTCACGCAAATACCTACTACGTTTACCCGATGTCTACCTTCGTGACTTGTGTACGACATCTTGTGAGTAAGTGAGTGAGTGAGTGTGAGTGAGTGTGGTTTAACGCCGTTGTCAACACTATTCCAGCAATAGCACGGTGGAGGACGTCAGCAGAAATGGGCTTCACACAATGTACCCTTGTGAGGAATCGAAACCGGGCCTTCGGTGTGACGAGAGAACGCTTGAACCACCAGACTAACCCACCGTCCTTCATTGTACAAGCCAAGGACATAATTATTCTAATGTTACAACCTCTGGGATTCCAACTTGTAACCTCACTGATTGTGTGTGTCACTGCAATCCGACAGAGAGGATGGTTGGCTCAGCAGTTCTTCTGGTGACCGGGCAGGGCTGTGCTTTCCTTAAACATGCTATGATCCGATGATCGTGGGTTTGAATTCCAGACTTTCCACACCCGTACACTTGGGTTTCCCCAAAGTACATCTAGGGTCTGCATCTCATTGGTCCTCTTCCAACATTAGGTCAACAGTGGCGACACTCTAAAAAACCCTGAAACATTGTTCACAGTGGCGTTAACCCCAGCTCACTCACTAACTCCAGACTCATGTATGTAATGGCTGTCGTGAAATAACTGTATAGTTGATCGCATGCATTTGTAAAACTCGCTCATGTGTGTCAATGCGGTAGGTCCCTTACTTTGATTATGGGTCAGAATAGATCATCAGCTCCCAATGGTAATCACAATAGTCGAAAATGGGGATTAGGTGATTACAAAATGTTTCACCTGGCCGGTTAAGTGTCATCATGACCCTCCGGCGTGGCTTCCAGCTCATACTATCAACCACTAGTTTGACTGTGACGTAAACAACAACGGGAACAACTAAGTAAAATTTCTATGTTGACACTCATTTGCTGAATATCAAAATGAAACTTGGCTCCCCTATTTCATTAGTGCTTCATTTATACGACTCAAACTAAGGTAAAGAACACCCACAAAGGGAAGGCTGTGTGTTGGAGTACACGCCAGCCATGACAGATTAACGATAGTCATATGAAAACATCGGATATTCTTTAACATATTTTGAGTAGTATATATAGGCCATCATTGCTGAGTGCTGCTGAGACTCCAGAAAAATGCTCAGCTCAGAAAGAAATAAAGTTATACGTTATGACACTTCACAAAATTTTAATAACATGAACAAAAATACTTTCCTATTACAAAAATTACGTTTCGACCAACCTAACCTGTATGTATAAATTCTAAACACAGATGATAAAAGGCCTGTCAAAAACATAATATCTTGACACATATGCATCTGTATTATCATAATCACTAACTTATATGAAACACATAATGACAAGACGTTAGATAATTTCATTAATATGTAAAACTAGCGGAAACAAATGGGACGAAATAACTCTTATTCAAAATGTTCCTTGGTATATTACATGGTAGCACCAAGTTCACATTTTTCACACATACTGTACAGAAAGAAAACAACTTAACCAATCCCGTATATAATGGACAACATAAATTATATATTTAATGTAACCAAAACCGTATGCAGTGGATAACATATAAAATAGTAACCAAACCCGTAAATAATGGACAACATAAACTTTCCATAGATTCCTCAGCATCTGAAATCATCTGTCATCGACAAGGATTTCATAGTATGTAACTACATTCTGCAACGGATAGTTAGCAAGTGCCTTACAAATAGGCCATTCTCAACACCCTATCGCCACCGTGGGTACAGGTGCTTGCCTTGCCTCCCCACGCCTTCATCACAGGTCTTTTTGACCACTGTCCTTGTCCACAGCGGCTGGCAAATAGCTGTCTTATGCGGAACTGCCTTTTTCTTTCCTTCTGAAGGATTCTTCTCATCAGACACAGTCTCTTCATTTCATGGAAAGTGAGCTTAAAAGGGGTGTGTGTCCCAACATCTTCAGGGCCGTCACAGGCGTGCTTCATCTGACAGGTCAATCCCTCTTCATCCTTTCCAGAGAAGATGTGCACCCGTCTGCCAAACCCTCCAGGACAAGCCATTTGACGACCCCAGGATCTGCCCATGACGCAACGAATACTCTTCCTCTCATTATTTCTGCAGCTTGTTCTATTCTCACCCATGTTAAATTTGTCAGGGTTTGAAGCATAACATGATGTAACTTGACGGTTGATTGTCTCTCTCAGATGCTGGCCCATTCCAATGTGGTAGGCACCTCTTTTACCTCCAAATCCATATATTCTTCCAACTTTAGGTCCAGTTCCACGCAGATGAAGACGAAGACCACGGCGGCAGGTCTTCAAGACAGGTCTTCTTCTGTGTCCGTGCATTCTTGGACATGGGTGTTTATGAAATCTGTTAAGGCCTTGAAGGTATCGCAAGCGACGCATGCGTCTTACAGTACGAAGACGATGAATTCTGAACGTAGGTCCTCTTCTATGGCTCCTGCACATTTTGCCTCTCTGCATGTCACAGCCCGCTTCATTGCAATTTGGTATCACTTCATTAATTTGACGACGCATCCCATGCCTTCGGTTATTTCCGAGGTATATTGAAAGGGTCTTCCTGGGAAACCTGTTGAACTCCCAGTTTGAAGCTTCATCTTCCGTGGTTTCCCTGTTGGCTCTTCCCTCCATCGTCCTCCACTGGCGACGTATGCATCGTCTGATGTGGGGTCCGAATGCTCTCTGCCATTTGTTTCTATGCGTTGTTTCCACTCTGTCATTGGTGTTCTTATCGAGTGACTCTGACACATCATTGCTAAACCTCACGCGACGTTTAGGACAACTCTCAATTCTATGGAGATTCTTTACGTCACGTTTGTTCAGACATCTTCCCTCATTCGAACGCTTACATCCAGGCATGTTTCCCGAGACACTCGTGCAACGAACACGACGACGCTGACAGCTGGCAAAGCTGTTATCAGCGCAGTGGCTATTGGTGTAATGTTCATCTTCAGTTTTATCATCTCGCCTGGACCATCTTCCAAAACAAGGCTCATTTGTACGACGCCACCTTTTCCCACTGACCTCATGGTGGCCCATGGTGCGTCTACCTGGTCCGTCTTGACCAGCGCGATCACTACAGGATGCTTGAAATCCTCTGCAGCCAACAGGGAAGGATTTCCTGGCTCCATGACATCCATAATACCAGAGAGGCATAGTGACACTTTCAGTACCCCTGGCGTATCTTGAAGCCCGGCCTGCTTGCATTGATCTCCAATGTGGGTTCAAACAGAGATCGTCTTCTTTGGTATCACTACACTGATGCTCGAGTCCTGTCGTCATCCGCCTTATCCAAGGTCTTCCACATTTCCTGGTAGTCTCATCACGCTGGAGGCGACCATCTTTTTGTATCACCCGCCTTCTCCAACGTTGCCCACAGGAATTCGAAGGAGACGTACCATCATTAACATTCTCCTTCTGCGGGCAGGGACGTTCTTCTTGCATCACCCGCCTTCTCCATCGTGCCCCCGGAGACGTACTATCACTTTCAGCCCCATCACGCTGACAGAGCCCGCCCAGTTCTCTCTGGCGTCGCGTCCCCCAGACTTTCGTTGGGGTCACCTGCTCCGTAGCTGTATCTTCATCGGCTGTAGGGTTTGACATGTGCTGACGTCGACGATGACGCCAGCCGGTCACAGTGCAAGCTTCAGCACCGTTGTGCCCACAAGATGCTTGCAACTGCCATCGGCGACCATTTCTACAGAACTCTCGTCTGGATCCGCCTGCATCTGAAATACATAACATGTGACTGACTGTACAACTGAAGTCAGGAAAACAAGATGGCAGCTTACTTGAACAGGTCAATCTGGAAAACATGTATTATCCAATTTCAGACTTCAGAAATCATGTTTTTCTGCCTGGTAAGTTGACCACCGTTTTATCATCAGTAATATTAAATGCCATCGAAAATGACGTAGTTCAGCCATCATACATTTCTATTTTGAAAATACACGTCAATATAAAACGCCACATGACCAATCCGACAACAGAACTCGTTTACAACTCCTTTCGTCAATTTACAATGATTGCTTATCTAACAATTCTTTTACAATAATTGCCTATCAAACAATTCATTTTACAATAATTGCCTATCTAACAATTCATTTTACAATAATTGCCTGTCTAACAATTCTTTTACAATAGTTGCCTATCAAACAATTCATTTGACAATAATTACCTATCTAACAATTTATTTTACAATAATTGCCTATCAAACAGTTCGTTTTACAATAATTGCCTATCAAACAATTAATTTTACAATAATTGCCTATCAAACAATTCATTTTACAATAATTGCCTATCAAGCAATTCATTTTACAATAATTGCCTATTAAACAATTCATTTTACAATAATTGCCTATCAAACAATTTTTTTTACAATAATTGCCTATCAAACAATTCATTTTACAATAATGTATAAACTTGGGAGATGACTTACTGCTGTAGTTTCCCCTGACTTGTCCATCAGCAAGGGATGTCATGGCATCGACGTCGCCATCATCTTCCCGTCCCTGTTGTGGGATCTTCCTGGCCATTCTCATCAGACGTCTGAAGTGACGGGGTTGAACGTCCTTCTACAAGAAGAACGACGTCTAGGGTTAATTTTAATAATAACTCTGTATGACATTTAGGGTTAATTTAGTACTGACATACAAGTATATGAACAGAACGAGAAAGATCTATAAAATGTTCAGACCTGTTGATGTCAAAGGATTAATAGTTGAGCTTATTCAGCCAAGAAAACGTTTTTCTAAAATGGTATATGGTCATTAACTACAAAAGAAATATCTGAACTTACCGTCTCCATCATTCTGTGTCCTCCAGCGTCTGCTCCTTTATCAAAAACACGAGATCTGCGCCAAGTATTAGCGTCAAGGGAAGTAACTCCTTCGGCTCTGTTTGTCACGTCGTGCTCTGTCAGGCACAGAAACAAAGTCTCAATACAGGGACACTATTCAGGTCACACTGTGTACACACGTTTTCGGTATGTGGCCCTGTGCAGACGGGCTAGTTCGTTTTGCCGCTCGCATAATCTACGCATTTATCTTATTCACCGTAAAAGCTCAGAGGCCATATCGCACCCCGACATCATTTCATAGTTACTTGAACATATCAAATTCTTTTTAAAGAACAATTTACATTGAACAGTAAAACGGATATTCCTCAGAAGCTAGTAATTGAACACACTAGGCAATATATAAATCTATTTTGTACTCTTTATGTTAATTGGAAATTATCTCACCTCTGACGGCGATTTTCATAACGGAATCATTGGCACTGCTAAGAGCTTCTTTGAGCTCTTCCTCTGAGGAGAAAGTTATTGAATCTCCATCTTCATCTGTTAAGAAAAAACAACCAGTATGTTTTAAAGCATGTACTACTGTCTGTCTGTCTGTTTTATTTTTCAATTCATGTGTAAGAAAATATTTGCATGTTTTCATGGCGATGATAACAAAGCGGTTCACAACGTTTTTTTTAAACATTAAGTAGAAAATAAGCCAATATATATTAACATATGTCAGTAATGACACGACGAAATACATCCAACCAATGACCAATTGGACATACGTTAAAAAGGTATATATTTTACGAATTATTCCTTAAAGTAGTTATTTTTCGCACTTAGTCCAACGACCTCGTTGTATATTCATGTAGTAATAAGGGAAAAGTATACCTGTCCAGCACAGTTTGAATGTGTCCGCATCAAGGTGTGGAAACACTTGCATCACCTTCTCGTTGATGAAGGTGTAACTAAGGGCGGCGTTATCGGGAACAGGGAAACGTCGGACCTCAGGAGTCGCGTTGCCCTGTGGCTCATAAATCATCTTTATCACCAAGGATTGCATCTTGGGATTTCTCTGGACAGGAAATGTCGTACAGCAGTGGGAGAACTGAAGGATTCTCACGTGTAGCAATCTGTATTCGCTATTTAGACCGGTCTTATTTCTTTAGCAGACGACAATTGAGTCTTTGTTCAGCAGCTGCCGTAGTAACTTCAGTATAGCTGTATAGAGCGTGCCGGCGGAGTGATTTTGTCAGTAAAACTAGGGGTTTATATACCAGAAAATGAGTGATGTCAATTACTATTAATAGAATCAAACCGTTCTGAAACGTTCTCGTGACCGGTTTAGGGCCGTCTCAAACTATTTCGGACCGGTTGCGTGAGAATCACGGGACCCGGGTCGATTGACAAAGTCACGTGACGTGTGAGCTCCGTTCCGAATGGTTCTTGGGCCGGACCAGTTCACATTCCTTGGCTCGGAGCCAACACTCAACTTAAATCTACATGAAGTTATATACACAGCTAAAGCAACATACATGAACGTTCATTAAATGCAAACGTTTGAAATAATGCTTGTGCGTCAACAGATTGATTAACACGCCTTTAACTGTCTCGGGTTAGGTTTTAATTGATATTTATAACAAGGCAGTTGTACATCACAACCGGTTGATTTACTTGACACTCAGCCAAGATTGTGACGTCACGTGCACTGTCGTTTTTGATGCGTAGGTGTCGCGGAAAGTACTATCCACGTGACCATGACTCATCGACGCTCGTGATCCTGATGCAACCGGTCTGAAACGTGCCAGCTCCGTTCTCGGAACGTTTTCGAACGTTCGATTCTATTTCCAGAAATTACAACATACATCGGGTATAAAAGCCCGGGTTTGGGTTTGCTGACAGAATCAAGCGACTCTACCGCTACCTGCTGACGTGAAATCAAGACAAAAAGAAGCCTATAGAAGTTCTATCGTCTGCTGAAAAGATATTCCACATTCAAACAACTGTTGAAACTTATCGTCACTGAGAATCAGCCCGAACAACACGATGCAGTCTGTGGTTGTCAAAGTGTTTTATGAGCGCGAGGGGAGAGGAAGACCCGAGGTCCGGCGTTTCCCTGGTCCCAAGGACGCCGCCCCTACACACACCTTCGTCCACGACAAGGTGACCCAGGTGTTCAAACAACTAGAGGCGGGGACATTCAACATGTACTGGAAAGGTGAGTTTTTCTTTTTATTTGAAAGTATTTGTGTTAATCGTGTTCATAATAACAACATCTATGATTATAATGAACAGTATAGAGTTACTGATGGATTCAGGGTTAGAATATAACCTTAGGCAGCGTATGCTGGTCGTAAGAGGCAACTGAATGAATCGGGTGGTCGGGATCGGCGACTTCACTGATTGATTGTTATCATACCCCGACGGCGTAGAGCATTGCTCACAATAGTGATCACTGGTTGTCTGGTCCAAACTCGATGATGTACAGGCCGCCGCCATAGCTGGAGTATTGCTGAGTGCGGCGTTAGATATCAAACAGTCACTGAACATGAATGTATTTATGAAGTATATCAGGGTTGGTTTCACTGTATTTCATTGAGTCTACACTGAACCATAATGCTTTGGGACGACTCATTGCGTTGTGAAACAACATTCACTCACATATTCAGTATAATGTTCAAAGCGATTGTTATTCCTGTATCCTAATGATACCTTTAAAAGGTCAACTTGGATCTTTGCGTGTCATGTACCCCTACGGAGTGGGGTGTTCATGATATCAATCACTTGTTAGTCTTGTCCAGACCCGATTTTTCACCGAAACCTTCATGTATCGGCAATATTCAATTTGTTTCTACTGCGCCGTTAAACATTACTCACGCACCCTCTGTACCTTTCAAATAGACTTAAAGTCATGTATTGATACTAAATAGTTCAAACATTCTCTTTTCATAGTGTATATAATTTTAAAAACATTTAATCGATATTTCATCAATAATTAGCGTAATGAAAATGGGTTTGAAAATATTGGCGTAAATTATTCTGCCCAGGACTATCTATTAAATGACGTAGATATACATGTTGGACGTATATGACAAAGCCCCGTTCATCCGCACGGTTCCATTCCTTGTAGTATCACAATTGTCGGATTAACATGTCATTGAAGTTACATCCTTTGAATATGTGTACACGTAATCCCCGATCTTCCGGAATACGGTTTTCCAGACTAACGGGGTTTCACTGTATAAAGCGTCAGACAATGTCAAAGTTAATATCATTTCTGGATAGTCAGTCAGCCGTCAGATTTTAATTCTATTTTTAACCATCTCACTTGTCTTTCGAGTTCGCGACAGTTGTCGCAGCATGTGTGTGTAGTTTCTGTTGCTTATTCGTACTCAAAGTTCACGTTCATTATAAACACGTAAGCTAACATAAGCGAGCTATTGTTTCAGATGGTGAAGGCGACTTTGTGACGTGCTCCACGGAACAGGAGATGGACGAGGCCCTCTCTTCCGTCAAGGATTCCGTCCTCAGAATCTACATCCGAGGTACAAACGAACATTTTCTGTTCAATATAAATATAATACACAGTCGTGATTTACTGCTGATGGCAATCGCAGCCTGGGATACATTCAAATTATCTTGATATATTGATATTTATGATCAATACAATCAACAGACTCGCTTGGATAGAGCGTACAAATGAATAACGTTGTGTATGTAGAGATTGTATCGGGGCTTCAGTAGCTCTTTATTCAGTTCTACGTGCCCCAGCTTAAACGTTGACCAGATATTTCTTTTTACTTTGATACTGTTGACGACTGTGGTGATTGTGTGATTGTTGTTGTTGATGATGATAATGATCATGATGGGCATTAGTAGTCCTTTGCAGAATGAGTCAGATGTATATTTTAAGATTCAAGTACTGCCATATCAAACTAATCTTTTGATGAATGATCTTTTTGCCAGATGTCTCTCCTGCCGTATCCGAGGAGGATGAATGGGACTTTGACCGGAGGATGCAGGGGTGGGGCCGAGGGTGGGGCAGGATTGGTGGCAAGCGAGGTGCAGGCAGAATGGTGAGTTGCTAGTAATCATGACTAATTAAAAAGATAGCTCGAATACCTCTCGAAAAAAACCCTCGAAGTATCATTTTGACCGAAGTCACCGTACCATCTTCTCGTGTACCTTTATTTATTCAATATGCGCTCTTCTCATGGTATTTGATCAATTTACACATTATTTTGTAGCCAATGGAAGGAATGGCCCCTCCTCACTTTCTCCGATGGATGAAGCGCATGAAACGCTGGAAGAAGAAGAATCAGTGCCATGAGTTAAGGACTGAAGGGGAGGCCACTCCCGGTGAAGAGTCCGACAAAACAGCAGATGGTGGCGCCCAAGCGGAAACTACGAACGATGCACCTGAGGTCACAGAGGGCACATCTGATAGTAATGGTAGGTATCCTATCACACTCTCTTACAACAACATACAATCACTAATGTCCACTTTACACAAACAAGTTGATCCATGTGTGTCTGTGGTCCGTCTCCTACAGTTGGAGGGACAAGGTAGACCGAGTGTGAAGTGATTGAGTGTGGGTTTTTTGCCACTTTGGTAAAGACAGTTATGTCACTACACCATAGCAAGAGACACCAACATGGGTGTTGGTCATTTTGCCCATTTAGTACCCTGTTCTTTGACATGGCGAGCAGTTGCTTTAACCAGTAGGCTATCCCACTGCCTATTCCCTGTTTGGATATAACCGAGGTTGGCGAGATGATCGTGCACGTGTCCCCTGCATGGGTCTTAGTACCATTGTCCGACGTCCGTTCACAGTAATGTTGACGGTCAGGCAAATTAGTTCATCAGTGCTACATGGTCGTGGTCCAGTGAGCCATGTCTTCAAAAAAATCGTTTCATTTAGTACTGACTAAAGGTTTTGTGTTACTCCCAATGGGTAGCGGCGGAGTAGGCTTGTGGGTTCAGGTACAGCATTCGCCCGTCAAGCCAAGTCCCAGATTCAGTTCCCAACATGGGTCAAATGTCCAAAGCCCATTTCTGGTGTCACCCTCGTGATATTGCGTAAATCCATATACATGATGGTTGTGTCTTCTACCTTGGCCAGTATTGTTTGACCGTGTTCTTGTACTTGTATTTGACAGATACAGAAATGAAGGCAGATGGCCAAAGAGGAGCGAGAAAGTGTGGCAAAGGAAAGAAGGGAAGCCGAAAATGTCATAATCACGATCAACACCATGTTGAAGACCCCCAGACCAAAGAGGATGGAATCTTCGGATCCTCGGATGAGGACATGCCTCCGCCATTTCTCGGCCACCCTGGTATGTTTGCAGGTGGCCCAATGCAGTTCTGGGGCATGATGGGAACGCATCCTTATGCCTGGGGTGAAGGTTGTTGGAAACGAAGAGGATGGGGGAGACGTGGTGGTCGTGGTGGTCGTGGAGGCTGCAAGAGGAGGGGGGAACACTTCAGTGAGACGGAACCTTGGAACGACATGGGTTTTGCCGGATGGGAAGATGGACGAGGTGACCCAAGAGAGGGCGACAGAGGTCGATTCAGGGGTCACCCTCGAGGTGAAGGTCATGGTCAGGCACAGTGTCCTCGCAGACGCTGCCGCCGTCACAATGAGGCTGATGAGCCAATGGAAGCCTGCATAGAAGAAATGCGCAACGTCAAGGCCACTGACGACGTCATCACGCTTGATGTTGGGGACGAGGCGCCCAAGATGTAGACAGCTGAAGCTTGAAAGAGACGGACATGTGCAGCATATCATTTGGTTGCAATTTGAATATCTAAGACCCTGTCATGAAGAACTATGTTTATAATTCCTTCAATCAGACACGGACTACGAAAAGTCCATAGTTCAATATATTTTGTACAGGACATAGCTTATATTAAAATATTGATTCTGATGAATTTATCAGTGGTGCATAACAAAGTATTCTCATTATGTGTTGCTTGAACGTAAATGTACATATGACCATGACTTTGATGTTGTCGCTATGGCAACTGTACTGCAATATACTTTTTGTAAATACAACATTCATGGTTTCATTCAGTATTGTGTCATATATGTGCTTTTACTGATACTGTTATTTTGTTTGTTATTTGAATTAATTTTTTTCCAAGAGATGAATAAAATGTGTATATTGTAAAACATATACATTATTTTGTACTTGTTCACCACACACATGGAGAGTTCATGCTGTAACAGTCCACGTAGAAATGGACTGATGGTGGTGGATTGTCTGACGTCTTAGAAACATATCAAACTTATGTTCTCAGTAAATGCAGAGTTACGCTACAGATCACATTCTAATGTCCCCTAAAGCTCATACAAAGGAATCACATAAAACATATATATATATTAAACAGGGCATTATATTTTAAACAGGGCATACCATACATACCTCATGGACGCACACAGTCCACATTAATGACATGACATGCAAGTCGAGCATATGAGTGGGTGAGTGACTACGTATGGTTTATCAAAGCTTAAACAATATCACATCACATCATTTATTTCTCAAAAAAGAACCACCCACGGTGGTACAGGAGAAAAAAGTTAAACATGATAATAATTCATATTAAACAAGATGTTGGTTATACTGTACAAATATTTGGAGATAAACGTTTTGCTTGAACATTTGTACGAACATTTAAACAGAAACCCTAACATAAGCAAACACATATACACAGTTACACTCAAAGGTACCTCTATGCTGTCTGTAAAAGGAACGTATCTACAACTAACACATGTACATCATCAATGCTGCAAGGTGTCGTGTACACTGTACGGTTCTCTATCACCTGTGAATACAGGCTGTTGATTTGCGGTGTAGTCACTCATTTTAACCACGTATAAGGGCACAGCCTGGTTCAAGCGAGAAGGAAACTTAGTGAGGGAACGGTAAACCACAATTCAGAGTTTCGAGTTGGTTATTATCTTTCTTAACTTTCATATAATATGTTGATTTGCGGTGTAGTCATTCATTTTAACCAAGTATCAAGGCACAGCCTGGTTCAAGCGAGAAGGAAATTTAGTGAGGGAAAGATAAGCCACAATTCCGAGTTCTTACCTTTAATCAAATATTCTGTACACGTCTTTAGATCTCACCTCAAACCACCCACATTTCTAGCGGCTGTGACCTCAAAGTGTATCTCTAATCAACAGTAAACAAGCGACCTTTTCACGACACATCGGACTGCGTAACATAAATCGTCATTGCCATTCAAACTTAGTATATTGTGTGACTTACAATTCTTCAAAAACAACATGCAAAACGTAATAAACGTGTTGTTGCATTTAATTAATCAAATTTATCAAAATTAACAATTGTGTCAGTCAACAAAGGCGAGTGCGAGAATGTCATTTGAAGTGGGTCACACGTGTTGACGTACGGCGGCTCAGTAAGTTTTCAAACATTAGCATTGACATTGCCAGACATGCACACCTTCACTGAGTGGATATATATTTGATCAAGTTGCAGTTAATTATTCGGAACCAGTTTCCAGAATTATGCGACTTCTCTTCGCAAGTTTAACTTTGGTTGTCAGCGGAAGTGGCGTTGTTGATGGGAATGTGGATTGTACTACCGTACACTGGACCAGCAAAACATTGTCTGCATCGGAGTTGACATCATCAGAGTGCGAGAATGGGGAGGAAGTGACAGACATGTCAGCTGACTTGAGGATTTTGTTACATGAATTTGTTTTTGACGGTATGATCTTACAAGTCACATCAGTGCTTGACAAAATATTTCTTGCTGGAAAGTTTACGTCCAGATAAAATTGCGCTAGCGCTACACTGACCCAGGCAATGACTGCACAATGGCGGCTCGCGACCTGTATTTACTATAGCAAAACGCTAGAACGGTTGTTTTAATTTTGTTTTCTTCGCATTTTCATTACTGCTGTTGCAATGTATTCGTCACGGGAATATCGTCCATTGTGACTTTAAGTGAAGGGAAACATTATTTAAGCTGTTTCGAGACTCCAAAGTGGTCGTCACATCGGTGACATGTAAACAATGACACACACACCATTTTCAACAGTGATATGGGGGTTAATAGTTCGTGTCAGCTCACTGTTGTCACGAAATCGTACACATAATGCATGGAATTAAACGACCATGTCAATGACATACCGTTAGCATCTTTATTTTAGCAAATTTGATTACGCAAATGTCGCCGATTATGCCCCCTTTTCTCCCATTGTAAAATGGTGGTTTAGCGGAGTTATTGAACGCCCAGTATAAATAACTATAAAACAAACATTTTTGATGCGTAATAATGATATTTAATTATAGGGTCTGTCATTGGTTCCGATATTTGGCCTCTGGATTTTATTTACATGAAAAGCCGTTTATTTGGCATTTGTTTTCTTATTACACAATCAAATAAATCATAAATACTCGTAGATCTTATAATAAAATAATTGATTAATTTCAATCTAGTGTTTCTTAACCATGTGTGTGCTTGTAAAATGTCAGGACTAAATGGCATAATAATAATAAAGAATATGTTCCTAATTTTTAAATAATTTGCTACAGTGGCATACACATCCATGTGTATTCTATATGATACAATATAACCACTGGGGGATCCATTTACAGAACAAGATAAAGAAGTGTGCATACCATTGTTATTGAAAAATAGTTATGATTATAATCATCATGTAAGATGAAATATCGGTGTACGAAATTATCTGCAAATAGATTACTCAATAAAAAAGTTACATTAGTGTTCAGGCATAGGGAAAAAAATAATATGATCATGATGGTTATATATAACATTAAAAGTGCACAGAAAGTGTAATATTTCGGGATGAAAGCTTGAGACACATGTGTACTTTCAACTATTTATTTGTGAACTGTTGAATTAAGGGTGGTGATTACCAACAGAACATGTCTTGATTATGCGTACTACATTTTTTGTGGCTTAAAGGCTGTATCAAAGCATATACTGAAATCATTTAGAGCATGATAATATGTAATATATGATGTCATCATATATTCAGCCAGTGGGTAAAATAATGCATTTGAATCTGTTTGCTTCACACTCTTATGCTTTAACAGTTCTGCTCCCAACACACAATCAGTGATTTTCCTTTGAATTCAGGAAAATTTGTACTGAACCCATTGACCAATTTTGCATCGTAATTTACGTACTAACAAGTTCCAAAACTGATTATATTAATTTTTGTTATTGCTTTTATTCAGGACATTATGTTCATCAGCTATGCATGTTTTTAGATTGTTCAATTTGTAGTGAAAAACACTACATGGAATTTTCTCAGATGTCTGATTGTTGAAACCCCTTTGGAGTTAATGTAGATGAGTCAATAGATACATTTTAAATTACAATTATCTTTAATTTGCTTGAAGGTTATGGTTATTTGTTTCTTACATGTGTGGTCCTTAGAATGCATTATTTGAATTTTGATAATAAATAATATGCATCATAATAACTTGGTGACCACCCCACCTCCCCCACCCGAAATATACCCACCCTCTTTCTTTTCATGTTAAGAGTGATCTTCATTTGTCATGCTGAGTTGATGGAAAAAACATGTACGGCGCCGTTAAATATTGTTTGAAAATAAATAGTCAGAAAGCCCTATCACTTGGGGCTGGAGTTCGTCAAGGATGCATCTTCAGTCTGCTATTATTTATTGTTATAAATGCATTGGTAACATAATTGTATACATCTTGTAGTCATGTCATATAATAACCTTTTTTATCATATATCATAAAATGTATCCGTTCATAAAACATCAATAAATTCAGTGTTTATGCGTGCAACAGTTGCGAGTATCACAAGTTGCCGACCGAAACCAATAGCTTCATCTTGCCGTCCATTTTCGTGACGTGTTCTTGTTTTCATTTTGTACACAAAACCTTCCGTGTCCGTTTCGCCTTTACACCTGTCCCCAGTTAACATCTAGCTCCATAATTCAAATTGCATAATGCATTTTTACCTTGTTTGGAAGAAATTGTCAAGGGAAAGCTTGCCTAGCAGACGAGCAGATGACGTACTAAGGGACGTAACTCCAATTTCTTATCACCCGGACTGATATCAATCGCCCATTCAAAATGCATCGACAAACCATATCAGCCGTCAGGGGGTGTAACACGGGTCTGGTTCTTACACCACCTGTAATATAACTGTCTCTATGTCGGCTCTATCGCACATGCAAAATGGCTAATATCATTGTTAGGTATTTGATTAAATACACTAAATGAACAAAATGATCGTCTGCATTTTCATCCTATTGGGGGAGTAAGGTCATGTAATGATGCCTATTGCTCGTGAGATGTCCTGTAACATTTGGAGCAGCCACTTCACCGCCATTTCCCTCAAAGCTCCCAGTCTGACAACATTACTCCGGTGAACAACTGACTTGCCTTGGCATGTGTTTGTGACTTGTTCCACTGGTGGGGCGGGACACTCCCACCTTTTCGCGAACACCTGGTATCATCAGTATTTGATTGAGATTCATAAACACATGGAATAGTCGAATCGTACAATCGACTCTGCTTTCAGCACAGATGTATTATGAATATGGTTTTGTCGCTTTTATTTCCATACCTTGACCTTAATCAAGACAACTTCCCATTCAACATACATTCAAGTTTCAGCATTGTACAAACAAAAAGTGCAACAGGTGCAGCTGACAATGAATGATGCAAGCAGGTTTCACAATAACGTCAAGGGGCGGTCGGGTAGCCTAGTGGTTAAAGCGTTAGCTCGTCACGCCGAAGACCCGGGTTCGATTCCCGACATGGGTACAATGTGTGAAGCCCATTTCTAGTTTTCCCTGCCGTGATATTGCTGGAATATTGCTAAAAGCGGCGTAAAACCTAACTCACTCACTCACTCACTCACTCACAATAACGTCAAAGTAGTATTTGTTTAGAAAAATGTAAATATATAGTTACATGCTTGTAGAAAAATTCATGCATATGGAGCAATGACAAAACCAACGATTTCAAAAACCTGAAAGATGACATTGAACTTTCACTAATCTTATCCCAAACCTTTTTAAACAAGGGTCCCGCCCTAGAGAAAGTATATACGAAGTTTCATGGCATACACACATGTAAGATTATACAGGTATGACATCCATGAATAATAATCATCATTTGCACTACATCATTTCAGGTATTGGGATCTCGAAATATGTGTTGTATTCTAATTGAAGCCGTGAATAGAGAGTCGATGTATGCTTCGGGCCAAACCGTAGATTAAACAACTGCCGTCAGTGATATATACGTCTGGCGGTCATTGCTGTGCAGTGTCATCTCATTCTTTGTTAGAGAATTAGTGACCCGAGTATTTCATTCTCTTGTGATTCAATGGCACACTTTTAATGTTTTGACTTGAATGTCATCTCATTTATGTTTGCTGTCTCATTCATTGTTGAAAATAGTTCGGTGACTATGATTGTCAAACATTAGAGGGATTATCGATTATCGATTATTGGGGGTGGGGAGGCAGGGGGATTTTTTATAGGAAACATTATTCCTTGTGAAAGTTAACTTGAATAAGAATGAATAATCTTATTTACCCCGACCCCCACCCCCCACCCCTATAAAAAAGGTTAACTACGGCCTTGATTGTACCTAAAGTCTACACCGTCCGCACCCTCATATACCTCGTATGATATATGTGTAACCCACGTATGCCGTGGTTCACTGCCAGAGTGTAAATATAGTTCTGTCTTGTTCTGTTATGTTCCGTTCTGAGAATAGCAGAACCAGTAAACAAAAACCGTGGGTGCAAGATGCCAGACTGAGATTCTTTGATTTGTAAGGACCGCTCCCGTGCTCGTGGCTATCACCTGCATCACTTCGGACTTTTCTCCAGTATCAAACTGGCTCGTCGTAATATAGACTGTTCAAATCGGTGGGCGAATCCACAGACATTGGCTTTAATGTCATTTGTTTGTTTTGATTTATTTAGAAACATACATGTAAACAACAATATGTCAAAAATAGACACATAGAGGAAGATGACACACGAAAACACATCGGAAAAAACCCGTTCGTTGCGCCCAATCTCGACGAAGACGAGTTTTATGACATGCACCCATGATGGATTGGTGACTACATAATGCCCGAGGCTGCGGCTAGGCTACAACACCCTTACCTGTTCGAGAAATGCTTGTGACAAAATAATTAATGCGTAGAATGAACTACTTTCAGTACAGAGTGCCAATGATCTCGCTCGGAAACATATTGTTGAATTGTATATAAATATCCTCGGCGACTAAAACAGGAAAGATATATGAGCCGTCGGATGTTATTATCTAATGTCCACAGGAAATATACAACGTCTCTATCATGGTATTGCAAACATTAAACCGATTGTACATTTTCAGTGTGAGACATTCGTATGTATGTTTTTAATTCGTAAAAGTGTTTTACAAGGTGATCGACTACTTGACCCCGAAGACATGACGTACACTGATAGGAGCGCTAAAAGATGAAAAGGCATATTTTTATTTAATCGTTTTTTTAATGTCAACTGTCTTCATTGACCGATCTGAGTACGAGTTCACAGCAATAACAGATTAACGTCACAATGCTTGCATGCTTCTACACATGTATCGAAATATTTTCACAAAATGGTTCAATAACTCAAATGGCTGAGGTTCGTATGTATATTGTTCAAGCAAATTGTGTATGTTTTGTAAACACGATGTTATGGTCAATTTTATTCTAATTTGACATCCAGTATCTAGATAAAGCAAATGTAAATCGTTGGAGATCAGATCTGATAGTATATGTACTTGAATGAACAATTTTGACAATGAAGAGTGTGGTCCAATCGAAATTGATGTCAAATATCGAAAATAACTCGCAAGATACTTTTCTGATTAGCAAGATACTTTAAGCCTCAAAGGATGCATCCATGCCGCATAAGATACGTTAAAGACCTGTACGTTCAAGCTTCATGAGATACGTTCAATCTCTGAAACTCTAGGTACAATATGTTCAAGCTGTATAAGATACCACTAAGCTTATAGAATGCACTCGAACTTCATGCAATTCGTTCAAGCTTCATAACATACGTACAAGCCTCATGAGATATGTCTAAATTTCAAAATATGCATCCAAGCTGCACACAGATACATTCAAGCTTCACTAGGAGCAAGGTACATATATAAATGCGCAATATATGCAGCTTTGCATTTTGTTTGTTTGTTGTTTAGTGCCGCACTCAGCAATATTCCAGCTTTATGTCGGCGGTCTGTAAATAATCGAGTCTGGATCAGATCATTCAGTGATTGACATCATGATCATCGATCCACGTAATGGATACCGATGACATGCATCAACCAAGTCAGCGAGTCTGACCACCCGATCCCGTTAGTCGCCTTTTACGACAAGCATAGTCGCCTCTTACGACAAGCATGGGTTGCTGAAGACCTATTCTTCCCCCATTCCCTCGCGGAGTATCGGATACTCTAAGTTGCACATCCGGGTGCTTCATGTATGATCCACGTACCAAATAATAACAGGACTGTAGCCCAATTCAGTTGGACAGTTTCTATTAGCTTTTTCACAGTCTTCACAATATTCTCGGCCAAATAATGAATGAGTCATACATTAGGATATTTTCAGTTCCTTAATGGCATGCCACGAAAAATAAGTCACGGGATCACGTCAATTATGGAAGTAGCTTTAAAAACTTAATGGGTGTGTGCATAATCTTTCATGGGTCCGTTATTCTTGACACAATGACTTTGTGTGTTAAACTTTAACATGAAGTACCTGCATAAGAACAATGTAAAATATAATATAAATCTAAATTGGGAGAATGATGCTTTAAAACGCTATGCTTTACGATCTATATAAATACAATACATGCCATCTGCTTTCTCTAAGTATATTTTTTTTAAATATTTAAAAAACAGCAATTCATAATTGTTGTCACTTCATCGCGTCCATTCATTAAAAATGAATCGATCACTTCTGTTAAAAACATCAGCAGTAAAGTTGTGTGATTCATGAAGATTAGTGACTGTTTAAAGTCGAAACTTATCTTAGTGTTGTTCATTGAGGCCAGCGACAACCCCGGCTACGAGAAGTCATCGCAGGATAGTCATAAGACCCCACAGAGCCATTTTCGTGAGTATTTGGAATCTATTACACTGGACTTGAAGAAATGTGGACCGTTACTTACTTGTACATGCCAAACTGATTGTTGTATATGGCATTTACAAGCCTAAACGTGTATTTACACATATTTATGTAGATATACATTATATATATTTTGTTCAAAATGAACAACCTTGTTAATTTAAAAGGTAATACTAGGATATCTAGAGAATTGTGTGACGATAAAAGAAAAGTGAGTTATACACATGCTGCTGCATAGCATCATTATATTTTCACGTGACTGTTTTTAATATAAAATATTTTGAATATGCTATGTCTGATATCGTGACATTATGACAATATGCACAGTTTTAAATGTACACCGTACAATGCATGGCTTATTGTACCATTTTGACAACACTGGTAGTATTTGATGATAAAACATATTGTTATCAGACGGATGATTATGCTTAACAATATTCTTGAAATTTAGAGTGTACAATAAGGAGTTACAGTGTTACAATAATGTTACGGTGTTGTAATTGTCGTGGATGGGAGTCCTTCAAATCCAATGCGAAAATGAACACGTTCAGTGGGAAGTGAAGGTGAACTGCCTCACAAACACAATCGGCATCCTATTTGCCCAGACCAGTACAGGAAACTGAGCTCAGGAGGTTGTGATACTGATTGGAAGGTTCTGGTTGATTTAATAGAATAGTTTCCAAAATAAAGATGGATTATAATCAGTTATGCTTCTGTAAATATAAGCGACAAACCTCATTTCGTCATCATAAGAAATCTCTAGAGTCCATTCTACGACTATAAATGTATAAATCAGCATGTGTTTATCAACCACTGCCTAACAGTGATGATACCAGGTGTTCGCGAAAAGGGCAGCCTATCTTGGTGGTACATTTGCTGGACCACGCAATATACCTCTCATTATACCTCCTCTTGAAAAGAATCCATAAATCCCTGATAATTGAACATATGTTTTCTTATCTTGGAAGTTCAAATAATCCAAAAAGAAATTACAATGTATAAAGTGCTTGGTGAAATAGCCTATTACCTTTCTATAGGGATGTCCAAGCAAGAGAAGCATTCTAGTTATCACAACAAGTGTCTAGATAAGTGGGTTTCGACTGTACATACTAAAAGTAGTTTTGCACTGATCAACACAAACCATTAGTCTAAACATTTTCACATTACGTACGGCAGCAAAACATTCCTTGTTTGTAATTTCAGACTGTGAAAATGGGATTGATGGGTTTTCGGTTCTTGTTGGCAATGCTAACAACAGCTGCAGTTGCTGACGCATATCAACCAAAAGGGAAGGGTTATAGCATTCCACGGGTTCACCCAAAGGGATCACATCCAGTTCACCCGAAAGGAAATTTCGTCGCACCCGATACTCCCAACGTGAAAGAGCCTTTACTTCCTCAACTTCCACTGTATTTAAACCCAAAGGGTTCATTTCTCCATGACCACAGACGTTTAAGACCTGTAAATCCTAAAGGAGCTATTTTACCTTCAAGACCCTACTTTCCACGTTACAACCTGCGAGGATCCTACCTTCCTGCCCGCCCTAAAGGTCAGCTGGAACCACACACTTCAATAGGATTACATCGACCCTTAAATCCTAAAGGTTCACTAGCTCAGCCGACACAACCCTTGCATCCAAAAGGTACCCTAGACATGCCGAAATGGAAACAAACTTCATCGACACAGACGAAAAAGTCCTCCTCTGCAGAATACAAAGAAGAAACTTGGACCAAAAAGAAAGACACAAATACTGTTTACCCCAATTATCCCTCTGACCCATCGGCCAACAAGCCAACCGTTTCTCCTGCGGACAAGAAGAAGCAAACGCACCCTTCCAACCAACACAATCCATGGGTCAATAGCAAAACTAACCCCACTAAATCCAATCAACAAACAAATGAACCTGCTGGACAAGTGAAGGATCTTAATAGCCAAGATCAACGTCAAAACCCATCTGTAGACCCGACTAACCATGGTCAACAAGGAAACAGTATTGATACAATTGGACAAAACTCAAACAACCAAGACCAAGGTCTGCCGCCAAGTCAACCTGGAAGTTGGCAACATACAAACCCATCCACCAATGACCACATCCCTCGTGACACGTGGCAAGTGGTAGACCCATCAACTCAAGGCCAAAATCCATCTGACCCTTGGCAGACTCAAGGTCAGCCTCAAAATCCATCTGACCCTTGGCAGACACAAGTTCAGCCTCAAAATCCATCTGACCCTTGGCAGACACAAAACCAACCTGACACGTGGCAAGTGGTAGACCCAACAACCCATGGCCATAATCCATCTGACCCTTGGCAGACACAAAGCCAACCTGACACATGGCAAGGGGTAGACCCATCAACCCATGGTCAACCTCAAAATCCATCTGACCCTTGGTCACCAAGTGGTCGCCAACAGACCGAAATACACAATGCAATAGCTGGTTAACAAACATCGTGACGGTGCTTCCAATGAAATAAGTAAGTATATAAGTAAATCCACACAAACAGTAAAAGCTTCAAATGGCGTAGACGTTTGTTCATGTGTGTATATGGTAATGCCTGAAATATGATGTTTCGTATTTACGTTTATTATCGGAACTGTCTTTGTACCAATTAATATTTATATGATTAAGAGTTTATGTATTAACCCATTTTACCATGTTATGACAGGTACAAAGATCCTCCTTTTCCCGTGCTATTGGTCACAAACTCAGAACAATCGCAGGGACGTACAACACGAAACTGGTCGATTCAAAGTCTATTCACTTGTGAGAGTTCCGCTAACAATACACAACATAAGCCGCCCAATTCAACTATATCACTATCTCATCTATGTGTTTCTACAATGAATATAGTTCCGCCGAGATCGAGATGAATAAATGAAAGAAGTTGTCGTCTTTGTATATGTTTTTTGTATGCTTCGGTTGTTCCCTTTCGTGACCCTTACAATTCCAGTGCCAAAGTGATATACGCTTTCATTTTCGTCCTATATTATAACGAATATATGTTAACACAGCTGACAACTGATTTATAGTATTTTAGTAATATCACGGGAGACAGATTGACGAAGGAGTGAGTGAGTACGGTTTTACGCCGCTTTTAGCAATATTCCAGCAATATCACGGCGGGGGACACCAGAAATGGGCTTCACACATTGTACCCATGTCGGGAATCGAACCCGGGTCTTCGGCGTGACGAGCGAACGCTTTAAACACTGGGATACCCGACCGCCCTTGACGAAGGAGGAAAGCCCGAAGTCTTAGACGTTAATACTTTTGTGAGGTGAGGTGAAATGGGGTTTAACGTGGCGTCCAAGATTATTGCACTTATATAGCGACGTTCATGCATGTGTGTGTGTGTGTGTGTGTGTGTGTGTGTGTGTGTGTGTGTGTGTGTGTGTGTGTGTGTGTGTGTGTGTGTGTGTGTGTGCTTGTACTAGTCCGGACTGATGCCGAGTTATAGTGCTAGCCGCAGTTTAACGTGATTACCTCACTCAGACACAGTATACTAGCTCCGGACCAAACATTCCTTGTTTTAGCCCCTTAATACCGAGTGCAAAACAGGGTAACAACGAGTACTATCTTTTAACGTCTTTTGGTATGACGCGGCCGGGGATCAAACCCCGGACCTTCCGCTCTCCGGGCGGACGCTCTACCACAAGACCACGGAGGCGGTCTACACGGATATGGGACTGAGAAACCTAGAAACACAATCAGGGCAAACCAAGATTCCAACCAGCGACCATAGATTTCGGACGCCAAAAAGGGACGCAACATTGTACAGTGAAGTGCGGTACCTTTGACGACTGGACAACCTGTGCCCCTTTGAAACATTAAATCCAGAACTCACAGGTAGACAGTGACGTAACTCAACTTGTTTTGATATAAAAAAAAATAATAGACACCATTGTGTTTGAATGCTCACACACGCTTCATATTCTTACGGAATGTTTCCACTGCACATGTCTGGTTGTGTGAGTGAGTTGGGTTTAACAACGCCAGTTATATCACGGCGTGTCAGTTTAATGTAGGAGGGAAGCCCGTAGTGATGCAGGTCTCAGACGTTTACCTTTCGGTGAAACCTACGAGCACGGGTATGGTGCTGACAAACCTAGAAACATATACGACTGGCCCACCCGTGCCCCCATGTCTGGTTGACGTTGACGTTGAATGTTAAGGTCAATCCTCATCACCCACAGACAAACGTTTTATTCAGTAGTGAAGGCCCACAGTACAGATGAAGTGACAGAATAATGTGTCACATAAAAATAGTTGCAACAACAATCAAACTATATTTTGTATAAAAGTAACACATGCTTTAGAAACAAAGCTAAAGAGTGGATATGGTTAACATGTTTTGAATTTAGTATATTGATAATTGTCTGTTGACATTTGCACATCTGGAATAGACATTGATTGGTGCAAGCTTTAAATATAAATATTTTTTATCTCTTTGCCCATATATACACAGAAACAGCAAGACAGCAAGACGTACATGAGCAAGGAGCACATTGTCTCTATGTCTCACATCACTTATAGTTAATAAAAACATTCTCGCATTCAGCAGACATGTATAAACGGTTCAACACCGTCTTTAGAAACCCATGTTTGTTGTAAGAGGCGACTAACAGGATCGGATGGTCAGGCTCGCTGACTTGGTTGATGCAATTCATCGTATCCCGATTGCGTAGTTCGGTGCTCATGATGTCAATCCCTGGATTGTCTGGTTCAGGAACGTTGTTTCACGATGTTTCAGCAACATTATACTCATGAAGTCATCCTAGAATTTAATATTTGATATGCACCACTTCAGAAACTCTGGAAAACAAAAACAAAAGATAAGTGACATTGTTAAAACGTTACATCGAGTAGAGAGGGAGTTTTACGAAATACAACAACCAACTTCAGCATGTCACAATTAACAGGTTCTTGGCTGAAGTACTTTAAGTTCTAAATGCCGCTTCTCGGATGTTATCAAGCAAATCCTGTTCTGGCTGACATTCTTGCGTGTACGCCCACCCAATTCCGTAATTTTATTCCATGACAGATGGAGCTTTCTTACTTGCCTGAACAAGTGATATAAGATACAAAGCAACTTGAAACGGATGAGCAGGCAAACATGTAATCTCCTTAAATTTTGAACACCATTGTTTCCACCTATTAAAAGACCTGTCATACTAAGACTAAAGCTGAGGCCTTAGACTTGAGAACTAAATCTGGCATATGTCCTTGGTTATTGCCAACTAGGCACTACTAATGATAGTAATGCTAGCTTTATGTTGTAGAGTGTATCTAATAACCTTTGTCGTCACCAAATGCATATGGGGGACAACCCAGTTGTTTGAACATTTACTGGTTCTGTGCCAGGGCACCAAGATCTGGAATTGAATCTGCCCAACTTAGCATTAGGCTAGCAAATCTATCAACAGTGTGTGGACCCCACAACATAAGTAACAATCCATTCAGAATCTCCAAATTTACTTGACGCATCTGCTCTGAACGTAGAATCCAGTTAAAATTTATCCTTGTGTTAGATATCCTAGCTATGGTGAACACTGACATAGCAAGATACTGTAAAGATGAGCGATACTAAGAGGAGCGATTTTACAGCAAGCCTTGCTATCTGAGAACCACTTTTACAGTGTGAATATACAAAACCTCTCTGAAAACGATACAGTTGTGTAGCATGATACACTGGATAGGACTGCTGATGAGCCTAACCAGCCTCCACCTTGTCATACAGTATTCTGGAGAGTATTTTGTCACTCTGAATCTTTATGCATATACCTAAATATTTAACAGATGAGGCGGTTTTACTGGTCACTTTTATTTCAGTGCAGTTGGGTTCAGTGGAAGGGAATATGCTATCTGACCACTGAACGATATCGTAATTCAGTTTCATCCAAGGAGTAGTTCAACAGTACTTGAAGATGGAATCCTCGACATAAATTTATCACTGAATAACTGAAGTACAGAACAGAGAACCCGAAACTTGCAGAACAGTGCAACAACTTTGGATGGCATGGTTTACAAAATAAATTGTTCGCTTATTTCTTTCTTAATTTGGTTCTTGTTTTCGAAAGAATGGAGCGCGTATACTAGCAAATACAACGGAATTCGAAATCTTTTGATACAGATTGCTTCAGGCGGTTATGGCAAGGTAACTGCCATTGGCTAAAGAACAACAAACTTCAGTTGGCTTTTTCGATTGAATCACATATAATGTAAGAAATCCTTATCCACCCAATAGGGTTTTGGAAATAGACTCAAAGCAGTGTTGACACTACTCACTACAGTCTCACGGGACTGTAAGACAAAGGAATCAATAAGTACTCATTACAAAACCCACCGCCATATAAATAGCCACAACCGACACTTCGTGGAGGACGGTTGTGGAAATTACTACACCTCGTCTATCAAAATATGTCAGGTGTCGACCATGTATGACATATGTTTTCCGTGTCCAGATTAACTTTGACAAGCCAACGTCCAACTATCATTACATTCTTCATGTGGATATCAGTCGGATCACCAGATGTACACAGGTAAGTAATTACTGAAACTAACTTGAAATAATGCTGAACAACATGTCTACATGACTGATTTCTGTTGACATTAACAGAGATAACGTCAATTAATTACCTGTGGAAAGTGGAAATTTGTTTAAAGGTTTAGAAGGTATTTTATTGCGTAATATTTCCTTTCATTGGTTATCTGATGGGGTGCATATATGAACTTAGGAGCTGTAAATGATGTCTAAAGAATTGGACTGCTGCAGGTCAGCAGCTTGTTCTTGAAGCTGATTTACATGTGAATATGTGTTTCACATTTCAAAATGTTAAAAGCTTGCTTAATAAGATACATACAATGAATAAAAGGACCATTTTAAAATTCACAATTTTCTGAAAAACATAATAAACAGAACGTCAATATCCATAAAAGTTAAGAAGTTGAAGATACCGCCTGATGGATAAAGGGTAGGGGAATACAGGTTTGTAAATAATGCATTTGCATCATGACATGTTGGGTGACACTAAAGTACAATGTGGGATTGAAAACGCAATATTTACTTGATGTAATCACATTGGTATTATATTATGTCATTATTAAAATTTAGATATATCTTTCTGCACTTAGGTCTCGCTTCGTGACAGTTTAGTATCAATGCCAGTATGTCTAATGATTGGTAAACTGCTGGAATAAAATAATTTTTCTTCAGGTTTTACAAAAATTCAAATGTCGTTCATTACATATGGATGATGCTCTGACAGTTGATATGTTGTGGGAACAGGCATCGTGGTTTGAAAAATATCTCAAACAAACATCCCACTTACTGTCAGTGCTTAATTATTTCCATCTTTTAAACTCTCCGTAGGTTTCGATAGAAACCTCAAAACACCGATAAAATAACAGTTTTACTATCAAGCACTGGTCTCATGTCTAGATAAACGAAGAGGGCGAGAGAGGGCATGTTAAATTGTTACATGTATTTTTTTTAAATGAGGTTAGAGGGTGTCAGTGAAATGTGATACAGTTCAAAGGCCAATGCCACCGGCCCTAATCCCCTATAATAAAATACAAGTCAATTTCAAATCGAGATTCGCAAATTGCTTCCCGTAGTCGCGACAGGATCCGCTGATCGGGGATTCTAATCGCAGATTTGTACAGATGTTGATCCTTTGTTTGTCAGCACAAAACTCGAAGCTGGCTCACACGCCGTGATGTAAAAACAACTTGGTATCTGTGTAAGACTTGGTGTCTGTGTATCGGCTTAAACTATAATCCCCAGGAACCTTGCTTGCAGAGATCGATATAGCCTTATGAAACATTAAAAAAGGCAATCTAATATTTATGTCTACATGCACCAAGTACATGTAAACAATAGATTTGTGTCTGACTATCCCTTTAGGTTCTTAACAAAATGGAACTTTGAACACCCTCAATACCTCTAAAGTTTATTTATCATATTACATCACTTATCCATGAGTTAATCTGTTATGCTTCATGTGGGTACTTCAAGATAATGTTCACATGTTCCAATCAGGTTTTACAAAATTGCGTCATTAATTTATGTGACACTGGCAGCAGACCAGCAAATGTTCCACTTTGCTAAATTTTTGGGACCACGGTGCAACCTGGTTTGTTTTTTGTTGTTGTTGTTGTTGTTTTGTGTTGTTTTTTGGTGTTTTTTTGTTTTGTTTTGGGGGTTTGTTTGTTTGTTGTTGTTTTTTTTTGGGGGGGGCATCCTGCTTTTCATATCAACATGCAACTGGTGCTTTAACTAGGGTGTGGGCAAATCGCTCTCTGGACAGGAAATATCGATATCAATTTTCTGCAGTGCGATCGACAAACTTCGCCCCTTTCCTTAGTGGTCGGTCGTGTTCAGAGTGGTTTTCATTGGTCATGCTGTGTATTTATTCACCCAAATCGCAAGATCATTATTTTAACACGGATGGCAAGGAAGAATCTAGCTAGTCCATGAATTAGTTGTCCATAATTTTACTTGACATCTTGGCCACGCAAGACAACCGTCAACTTCCCTCGGGGTCCTTTCATTTCACAATTTACACATACCATTTCACAGATAGACATGTCATCAAAGCACCTTTCCTGAAAGGCTAAAGATTATTTTGAAGTTTATTTTCGACCTCCTTTTGTTATATCACCTGTAAGTGGCAACAGGAAGGTAATCGAAAATTTATATTGTTGCAATTGCAACTCGCCCTGACTAAGGTTCCAGGTTTGTCAGTACCAGTGGGTTTTCACAAAAGTGGAAAGCTTCTAAGACCTGCATCACCTCGGGCTTTCACCCCGCATCAAGCAGACACGACGTGATATCCAGTATAAACAAATACTGTTCAAATCAGATATTGTCAAACTCAAGCATAGGTAGAGTGTAATGACAGTACCAAATGTTGAGAAACTGTGAAGTATTTATGTTCCAACTTACCAAGCATTCTTCTGCTGTGGTTCCGTGTTTGTTTTATAACTTTTTCAAGACTCTATTAAATCAAGAATCAACAGATGAATTATTAGATTTTGAAGGGAATGACTTTGTTAATTACCACAATTGTGATGCAGGTGATTATTGCTAAATACAGATGTGGTGTTATCGAAGATAACTGATGCAGAGATTACCAAATTGAAAATATGAAGAATGGGAAAGCACCGAGGGCAGATGGCATTCCTGCAGAATTCCTTAAGATGATTCCTAGAATTCGACATTTCTTTTTTGCTCTATATCTAAAACTCCTATTTAAAAAACACTCTGGATCAAGGAGTTTTGCCCGTAGCAAGGGATATTTGCATGATGTTACCTTTGTTTAAATTAGGTAGTAAAGCTGATCCTAATATTTACCGTGGAAAATCCCTATTAATCCCTGGAAATTTGTTCAATGCTTTTATTGAAAGGAGACTAAGAACATGGATTGAATCAAATGACCTATTATCAGTGAGTGAGTGAGTGAGTGAGTTTGGTTTTACGCCGCTTTTAGCAATATTCCAGCAATATTCCAGCAATATCACGGCGGGGGACACCAGAAATGGACTTCACACATTCTACCCATGTCGGGAATCGAACCCGGGTCTTCGGAGTGACGAGCGAAGGCTTTATAACCACTAGGCTACCCGACCGCCCCCCTATTATCAGAGTCACAAGCTGGTTTCCGAGAACAGTATTCCACACAACAGACAACGTATTCACTTTACACGCATTATGCAGTAAATATATGTGCTGACAAATAGAACGTTTCATTTGTGCTTTTATAGATTTTAAAAAAGTATTTGGCCTTGTATCAAGAAAGAGTCTTTTATAGCTATTGTTACAGAAAGGATTTCATGGAGGGTTTCACAGTATTCTTAAAAACATGTACGGCCACGTTAAATATTGTTTGAAAATCTACAGTGAAATAACCCCATAACTACATGCATACATTTATATTTCACAAAGTATTGAGGATTTGGTGCTCCTTTTGTTTTCTGACGTTGTTGTGATATTTTCATATATTGACATTCGCCTACAGAGACAACTTGATTTTGATACTTTATTTTGTAAGTAGTGGGGGGAAAACAGTGTAATTGTTTTTTCGGAATGGTGGTTGCATCGCTGGAAATAAAGCATGATAAACCCGTGAAACCTACGACCAACTATCCAAATCTTGGAGGTATATTTTCATTGACATTGATGTAAGGGTGATATATCAAGAAAGCAATGAAGGAAATCCAAATAGCTTACTTCAAGAATCCTCGGGGGCACGGGTGGCTCAGTCGTCTAAGGCGACGTGATTCGCCTTGCAGAGTTGCGTCCCTTGGGCTCACCAAAAACCTATGATTGTGGGTTCGAATCCCGGTTCGCCCCGATTATGTTTCTCGGTTTATCAGCACCATACCCGTGCTCGTGGGTTTCACCGAAGTGGTAAACGTCCGAGACCTGCATCCACTCGGGCTTTCCTCTCACATTAAGCTGATACGCAGTGATATAACTGGAATACTGTTAAACGCGGTGTTAAACCCAACTCACTCAGTCACTCACATTCTCTGGGAAATTCAAAGCTACCCTTGCAATTGGTGAGACAGGACGTCATCGTCTACATATATCTACACAGATGAGTTGTAGTGCTGGTGTTGGGAAATAAGGAGTTTGATTGCCATCCCCTTGACGACCTTGTCACTGGTAAGTGTCTCACCTTGGCGTGGTGGCAGCGGTAATACCCACAACTCCTTACGGACCACTATATCTTCGACATGTGTTGACTTTTCACTTAAATATTTGACTGGTTAGGCATTCAAATATTGGGTAATGTGGCAAGTGTCATAACCATCGTGCCCCTTAGCAATTGTGAACACTTTCGATAACTGGAGACAGAAATTGATATATACCCTCTCGCTCTACCCGAACTGTGCACCATTTCTAGTGGACGGCGTCACGTGGTTGAAACGTTGTAGAAACGAGCCAATGACGGGGAGAACGTTCCCCCGGGAGCAGCCGGTCTGTGCCCAACAGAAAGTAAACATGCTTGAATAACCATTGGGTCAAATCACAAATTGTTGCACTGTAATTTCTAGAAAAACCGTAGTTAAAAACAGCATTTTTATTCTTAACGTTTGGCAGGTAATCCGACTTCACTTCGGATTTCTATCCACAGGGGTATTCTCTTGACTTGTGTGATTTTGCCTCCAGTCCGATGAGCATCCAGAAGATCTGTATCAGCAATTGTCAGCAGTCACAGATGACAATCTTCTCCGCCAAAATGGCGGAATATCTCATCATGGCGTAGACACTGGAGAGGAAATTGATCATTATCACGGACGTAACAAAAGCCTATTACCACATCCCTCTTGACGGGAGGTCTATGAAGTACTGCCGAGTCGTCTCTCCGTTCAAGGTAGTTAGAGCATTCGCAAGATGTGCTATGGGAATGCCCGGATGGGAATCTTCCTTTGAAGAGTTAATGTGTCGTGTTTTTGGGCGATCAGTTGCAGGGTGACAACGTAGCTAAGCTAGCTGATGATCTTCATAATTTCGGGAATGACTTGGACAATCTCCATTCAAACTTCACCGATGTGTTTGCCGCTTCGTCTTTCACCCTCCAAAACAATACTTGGTCCTGAGTTGGAAATGGAGGCAAGGGAGTATTCAGGTAGATCCTCACAGAGGGTTGTCAACAATCGGAGAGTTCAGGCTTAAGACGCACTCATGCTCACCTTTCAAAAGGCACGGCCTTCAAAGAAGCATAGATACTAGTATAAATAATATCAAACGGCATTTTAACGATGCTAAGACCTCAACTTATGGCTTGTTGGTTGTTCCTCAGTGTGATCCATTGTCAAAGTCTAGAGAATGTATGATTGTACAAAGAAACTTTCCAGAAACTTTCAATTGGATCATCCCTCCCGTTATCAAGACATTTCTATGCCCTGGTTATGGACAAGGCTCAAGATCGTCATGCAAAATGCCTCATCTCATTGATAGGTACATTATTAAAAAGTACCATATGAACAAAATGATTGTCTGCTTTTTTATATTGGAGGTGTAAGGTCATTTGATACTTTTTGCTCGTGAGATGTCTTGAGACAGAAGGGGATGTGTAGTGACTAGAGATGTGTTGGCAAGTATAAATTAAATTTGGAGCCGCCACTTTACCACCATTTCATCAAAATTGAAATTTCAGATTACTCAGGTGAACAATTGGCTTGCCTTGAGTTTGCATGTGTTTGTGGTGGGTGCCACCGGTGAGGCAGGATACTCTCGCCACTATCGTCACTATTTGATAGTGATTCATAAACACATACTCATGACATATTGGAATCGTAAATCAACTCTGTTCTCGGCAGAGATTTATTATGAATGTAAAACGAGTTTTGTTTTCGAATTAATCAAGACAACTTTCCACTCAAAACCATTCAAGTTTCATCATTGTACAAGCCATATGTGCAACAATTGTAGCTGACAATGAATGATGCAAGCAGGTTCACAATAACGTCAAAGTAATATATGTTTAGAAAAATGTAAACATAAAGTTTGATCTCTGTAGAAGTAAGCATGCATTGGAAACAATGATTAGAACCATCATTTTCAAAAACCTGAAAGATGACAATCACATTGATTTTTCACTAATCTTATCCCAAACCTTTTTAAACAAGGGTCCCGCCCTAGAGAAAGTATATACGAATTTTCATGGCATACACACATGTAAGAATATACAGGTATGACATCCATGAATAATAATCATCATTTGCACTACATCAATGCAGGTATTGGGATCTCGAAATATGTGTTGTATACTAATTACTGAAGCCGTCAAAAGAGAGTCGATGTTTGTTTCTGGCCCAACTGTAGATTAAATAGCTTCCGTTAGTAATATATATTATTACTCACTCAGTCTGTGATAATAGTGATAACAAATACTACTTTAGTTCAGTATGTGCAACACTAAATATATAAAATCATATAAAATTAATACATAACTGTTATGAATTGTTATCCTAGTATTTCTATTGCTTAGTCTTCAAATTCCTCTATCATATTCAAAGTAGACTTACGTATTCTAAAGGGTGATCTCAAGTACTAAGTGCTTTTGGTCTGCTGCATTAGGATTATGCTGCAGCCTTGATAGCTATATATCTTCTTGAAATAAAACAAAATAAATATATATAAGAGACCATTGCTAGAACATTATTTGTAAGTTGGAATTAGGGACATATGGATGTAGATTCCAATAACATTTTATGCTAAATACATTAAACTCATTATAGAGAAATGCAAAACTTATGATTATGTGTCAGATCGTCTCTTGGACTCAAAACACTTGTGGCACAATCAGAATCATCGGTTGTGTTTGTTTGTTTGTGTATTGTTTACACTGCATTCAGCAATGTTCAAAGACAGCGACCTCTAAAAATCTAACGTTTACGTTTCTTTGTTTTGTCGGGACCGCACTGTGCTCGTGGCTTTCGCCTGCATCACTTCGGGCTTTCCTCCCATATCAAACTGTCTCGCCGTGATATAACTGAATGTAGACTTTCAAAGCGGCGCTAGACCAAACGCACTCACTCACTCATGACTAAGGCTGCGGCTCAGATACAATACCCATACCTGTTCGGGAAACGCTCGTGACAAAATAATTATGCGTAGAATGGACCACTTTCAATGCAGAGCGCCAACAGATCTCGCTCGGAAAAATATTGTGGAATTGTATACAAATATGCTTGGCGTCTAAAGCAGGAAAGATATATGGACCGTCGCATGCTATTTTCTAATTTCCACAAGAAATATACGACGACTTTATCATTGTATTGCAAACATCAAACCGATAGTACATTTTCAGTATTAGACACACCTATGTATGTGTTATAATTGGATTTCGTATAAGTGCATTTCAAGGTGATCGACTACTTGACCCCAAAGACATGACGAGGACAGATAGGAGCGCTGAAAGATAAAAGGAAATTATTATTATTAATCGTTTCAGTTATGTCAAATGTCTTGATCGACCGATCTGAGAAAGTATCCACGTCAATACCAGAGTAACGTCACAATGCTTGCATGCTTCTACACATGTGTCGTAATTATTTTTATAACACGGTTCTATAACCCAGATGGCTAAGGTTCCATTTTCAATTGTATTGCTCAAGCAAATTGTGTATGTTTTGTAAATCCCAGGCACACACCATATGTCAATACAATGTTATGGTACAAATTGATTCAAATTTGACATCTAGTATAACGCTAAAGCAAATGTACTCGTATATATGTATATGCATCGTCGGAGATCTGATCTGATAGTATATGTACTTGAATGAACATTTTGACAATGAAGAGTATGGTCCAATCGAAATTCATGTCAAACTTCGAAAATAAGTTTCAAACTTGTCATTTTTACGACATTCCATGGGTGTGTGCATATTCTTTCATGGGTCCGTTATTCTTGATAGAATGACTTCGTGTTTTAAACTGTAACATTAACTTACTCGTACCTGCATAAAAACAATGTATAATATAATAAAAATCAGAATTGGGAGAATGCTACTTTTAAAACGCTATGCTTTACGATATATATGAAATGAAATTTACATCTGCGTTCTCTAACTATATTTGAAATATATTTAAAACCCAGCAATTCATAATTGTTGTCACTTCATCGTGCCGTTCAGGAAGACTCCATGTATCCAACGGCATGTGTTTATAAATCACTCTCAAACATGTACAATGATACCAGGTGCTGGCGAAGAGGGCAGCCTTTCCTGTCCCAAAGGCATATGCAAGTTCATTTCAACGAACGCGGGGACATATTGCGCAAATCAAATAAAGCGACAAAACCCTTTCCATATCCAACAGAAATCTCTACAAGAGCAGAGTCGATTGTACGATTCCGTATTTATCATGAGCATGTGTTTATGACTCACTATCAAATAGTAATGATACCAGGTGTTCGCAAAAAGGTGAGAGTATCCTGTCCCACCGGTGGCAACCGTCACAAACACACGCAAAGGCAAGTCAATACTTCACCTGAAAAATAACACGGGAACATATGGGACATAAGTCGAAATACAGAATTGCATCAGACATAAATTTTGTCACAAATGCGTTTTGTCCACTTGCGCATGATCATAAGAAATGTCTGCTAAAAGAGGATCCAAACACTATCGTAAGCATGTTTTCATTAATCACCATCAAATATCTGTACCAGAAAAAGGTGATAAAAATGTCTTCCTTTTGAAATGTTGAATGTTGTAAGCCTGATCAAACTACATTGTGAAATGTAGACACCAAAGGCTGTAGCTGCTAGAATATTGATCGACATAAAAAGTCATCCCTCTTGTCTTGTCTTGTTGGGAGATTTTAGTTTGTTGCCACTCTGAGTCTCATCGATCTAAATATGAAATAGATGAGGCCTTTTTACTGGCCTAATTTATTTCTAGTCGAGGTGGGTAAATCAGAGAAAGGGAATTGGCTATATGACCAATATAGGACAATATTCAGTTCATTGATATACCTAAAGCTTATAATAATAGTTAAACGTCTTGGCGAAATTCCCTTGTTTTCATTTTGCCTTTACAGAAATTCCGATTTTTATGCATAAGAAAAGGTCCTGAACTGTTTTGACATAATTGAAAATGGTTCTTTTCTGTGATTGCAGATTCAAGCAGATCCTTTGATGTTCTTAGAATCCACATGGTATTGCTTGCACTTGTCTCAAACATTTTCTCTGAATATATAAAAAAAACTTCCTTTTTGTATTCGTCACTTACTGTTGACTCCTTGAGACAGGTACATTTCCTGGACCAAACAATATCCCTCTCATTATACCTTGAAAATAATCCATAAATCCATGATAATTTAACATATGTTGGATTTTGACATAATCCAAAAAGAAATTTCAATTTATTAACTGCTTGGCTAAAGAGACTACTACTTCTGTCCTAGCAAGTGTAGTATTCTAGTTAGCATATTAATTGTCCGGATAAGCGAGGTTCGACTGTAGATACTAAAAGTAGTTTTACTCTGATCAACCACAAGCCATTAGTCTATAAATTTTAACATTACGTACGGCAGCAAACCATTCTTTGTTTGTAATTTCAGTTCGTGAAAATGGGATTGATGGGTTTTCGATTATTGTTGGCAATGCTAACAACAGCTGCAGTTGCTGACGCATATCAACCAAAAGGAAAGGGTTATAGCATTCTACGGGTTCACCCAAAGGGATCACTTCCAGTTCACCCAAAGGGAGATATCGTCGCAATTAACAATACTCGTCACTTGGAGAAGCCCTTACTTCCTCAGCTTCCACTGCATTTAAACCCAAAGGGTTCATTTCTCCATGGTCACAGACGTTTAACACCTGTCAACCCAACAGGAGCTATATTACCTTCAAGACCTTACTCACCACGTTACAATCTGCGAGGGTCCTACCCGCCTGTGCGTCCTAAAGGTCAGCTAGAACCAAACACCCCACTAGGATTACATCAACCTTTGTACCCTAATGGTCCCCGAGCTCTGCCAACTCAACATTTGCATCCTAAAAGTACCCCAGCCCAGCCGCTTCAAGATACCCGAGACATGTCGATATTGAAACAAACCTCATCGACACAGATGAAAACTGCCTACTCTACAGAAAACAAAAACAAAACTTGGAATAAAAAGAAAGAAACAAATATTGTTTACCCCAATTATCCTTCTGACCCATCGGCAAACAAATCAACCGTTTCTCCTTGGGACCAGAAGAAGCAAACGCACCCGTCCAACCAACACAATCCATTGGTCAATAGCCAAAATATCCCCACAGCGCCAAATCAACAAACAAATCCGTCTGAACCTGCTGGACAAGTGAAGGATCTTAATAGCCAAGATCAACGTCAAAGCCGTTATGTACAACGTGTTAATCTGAATAACCATGGCCAACAAGGAAACCGTATTGTTCCCCGGCTTGCGGTTGGACAAAACCCAAACTATCAAGACCAAGGTGTGCCTCCAAGTCGACCTGGAGGTTGGCAATTGACAAACCCTTCCACCTATGACCAGTTCCCTTCTGACACGTGGCAAGTGGTGGAGCCATCACCTCAAGGCCAAAATCCATCTGACCCTTGGTTATCAAGCCCAAAACACGCAATCCAATAGCTGGTTAACAAACACCATGACAGTGCATCCAATGATATCAGTAAGTATGTGAGTAAATCTACACAAACAGTAAAAGCCTCAAGTGTTTTTTTTCATATATATTTATATATATATTAAATATTAAATGTCTGAAATATGATTCTTTATCTTTACCTTTCTTATCGACATTGTCTTTGCAAAATATAATATTTAAATGATTACGATTTATTATATGGTCCGATTCTCTCATTTTATGACTCCAGATACTTGATTCCTCAACAGGTACAAAGATCCTCCAACCCCGTGCTATTGGTAAAAAATTCAGAACAATCGCAGGGACGTACAACACGAAACTATCAATACACAACATGAGCCCAGTTCAACTATATTACTATCTTATATTTGTGTTTCTACAATGAATATAGTTCCGCCAAGATAAATAAATGAAAGAAATTGTCATCATTGTGTATGTTTTTGTGCGTTTTGGATTAAACCTTAGTGACCCTTACACTACCAGTGCCACCGTGGTATAAGCTTTCATTTTCGTCACATATTGTACCGCTGTAAATAATCCCCTCTCCGTATGGTTTTGTCTCGATACATGGGAATGCAGGGGCAGATCGGATGGTTATTGCTGAAGTCGATCATGTGTAACCTTAGTTGACAGATTGCACAATGATTGACTCAGGTTTTCAAGAGAGGCTATCTGAACGACCACTGCATCGAGTCTATGTGCAGTCTGATGAGAACATCAGCAACCTTGTGGAGTCCTTCGCCTGGATGAAGTCGGCTGGCCTGAACAGTGAAATAAAAGGCTTTCTGTTTGCTGCTCGGGACCAGTCACTTCCCACTCGAAACTGTCAATGTGTTGTTTTGCATCAAAATGTAAAGATGTAGATAATGCAATGAATGCAATGACACTGTCCAACACATTGTCAGTGGATGCCCGACTTTGGAACAAACTCAATATCTTAAGCGACATGATTGAGTGATTCGATCCTTTTATTACCGTCTCCGCCATGCTTGACTCAGAGGCCCATCCATGGTAGGACCCACAATATGTAGAGGGCGTCATGGAAAATGATCAATACAAAATTCTTTGGAATAGGCCCGTATGCAGTCTCAGACCTATCCAGGCCAACAAACCTGATCATGTCCTTTTTGATAATTCCAATGAAATCATTTATGTCATTGGATTTTCTGTCCCTTTTGACACACATGTGATTGACAAGATTCAGGGAAAACATGGCAAATATGCGGACCTCACTTTCGAAATGTCACGCTTGCTTCCCAAGTACTAAGTTGTCCGACTCCCCACTGTAGGCCAACCAGCCTGACTGTCTTATAAGTCGTGAGTGAGTTTCAGTTACGATCATATCTGCAGTTCAGTTATCTCCCATTAACCAAGAAGTTATTCAGCAGCAGGAGTACGCCATTAACAAGAGACCGCCTCCGTGGTCTAGTGGTAGAGCATCCGCCCGGAGAGAGGAAGGTCCGGGGTTCATAGCAAAAGTCGTTAAAAGATGGTACTTGTTGTTACCCTGTCTGGCGCTCGGCATTAGGGGGCTAAAACAAGGACTGGTCGGCTCGGAGTCAGTATAATGTGTCTGAGTGGGGGATTCATGTTAAACTGCAGCATGGTATCTCAGTGAGCTAGCACTATAAATCGGCATCAGTCCGGACTAGTACAAGCAGCCACACACACGTACATACACGTCGCTATATAAGTACAATAATCTTGGACGCGACGTTAAAGCCCATTTCACCTCACCATTTTCAAAAAGTGATACCTTTGCAGCCCTTGGAATCAACCTGTATTAAAAAGGGATAATTTGGCAGCCCTTGAAGTAATTCACTTTTAAAGTTGGAGCTGCTGTATTATTGCTCGACAAAAGGGAAAGTATTTTGTCACTCTGTATCTTTATAATTATATCTAAATATGAAACATATTAGGTAACTGGTAACTTTTATTTCAAGTTCAGATGGATTCCATGGAATGGAATTGGCTATCTGAACATTGAACGATATCGTAATTCAGTTTTAACCAAAGAGTTGTTCAACAGTCCTTGAAGATGGAATCTTCGACATAAATTGTTCACTGAATTACTGAAGTACAGAACAGAGAATCCTAAACAGTCAATACACTTTTATGGATGACCACTTTTTTTAAACAAATGGTTCGCTCATTTCTTTCTTAACTTGGTTCTAGCTTTGTTGAAAGAATGAAGCGCATATGACCAGCAAATACAGCTGAATGTGAAACAATTTGCAAGAAATGCCTTTGGTTGGTTATGGCAAGGTAACTGTCATGGGCTACATAACAGCAAACTTCAGCTGTCTTTTTCGATTAAATCACATACAATGTAAGAATACGATTCAAATCAATAGGGTTTGGGAAATAGAAGCAAAAGAATTTAGATACTACTCACAACACAGGATTGTAAGACAAAGGAATCAATAACTATACAAAACCAAGTATGCATGTTCTCCCCGCCATATAAATCACCACTTCGTGGAGGACGGTTGTGGAACTCACTACATCTCATCTATCAAGATATGTCAGGTGTCGACCATGTATGACATATGTTTTACGTGTCCAGATTGACTTGGACAAATCAACGTCCAAATACCATTACCTTCTTCAGGTGGATATCAGTTGGATCACCAGATGTACAAAGGTAAGTAATTAGTAAAACTAACTTGAAATAATGCCGAAAAACATGTCTACGTAACTGTTTTCCTTTGACATTGACAGCGACATCAATGAATTACCTGTAGAAAGTGTGGAAATTTGTCAAAAGGGTTTATTAACTTATATTTCTTTTCAATTGTTATCTGATACATTTATGAGCTTACGAGCTGTAAATTGATGACTAAAGAATTCGACAGGTTAATGGCTTGTTCTGAAAGCTGATTGAAATGTGTATTTCACATTTCAAAGTTTTAAAGACTTGCCTCAATAAGATTCATACGATGAATAAAGTTACCATGAATTATTAAACATTTCCAAATTTACAATTTTCTGAAAAACATAACAGTAAGACAATTTTCATTTTAATACTTGAAGATAACGCCTGATTGATATAGGGTAGGGGAATACAGGTTTGTAAGTATATATTTACATCATGACATTGAAGTACAATGTAGGTTTGAAAACAAGAAATATACTTGATGTAATCGTATTATTTGTGTATGTCATTATTTATATTCAAAATATATCTTACTGCACTTAGGTCTCGTTTCTTGACAGTATTGTATATTAAATGATTGGTTAGATATGCTTCAGAACTATTTGAAAGTATGGATGAAATTACATATTATAGTCCTCTCCATTTGACAAAGAACACGAAATAACGCGATTATTGAACAAGTCATTCCGGCTCTCAGGAAGACTTACTTACAGAAATGACAAATCTTGGACAGTGCGCTTTTCAAGTTATATCCATTTTGCTGGTAATAAACATCATCATACAATTTTGATCACGTGGGTACAATCCGAGTACGGTCACGTTTTTCCTATAATTCGTGCTAGTACGTACAACGCGAATGTATGTGTGTGCGTGCGTATTTTTGCCTTTGCTTATGTTGTATTTGCGTAAGATGTAAATTATGTAGTAAACGTGTTATCACATTTCAGAAATGCTGATGCACCTTCTCAACATTTAAAACTGCCTAATTTATATCCAACGAAGTATAGAGTCCATCCCAGTTTAGAGGATGTTGGGGTGACTGGATAGGGTTGTTTCAGAAGACTGTGTTGCATTATCTTTCTTCGTTTTTTAAATTAATTGTTCACACCATTCCAAAACAACCGATATTGGTGCCAAATTCAGATGTATTTAAAATAGCTTTCCAAATTTATATCGAATTTGTACATTTCTTTAATTTCAGCCGAGATGAGCAGAATGGTAAACCGTTTCCTCGTTCTTGCAGTACTGGTTTCGAGTGCCTGTGCAACACGAATCGTTAGTCTGCCTAAAGGAGTCTTATTTCGGACTGGGACAACTGGAAATGGTAGAATGATGGCATTACCCACCGTAGGACCAATACATCAAGACCACCTAGCTCCAATTCAAAGAGCTGGAGACACTGTTCCTTCTACTCCGACTGGATCAATGATGGTATCACCAAGCAGAGAATCACGTGTGGTGAGGACAGGAGGTCCAGGGGCAGTTTCTTCCATTCCCTCCCAGTCTCCTTTACCAACATATTCTACTGGCGCCATTCAACCAATGACCGCAGTACCTTCCACAATGAGTTTCTCTCAGTTATTTGCTTCTCAACATACTGCCACCAGACCGTCTTTCTTTCATCAAGCTGCAAGTGGTTCATTTCAACCAAGACTATTTCAGCCTCCTGTAACAGGTCCGTATCAACCACCTGCCTTCCCACCACCTGTAACCGCTTCGTTTCATCCAACATTCTTTCAACCATCAGTATCTGGTTCGATTCAACCAGCGGCCTTCAAACAACCTGCGTCCGGTTCTTTTCAACCAGATTTTTTTCCATTTGTATTTGGTTCCTTTCAACCAACCATCTACCAACCAGCAGTACCTGGCTTATTGCAACTAGCTACTCAACCAACTGGGACTGGCTTGTTTCAACCATTTACTGAACCAAATACAACCCCAAACATGTTTCAGCCTGTGACTCCGGCACTAACCTTAAGTGGATCGTTACCTCAAACCAGTATTTGGCCCTGGAATCCTGCACCAAATCTACCTCTATCACCTGTCACTGGAATCGAGTTTCCGAAACAAACGCTTCTGACGAGCCTTAATCCACGCACTGGACGACTAGATATGACCCAACAACTCGGCCTATTCCCGCAACCGATCAAGATGGATCAGTTTCAACTGCAACATCCATATGTCCTGCTGCAACCAATGAACTCAGTACAAAATATTCAGACCAAGTTAACAAATCCTACCAAACAGCTAATCCTACCTGAACCTAGTTTTCCCCTAACCACAGCTGATCTATTTGAACCGAAAACCCCATCTGATTCAACACTGACAGTAGTCAATGCAACAGCACTTACCCCTTCTAACCCTGTACACCCTTCTTTAACTAACCCATTTCAACCTGACACTGTATTAATCAATTCGTTGCAAACACAGACCCAACTTGGTCAAGTGCAACCAATTAACCCAAACGACAAAGGTCATACAAGACTAGCATCTGACCCCAGGCCGACAATGAACACACCAAATCCTAGTAAACCGCAGGCCCCACTTGACAGTGTAATGCCCTCCCCGACAGAAAGTCAGTTTCAGCCAGCAAACCCGCCTTACCAAGGCTTTACGACGGTCAAAGAAGGCAAATTGCAATCCCAAACTACAAATGGCCAAAGAGGAACTGTTCAACCAAAAACTACACTTGACGCTAATGTGCAATGGACGCCATTCGACCCAGTGTACGCACAAACCAAATCAGATTCTTTGCCACCAATAAGTCAGGATCATATCTCATCTGATCCATTATTGTCACACAACGCTATAGACCTTAGTCATCCACCAAGCCCATCTCTCAAGGGGAAACCTATAATGCAAGAAAACAAAATTCCGTTGCCACACTATAAGGAAAGTATGACTACCGTGGACAGTTTGATACATCAGATCACGTTAAATCAAATTGAGCCATTACATCCTCAATTACATTCTGACCCATTATTACATCTAACTAAGGCTGCCCCAAGTCAAATACAAGAGGCATCAGGGCGGCCGCAGCCTAGTTCTTCAAAAGAAGGTCAGTCGCAAATCATTTCTGACTCCAGACAGATGTTGACTACAAATCAGCTGCAACCACAAAACCCTTTTGATAGTTTGTCTGGCATGTCCATAGCGGACCCAAGTCTACCACAAAGTCCATCTGATTCAATCATGTCCATACCCCCATTAAATCAACTTCAACGGCTAGACCCATCTGACCCCTGGTTGACTATCACATATGAAGCACAAAACCCAGCAAAACGCAAGCAACAGCTCAATTATTTGGACCCTACGCTCCCTGTGACCAATTTAGAACCACTAAAGCCTATTATCACATCTGACCCTGGACCACTAGCAACCATGGCAGGATCACACCAGCCATCAAACACGTCTGACACGTCTTCATCTATGAACTCAATCAACCAAGCTCTTACGCAAATCGCATCTGAACCTGGACCAAATATGACTACGTCGAACACACAAGATCCCCTTTCACCTGTGCCAGACTTGACCATAACATATCCGAGCCAAGTACAAAACCCGTCAGCACCTACGAACTCGAACAATCCACAAATCCCCGGTGACTGGCTAACTGCACTTAATAGACGAACACCACAATATTGGATCAATCAAATACCAACTACACACTCTAATGCTCCACAAGGAATCCAGAGCGGCCCTGTATAGTCAAACTCTGTAAGTTTCAGTTGTCTCACAATCTTAAAAATATATCAGATCAAAACTTAAAAACAAGAATAATTCGACCCATGAAAGGGTATCTTTACATAATCAATCCCAGGAACTGGGCGTACTGGATGTTTAAAAAAATAATGTGTTTTGGGTCAGAAAGAAATTGTTTGACCCTTGGTATGCCTTGGTGCGCTGACTAAACAAATATACTGTCTCAAACAAACAAACAAACAAAATCCAAGCCAGAATATGAAATGTCTTGTTCCTCATTCATTGTTCTTAAATTTTATTTTTTTCTCTGCAGATTACATTGATGGGAAACAAGTGGAAGAACCTTTGCATAATCCCACAACCGTTCATTACCATAAGTATGTACTGTTCAATAGTGTATTGTGGATTATCGTCAATCTGGGCAGTAATAAATACGTGTAATAAATGTGTAATGTATTGGCATATCCCTATTTGTAAAACAAATCTAATTTTCAGTGTAATAAAACTTGTTTGTCTTAATACATTATATTTGTATTATTTGTTTATTTTTTCTACAAACACTATCTTTGAGTGGCATTGATAAGCTACACTGGTATCAAATTGAATGATGAAAGGGTCGATTTTAGATGTCCATTGTTTTCTTCTCGGCTCTATAGGCTTCTGTTGTCTGTGTCAGGTCATGCATTTCATAAGATAAACAAGACTCGAAAGCTGTCATATCATACCACATAGAGCAACAGCTGTGTCACAAGTTCCAGTGGACCAGTCCTACCATCTTCATCTAAACCTGGACCGCCTCCGTGGTCTAGTGGTAGAGCGTCCGCCATGAGAGAGGAAGGTCCGGGGTTCGATCCCCGACCACGTCAAACCAAAAGACGTTAAAAGATGGTACTTGTTGTTACCCTGTCCGGCGCTCGGCATTAAGGGGCTCAAACAAGGACTGGTCGGCTCGGAGTCAGTATACTGTGTCTGAGTGGGGTATTCATGTTAAACTGCGGTATGGTATCTCAGTGAGCTAGCACTATAAATCGGCATCAGTCCGGACTAGTACAAGCAGACACACAAACACACACACGTACATGCACGTCGATATAAGAGTGCAATAACCTTGGACGCGACGTTAAACCCAATTGCACCTCACCTCATCTTAAACCTCACACTGCGAGTAGACTAACAAAACCTGTTCACATCAAATTAGCAATGACATGCATCATCGAGACCAGGTACTTCACCCACCGGCCTACGATCAGTGGAGACGATAGTTCGACGCATCGGTGACATAAATTATGGCTTACACAATTTCTTATTTTGGCTTGCACCATATGTTCCCGTTTCTTGTGTTTCAGACGAACAATTGACTTGCCTTTACGTGTGTTTGGACGGGTGCCACTTGTGGGGCAGATACGCTTACTGGTATCAGCACGTTTCGATAGTGATTCATGAACAAATTTGTATGATACAGTCGGAATCCTACAATGGACTTTGTTTAATCTTTTGATCGTAGAAGGTCTTCTGTCGCTTTTATTTAAAGCATATTTCCGGGCCCTAACAATGTCCATGCGGGCCCCGTCCATTCGGTTGATTGAGAAGACTGATTGCCCTGATTTTCAGAATATTCTTTGATTCTCTGTCAAACTTCGTTGTCGATCATCAGCTTGCTTATTCTCGCTTGGGATCGTTTTACTTTTATTTATGATGATTATCCGAATGCCGTTGGCCACACCACTGACTCATGTCCGCAAGATGTAGTTTCTTTACCAACGGTTGATGTATTATGGCTCGTTATCAAGGGTTCAATCACATCGTGATAGTGAATGGTTATTTACAGAAATCACGAATGTAGTACTTGTTTGGTTTGTTGAAATTAATCGTTTGGTTGTTGAGAATTAAGTATTAATTTGCTCTGACGGACATAACCCTTAACAGTTCGGTATTGTAGCAGATAACAGAGCAAAATGCAATTGATATCTATATCTAATTTTTATGTATTAAATATGAAGGTGATAGGAATAATTATGAAGTTAATTTGAATCTGTTCGGGTTCTAAGTTCTGTTCATGTAGAACGCAGTAACAGAGTACTGATACATGGAACATGCACCTTTCATATATATTATCAACTTAAAATATACAAACAATTGAAAAGGGATTGTATATGATAGAATCTTTTCCATTTTCAACAAGGAAGCCTTGACGAGTTACTCTTGTCAGAGGGGTACACAAAGTACGTGACTCTAGTCTACAAGTCGGACTTTTTGTTGATCGATGCTCATGATGTCAATCACTGAATTATCTGGTTCATACTCGATTATTCACAGACTGCCGTCATATAGCTGGAATATTGCTGAGTGATGTGTTAAAAAACAAACAAACAATCATAACTCATTGAACGATTCCGATTATATCCCCGTTGTTTATTATCATGAATCAATATCAAAAAGTGATTAAACCATGTGTTTACGAAAAGGTGAGCTGTCCCATCAGTGGCACCCATCGCACACACATTAAAAGATATGTCAATTGTACATCTGAATAAAACACGGAGACATAGCGTCGAATTCATCGGACATCATTTTAGTCACTGATGCATCAAGTTGTAAACATCCTCCACGTGTCTATCATAACACTTTTTAATAGCTTTTTTATTATATTACTGAGACTTTGAAACCCTAATCAAACATCTTTTGAGCAAGAGTGGTACCACGCTCTTGAAATTTTAGTAGAAAGAACATGCTCGAGTTTACCTTAAAACGTTGTGAAATGCAGATACCAAAGGCTGTAGCTGCTGGATTATTACAGCAGGGGAAAGTTGACTATTGGAAAGCTAGGGTCATCCCTCTTGTTACACAGACAGGTAGATAGTTTGTTGTCACTCTATGCACAGATCTTCATATGAAACAGATGAGGCGGTCTCATTTTTCTCTTGTATTTCTAGTTCACGTTGGTAAATCAGTGCATGGGAATGAGCTATATGACCATTGCCGACACCAATATATCCTAATTCTTATCTGAACGTCCTATCCCCAAATTTAACTTAGATGTTATCTATGATTCGGTTGGTTGGTTTGTTGTTTTACGCCGCACTCAGCAATGTTCCAGCTATATTACGGCGGTCGCCTTTTACAGCATTGGTTGCTGAAGACCTATTCTTCCCCGGATCTTTACGGCGAATTCAAGTTTGAAAAAACTGTTTTAGTGTGAAAAAACTATTTTAGGGTCTCAATGAAAGGGTTTGTATATGACTGAACAGGTTTAGTGTTTATTTATGTTATCTCATTGTGAGGTAAGGCGTGCATATGCATCACATAATACAACGCATCAGTATCAAAATACAAGCAAATTAGGAAAGAAGCTTAAGCAGGATACATTTGTCCAAAACTAAAAAAGAGTTCCCCTACTTTTGATGTTGTGTCATGCCTTGAGGGTCATACCAGGACCCTATTTACTGTATGTATCTATTGTATTGTAGAAATGACAGGTATATTGAACACTTTGTCTTAAAGTAGGCTATCGTTTATCGCCATATAATGAAAGGTTATTGCTTACTATGTCGCTTCCACATGATGTGACACTACCTTTTCAATCATGCCTTGAGCTACAAAGTGCTCACACAATAAGTTTATGTTATATTTAATCATCATGAATCATGTAAGCACATAACAACTGTCACGCACACATATTTTTCCATTATGTTTCAAATGGAAGACTGACGTAAGGTAAGGTTTACTGCTGAGTGTACTTCATGAAGTATTCTTTATGTTGCTATTTAGAACAGTACTGGAGAAACCATTCTCATTTGCTTCTCCCACTCTTTTGAACTCACTACCTCTCTTCATCATATAGTCAACTAACTCTGACACCTTCCGTTCTTTAAAGATTTGCAATAGACTCCTCACAGCGCCGCTGTGCTGCTTTTTAAGTTGAAAGTCAATTTAATTAAATTATGTATTTATTCACTGCATACAGATTAATAAATGCAGCAAAGAGGGTTTGAGTGATCCGGCCACAATCGGGCTGGTTTTGCTCATCATCAGCTCAGGGTCATTGGCCCCTCTACACGCAGCCCAGACGGCGAAGTGGACATCTCACAGGACGCGCTGCCTTGTCGAACACATCCAGAACTTTCCGGAGAATGTGTGAAGAGACACAAACACTTCAGCCTTCTGCATTACCGTGATTGTCAGAAGGGCTCTATTCCTGGCAGCAAACCCGGGTACTTTCCCAATGTCAATCAACAGTTCGTACCAATCCAAAGGAACCGAAAAGAATGGGGAATCGGACAACTTGGTACTTGGGATCAAGCGTGACATTTCGAAAGTGAGGTCCGCATGTTTGCCATGTTTATCCTGAATCTTGTCAATCACAATTAATGTCAACAAGGACAGACAATTCAATGATATAATTGATTTCGTTGGATTCACCAAAAAGGACAAGATCAGGTTTGTTGGCCTGTTTTATCTGAGGCTGCATCCAAAGAATTTTATTTTTATCATTTTTCATGACGCCCTCCACATATTCTTGGTCGTACCACGGATGGACCTCTGTGTCAAAACCACAAGTATGGCGAAGACGGTAATAAAAGGATCGAGCCACTCCACGCTTAAGATACTGTGTTTGTGCCAAAGCTGGGCATCCACTGACAATGTGTTAGGCAGTCTCATTCAATTCATTGCATAATCTACATTTAATATTTACATTCTGATGCAAAATCACACACTGACAGTTTCGAGCGGGAAGTGACCGGTCCTGCGCAACAAACAGAAAGCCTTCTGTTTCACTTTTAGGCCAACCGATTTCATCCAAGCGACTCTGCGGAGTTGCTGATCCTCTCAACACACTGCACATATATGCGATGCAGTGGTCGTTCAGATAGCCTCTGCTTGAAAAACGGAGTCTGGCCATATTTCAACATAATCCCCTCCGAGGTCAACACGCTTTTGCCAACGATGTCAAAGTGGATCCCATTGGTGTAAAAAGAAGGCTTCCAGCCCAGCCTCCGAAACTCCTGACTGTTCACTTCACTATGTATACTGGTTAATTTTTTAAACGTACCGCATTCACATGACATCCCAGGCAGACTTGGTTGAAATCGGGTTGCAAATGAAAGACAATCCTTACGCATAGATACGTAAAATTGCGCAATAACATTTTGGCACTGGACCTTCTGTTATGCAAGTAAATGATAAATAGAATCAGGAAATCTGCATCTGTGGACAGGAACATTCATAGCTGTCGTTGATCAGAAATTATTCATATGTCGCTTTGTCACAATCCCGATGTTTGGATTCAAGGACTTTTTTCTCTTGTTGTAAAGTGCAATAATAAGTAGTATATAATTTAAACAAGGTTATTTACAGTCCATTTGGCTCCTAATGAGAACGATGAATTTCAAACTAATTAAAAATCGGGAATAGTCTATTAAATGTCAACGTACATGGCAATGAATACCCTGTACCCAACAATATCTGCTTCTTGTTATTTTTATTGTTTCAGAAACTATCATGTTGTTATGT